GCTGCGGTGGCCGCCCCGGGTGCCCCCCGCCGGGGGATCTTTGTCTTCCCGTGGGCGGGCAGCGCTGGGGGCCCAGCCGGGGGCCTGAGTCCTGGGAGGTCCGCGCTGTGCCCCGTAGTAAGGGGCCCCTCCCCCTGGCGGCCTCCGCCCCACCCCCTCCGCCTGGCCCTGCCTCCTGCCCCAGGACCCCAGGGAGCCACGGGCTGGGGGTGGGGGCGGGGAGGCGGGCGCGCGGGATCACTGACCAGGGGCGCGAGGGGGGCAGGAAATGGAGATCCCAGACACGGAAGGTCCCAGCCACATCCAGGGGTCCCCTGGGAAAGGACACGCCAGCCTCCACCAGCGTGTCCCCCGCCCCGTCCTGCTCCCCTCGCTGTTAACATGCGGACACGTGGTGGGTGGCCTCTGTGCGCTTGCCCCAGCCCTGGAAATGTGGGGACCCAGTGGAGCCCCCACACGGACCCGAGGTCTTAGTCCCCAACCCACGGCTGCCTGCGGGCTCCCAACCCGGGCTCCAGGCCTCAAACCACGCCCAGACAGAGGCTGCCCCTCCTGCCCCAGGCTGGTTCTGGAAACCAAAAAGAGGCCCGCAGCTGCCAGGGGGCGCCGTGTGAGGGCACCCAGGGCCTCCGCCGCGCTGAGAGCAGGGAGAGGTCTGTGGGTGTGTGGAAAGAACGTGGGGGGCTCTGGAACCTCCCCGCGGGCCAGCACCTGGCTCAGCCGGCCCAACAGCGAGGGGGATGGTGAGCCCGCGGGCCGGCGAGGGCAGCCTGGACTCTAGCCTGAGCGCTGGTGCTGGAAAGGGGACGCAGGCTGTATGCTCGGGGTCACTGTGCAGGCCAGCCTCTCGCCCCCTACAGGCGAGAAGCGCTGGCCATGGACGCCGAGTGGACGCACATCTGGCGTTGCCGGCTCTCTAGACCCCTGGAGAGGCAGCAGACAGCTGCGTCCATGTCAGACGCTGGGTCTTCAGACATTGCAACGAACTCATCTGTCTTTACAGTTGTGCAGACCGGGCCTCCCTGGTGCCACAGGGGGTTAAGATGCAACCTATGAAGCTATCTGCAGCCACTGTGGCACGAGTTCAATCCCTGGCCAGGGAGCTACCCACATGGCGCAGCAGACCTCCTGTCTCCCCGCTGCTCCCCTCAGCAGTGTACTTCGGTCAGTCTGCCTGTTCTGCTCCCTGCTCTGTCTCTGGTGAGTCCTCTCACCCCCCACCCCCGCCCCGCACCTCTGGCCTGCACCCCAGCTCTTGTGTGCATAAATAAATCTTTTTTAAAAAGTTGTGCAGACTAAATGCCAGCAATTCCACTCCTGGCTGAGTCCCCCAAAGGCCCAAAGCAGGTGTTGGGGCAAAAGCTGGACCCGCACGTGTGGAGACGCACGGAGGCCGTCACCAAGGGCGCTCAGCAAAGCCGCGGCAGCCGAGTTGGGAACCAGGAGTCCGGGAGCGGGCGAGAGGGGGCGCCCAGCAGGGCACAGGCTAGAACATCGTCCTGGAGATAAAGAAACGAGGTTCTGACACTGGCCCAACAAGAAGGGGCTGCGAGAAATGAAGCTGCCACCTGCGCGGAATGTGCCGGGACAGGCAAAGTCAGAGCTGAGCAGAGGTTGCCTGGGGAGGTGGGGGGCGGGGAGGGGGGCTGGGGAGAGAACTGGGGTGATGAGAAGGGGTTCATTGTGGGTCTCGTTTCTGCCACCACGAGTTTCTGCCGGTCAGGCTCGCCTGGGCCAGGCCTCCCCCTGCGGGCAGGACCCCGGGGAGGGCGGGAGGCGGGAGCCAGATGCAGCTCAGGTGCAGGCGATTACGATTGGCAAGTCCACACCCTCCGCCTGCCGGGAGCCCAGCTGGGGGCTGATTGGCTTGACCAGCAAACAGTCCCGGCTCCCCCCGGGGCTCAGGTCTGGAGGCGCCTAGCAGGGCGCCGTCCCTGGCCGTCCTTGTTTCCTAACCACCCCTCTTCCCGGAGGGGCCCGGCTCCCTGGAGTGAAGGCCGAGGGGCAGAGGAAGTCGGGGCACGGGACGTCTGAGTCACTGGGTAAGGAGGTGCCGAGGGGGAGGGGGACAGGTGGAGGAGGGTCCGCACCAGCGGTGTGGGGAGGGCACCCCGCACCCCGCCGGGCGGCCCCAGCGGCCTCTGGCTGAGAGGCAGTGAGGTAGGACGCGCGGGTGAGGGTCAGGGCGCAGGCGGGCCAGAGGGGCGCACGGGCGCGGGGCTCTCCTGGCCGCGGGCCTGGGGTGGGGCGCGGTCCCGTGGAGATGAAGCTGTAGCGAGTAGCTGCGGGCCCGGCGTGGGCAGGCCGCCGCCTGGGCGTCTGGGTCACGCCTGGGTCGCTGGAGTGAACTGAGGCCACGCGGCCCCTCTGCGGGAGGGAGCCCAGCCGGGGCTGGGGGGTGTCGGGGCTGGGGGGTGTCAGCCGCGGCCCAGCAGGCGGAGGGGCGGTGCCGCAGGTGAACGGAGCCCGCACCCGCGCATCCCAGGACCTGCTGGGTGTCGTTAAGGTAACTCTCCCCTCTGGGGGAGCTGTGGGCGCCGCCCGCAGGTGCGCCGGGCTCTAGGCCCCAGGCCCTCGCCGCCCCGGAGTCCTGGGGGTCGCATCAGGCTGGGCGGCCCCGTGCAGGGCAGAGTCACAGCGCCTGCTCCCCGCGCCCCCAGCCTGACAACGCCTGCTTGTTTGGTGCTTTGTGGGGTGTCTGTGCACAGGACGCGATGAGTGCTGCTTGCAAAGGTTTTTTTGGGGGGGCTGCGTCTCATTTTCCAACCACCAGAGGCAGACACGTGCGCCCCGCAGGTCACGTGAGCACCACCCCTGTGTCTGCAGGTGTGACCTGCCCAGCACCCTCGTGTCCTGGGGGGCCACCAAAGGTGGGGACCATGCGAGGGGCTTCCCCAGCACCAGGTCGCTGCATCTTCACCTGAGCCCTGGAGGGGGCGCCAGCACGAGCTCCAGCCTCCAGCTGAGGCCAGGAGGCTGGGGGCGGGGGAGGGGGCGGGGAGGCAGCTGGTGGAGCACAGGAGCTGGCCCAGTGGCCTCAGGCTCTGCTGCCTGCAAGTCCGTGTCCTTCCAGCGCAAGCCCGTCAGCGCCACACCGCGGGCCGCACCCTCTTCCCAGGCCGCAGGGGCCAGAACGAGGGCCCCGGGTGCCCTGGGACAGGTGGGGACAGAGGTTCCAAAATGAAACAGCTTGGCAGGCCCCCCCGTGTGCATGGCCAGCGGTCACCCCCCACCAAGGCCCACCACGCAAATACACCCCTGTGGTTTCCGGGGCCACTGTGGGTGTCACTGAGGAAATCATCCCCCTGCCAAGGCTCCACAGTTGGCGGCTCTCCCGCGCCTCGGTGTCCTTCCGAGGCTGGTCACATGGGTCCGGGTGACCACCTGTCCTTGCAGGGCCTGCACCAGGGCCGGAGCCGCCATGGGCTGCCGCCAGCTCAGCAGGAGTGAGCAGGTTGGCGAGTGACTAGGAATGGCGGCTTAGTGTGACCGTGGTTCGGAGCTGTAGCTGGAAGTTTGGTGATTTTTCTTTTTTATTTATACGTACAAGAGCTGTGTGGCCAGAGATGTGTGGGGATCCCCAGAGACAGAGTTGGGGAGCTGCTCTGCTGAAATGCACTGCTGAGGGGAGCGGCGGGGAGACAGGAGAGGTCTGTGGGCCATGTGGGTCGCTCCCAGGCCGGGGATTGAACTCAGGCCGCAGTGGCTGCGGACACTCCCTGCACCACCAGGGAGGCGGTTTGGTGACTTTTTTATGATCGGAAATACCCGCTAGGAAGGCCGCTGTGACTGTTGTCAGTGACCCTCCCGCCACGTCGAGGTTCTGCTGTTTCCACGCAAACAACAGTTTCTGAGACCCTGCGGGGCGCAGCGAGGACTTGACTTGCTCTTTTGCTGAAACTGGGAGCCGTGACCCTGCTGTGTCCTTCCTTGAAGAGTAGCCACTGGGGTGTATACCCCAGGGCACCCACCCACCTGGCTGCCTTCTGAGGCCTTGCTGGCCACACCCCCCTGCATGCCCCTGGTGCCCCCCCTTTCAGGTTCCCCTTCCCCTGGCCTTGCTATGCTGAACAGGAAGCGAAGTGGCTTGTCACGGCGACCGCGCCTGTCCGGGTCAGGATGCCCTGCCCAAGGCTGACGGGCCCCCTGTGGGCACCAGGTCGCTGGTCTCAGGACCCCCGCAGGAGCCAGGCCACCAGGTGGGCGGCTGGAGACCTGAGAGTTCCAGGCCAATCAGGATTCCAGGGTGGGGCCTGGGTGGGGATCTTGCATGAACTCCCCAGCAGTCCCAAGGTGCACCCCAGGCTGGCAGTGCCAGCTTAAGTGCAGTACTGTTGCTTAAATCAGGGTACGGGCCACCAGCCCACACAGGACTGCCTCCCAGCGCCCTGTCTGGGCCCCCCAAAGCCACCAATGCCATGACCTGGCAAATGATGGGGGGCGGCTAACCCAGGTCCTTGAGTTATGGAGGGTGCCAGGCACAAAACCTGCCTTTATGGTGCTGCACAGCGCCGTGCGCGCCATTTGAGCCGCAGCTGAACCCTAGCTCCCCAGTGATTTATCCCCCAACAAGGAAGGGGAAAGCGTCACTCTCTTCCTACCCATCGCCGCTCCCTGCTGGGGCGCTGCCTCCTGCCCCATTCCAGCCCCTCCCTCTCCCCCCCACAGCTCTTGCTGCCCTGAGCAGCTCTCACTGGGTCTCCACCCCCACCACCCCCTTCTCCGAGCACGTGGACAAGCACAGCACCAGGGTGTGGCCTGGGGAGACCCTGCAGGCAGCAAGGAGAGCTGGGGGTGGGCCGGGTAATAAATGTGCATCAAGTCCCCACCCAATCATTTCGGCCTACAATGAAGTCAAATGGCAGCCTCAGCGGCTTCGGCCGCATCCCCTTCAGATTCAGGTTTTAACAAAGTCAACAGGGGGGCCGTTGGCCAAACCCCAGCTATGAATTCAGAGCACGGGAAAGTGCGGAAGCCACTGCAAAAAAACATCTACAAACACTAACTTTAGAAAATAGTTTAGTACAATTTTGTTATAAAATTCATTTACAGGAGGTTATTCACATGTAATTACCAAATGTGCTCCTGGTCAGACTTGAGAACACGGAACGAAATAAAGCAGCACAATGAATCCAAGACAAATTATGTACAGAGAAGCAGAACAAGTCGAGGAACCTTCCCGGGGGAAGATCGAACACCGGAAGGAGACAGGGCGTTCTCCCCACGCAGCCACACGACGCCAAGTGGCCTCGACAGCCACAGGGTACAGGCCACGCTGGCCACAGGCGAGACTGATGCAAATGCTTTCCCCGCTGCCCGGGCTCCAGTGGGGCGGTGGGGCCTGAGCAGCCGGGGGTGCACGGGGCGGGCAGTGAGCACGGCTGCGGGAGCAGGCCTCTAGCAGGACGGGGGAGGGGGACAGAGCCACAGCCCAGGACACGTTTCTGAATCCCGTGACGTCGGAGCAGGGAGGGGACGCCCGGGCCCCAGACGCGTGTCCCACCTCCTCAGCTCAGAGCCCTGGGCGCACCGCCCCGCGCCCAGCCTTGCTCAGGGTGGTGGTGAGCGCACGGACGCAGGTGAGCGTGACAACGAGCCGTCTCCTGTCCCAGGAGAAGGGGCTCCCCCAGCCTGTGCTGGCTCACATCCTGAGGCCAAGGGTCAGCTCCCCACCCACAGGTACCAGGGTGGGCTCCGGGGGGCAGGAGCACCTGCGGGACCCCAGCAGGCCAGGATGCCCAAGGAGGGACGCTGGGGGTGAGGCACCCGAGGCGGGCAAGCGTTCTTGTCAAGCTGGGAAGAACCAGTCTGGACAGAATTTCCGACCACCACGGACCCACTGGCTTAGAGCAGATGAAAAAGAAAATCTCAAACGGTGCCCACTCACGTCCTGGGAGGGGGGGCAGTGGCTCCCGCTCCAGAGCAGCAGCTCCCAGCCCCGCTCAGGGGCGCCCTAGCTGGGGGCTCTCAGCGCCGGCAGCTGCGCCGGCCAAGCTGGACTCCGGCGCCATCACCGAGCGCAGCCTCCCCTCCCGCGCCGCCTCTGCCCGCCGCACGCCCACTCGCCACGGGCCTTAGCGGGGGCAGGAGCGCTTCTCCCACACTCCCCGCGCCGGGAAGAGCGGTCTTGCCCGGCCCACATCTGGGGGCCCGTTCTTTCACCATTTTGTAATTTAAAGCTTGTTCTGTTAGCATCAGCTTTCTAAGCGGGAAAGAAGAGTGGTCTAGTCGATGGAAACGGACTTTGCTGTTCGCTCCGCACACGTACATTCCCGCCTTACAGTGTTCCCCGCGCCGCCCTCCCCCGCAGGCCGGACGCGAGCACGTCAAGTCTGGGACGCCCAGGACGTCGTCGCTAACGCAGAGTGGGCTGAGCGCTGCGGCCAGCAGCCCAGGGCCCAGCACGCATCATCACGTTTCCCACTGCACACACCCCATTCAAGGCCAAAAAAAATCCCCCCAAAACAAAAACCCTCCTCTGGACAGTCCACTAGCCGGCGCCCATCTCACCCACAGTGGCCAGCTGCCCGCGCCACCGGCCTCCCTATAACAGCTTTCTTTTCTTTGAGCTACTGTCCTCCTGTACCCTCCTGGGGTCCCAGCCAGAGCCCCAGTTCACAGGCGGGCTCACAGCGCTGTATGTGTCCTGGGCCCCGTCACTGAGAGCCCTGGTCTCCCTCCTGTGGCTGAGCCCTCCTCGCTGCTCACACTTCCTTTTGCTGGCAGCGGCCTCGGGGCCAGTAGCCAGGGGCTCGCACTGCGCCAGACAGGCCTGTCTGACTGTGGACAGCAGCACCGTGCCGCCCAGGTCCTGGGGGCTCCCCGGGAAGCCGGGCTCTCCCGATGGCAGCGCTGCTCCAGGGTGCTGGGGGCTCGGGGGCTGCGGGTCCCTGAGGTGTGTCTCGGGAGCCAGGCCCATTCTCCTGAGCAGTCGCGGGTCCCGAAGCTGATCCTGCGCGGGGGACCGCTCGGCATCCTTTGCAGGAACGATGGACTCCCTGGTGTCGGGAGGGGCGTGGTACAGGGAGGGCGCGAAGGGCGACGTGGCGAGCCCGCTGTCTGGCCTGCTGCCCGGCAGGCCGCCTGGGGTTCTGCACGCCTCGGGGGCCAAGGCAGGCGAGTGGGACAGACTCCGCTGCAGGACGGGCTTGAGCTTCAGGATCTTCATGGCGTCGTGTTTATAGTTCCTGTCACAGGTCTTGATGATGGCGCCCCGCTTCTGAGCGTCTTGTATCAGGTGATTCCAGTGCTGATTTTCCTGGAAACAAGAGGAGGCAGAGTTACACCCAGAGACGCACCCGATGTTGGGCAGCACGGAGTTCAGCTTTCATTTCTGAACTACTAAGAAGCAAACTTTCCAGACGAGACTCTTGAGAAGGCTGAAAGGAAGAGCGATAAAGACCAGCCCTGGCCCGTGAGCGCCCCACCACCATCCCGGGCTCCCAGTGGTCAGCGGCCATGCAGATGGTGTCCTCTGCCCCGTGCTGTCGTGTGGGTGCTGATTAGATGTAATGAAGTAGACATGCTGCTCCTGGGGGTGCGCACGCCAGGACCCCATGCGAGGAGTGCAGACCACGCATGGTCACCAGAGAGGGGTTGGGATGCAGCTGACGCTGCGGAACAGGGGGCCCCACCTTCCGAGTGCAGGGCCTGGCTCTGCAAAGAGGTCCTAGCGTTCACCCAACTCCCTGGGGCCCCGAAGCCGCAAAGGGCTAAACTATCTTTATCCGGGAAGATACTAGCCTGGATGCGGCCCCTCCCTGCTCCACCCCTCCACCCTTGGGACTCACCACGCCCGCTGCGCCCACAAAGGCGCCTGTAAGCGAAGTCGCTAAGAGGCCACTGTAACAGTTCACAGTTCAGGTTTAAACATGATCAAAATTCAGCACCACTATGCTTTGTACTAGAAACAATCCTTGCACTAGGTTAACAATAGACAAGAAATCATTTTTTAACACTCAGGGCCTTATTTAGATCTCAGAAAACACCTGGAAAAACCCACCCATTATTCTCAGGTACCTACAGACTCACAGGAAGTTGCAAAAAAACAAAGGCCCGTGCAGCCCACACACAGGCTCTCACATGTTATTACTAAGAAGCTTTTGAAGTTTTCAATTTGACACAAATTTTTGAGGCAGAGAAGCTTAATAGTGAGATTAACAGGAAGACTAATATAACAACGTACTACTCCAGTAGACATGGGAATCAAATTTCAAAGAGCAGGAACAATAATGTCATCTTTCTATTCTACTGGATACACTTAAGAGTGATGTAACAGATTTTTAATCATTTCTTAAAAATAAAGGTGGGTATTTATAATACAATAAAAATAGAAATACTTAAATTTATAAAAAAATTCAGTATCAATTTGAAAACAGATGCATGCAGCATGGCAAGCTGTTCTCTAGGCACTCACAAAAGCCGGAGACCTGAGGGCTGGGTGAAGCCCCGGGGAGGGAGACGGTGCTTGAGCGCCCTCTGCTGGCGCGCTCTGCAATGGGGGCCTAGACGGCCTGGCTACGGAGAAATCCCAAAAGCCCGGGCAGCTGGGACCCCTGGTCATCAAGCAGCAAACACCTACTCTGGCTGATACGTTACTGTTTGTCTTCCAAAGGTGTGAACCTGCCGCCTCTGCTGGAGAAGCACTCTGCGCCCTGCAGGCGACCCCGCACGCGCCCCGGCCCACGGCCTGCCTCAGCGCTCGGCCCGCACAGCCCTTCCCTCGTGTGAACTCACGCACCCCTGGATGAGCCTACAGTGCCGACATGCCGTTCTCAGGAGGACCATCTAAGGGCACATGGGGTCGCAGGCTGAGAAAGTGGGGAGAGGGTTACGTGTGTAGGGGCTCCCAGGAAGAGGCTGCTGGAGAAGGTAACCACCGGGGCAAGACGCTCACGATTGTGATGCAAAGTAAAAACGAAGCCTCAGCCCAGCAGCAGCAGCAGCAGCAGCAGCCAACGCCGAGCCCTCCGCTCCAAGCACCGTCCTTACCATCAGGGTCCTGAGGTGCCCAAGGATGAAGAGGCTGTACTTGGCTCGCGTGATGGTGACGTTCAATCTTTGCAAACTTGCCAGAAACCTAAGCAAAAAAAAAAAAACAAACAAAACTTCTTTCTACAGGATGACTCGCGTGTCACTAAGGTGCACAGTCGGTACCTGGATGGCAGGTTTAAAGTCCCAGGGCTTTGACTTTTTTTTTTTTTTAAAGATTTATTTATACAAGAACTGGGGTACAGGCCAGATGCACGGGAGGGTGAGAGGATTCACCAGAGACAGAGTGGGGAGCAGAACAGGCAGAAGGACTGAAATACACTGCTGAGGGGAGCAGCGGGCGAGACAGGAGAGGTCTGCCGCGCCATGTGGGACCCTCGCTGGCTGGCCGGGATCGAACCCGTACTACAGAGGCTGCGGACAGCTTCACAGCATGGCGCTCAACCGCCTGCGCCACCAGGGGAGTCCCCAGGGCTTTGACTCTTGCCCAGCACAGGCACCTGCAGAGAAGCAAGTCTCTTAACGACGAAATACCCAGCACTTTCCTTCCCTGTGGCGCAGCTGTCCGTCAATCTCCTACTTTGATTTCAATGAGATACTGGACATTTTACTCTAGCAGTATGACTTTGAAGTCTAAAAAACCTCCTAAAAAATACTAGGATCAATTATTGTTAATTTTAGATTTTAGATTATTAAAATATTATAGAACTAGTGCATAAATACACCAACAACAGATCTGAGGACTGAGAAGTATCAGCACTGGTGTATGATAAAGGGGAAATTTCAAATAGTTGGGAAAACCTGAGTTAACCGGCCTCCACCCGTAGGAGCATCTACCCCTCAGAAGGGACAGGGACAAATCACTGTCCTTTAAGAGCAGTTACACAATCTGGAAATTTCTTAGCTTCTCCTCAGAAGGAAAAAATAACTACATGGACGCCTCAGGGCCTTCGCTGCCCATGACAGTGCACTCCGCATCCACAACAAGTTAACTGCAGTTGTTAAGAGCTACACGCTTAGCCAAAGCAGGAAGACAAGAGAAAACCACTTTGGGACACATACCATTTGAGTAACACGTTCCTGCAAAATGCATCTGATACAAGGATTTATTTCACTCTAATTAAATGAAAGAACAGAGGCCTCCCTGGTGGTGCAAGGGGTTAATACACAACCTATGAAGCTGACAGTCACTGCAGCATGAGTTCCATCCCCGGCCAGGGAGCTACCCACATGGTGCCTCAGACCTCTCCTGTCTTCCCGCTGCTCCCCTCAGCAGTGTATTTCGGTCCGTCTGCCTGTTCTGTTCCCCACTCTGTCTCTGGTGAGTCCTCTCACCCCCCGCACCTCTGGCCTGTACCCCAGCTCTTGTATGCATAAATAAATAAATCTTCAAGAAAAAAATAAGTGAAAGAACAAATTCACACAGAAATGGCTAATATCCAAGGTCCCAAGAGAAGCGGACCTCACAATGGATCTAGCAATACTTATCTAGAACTTGAAAAGGAAACTGTAGGATAGTACACGTCTTTATTAAGGAAAACTAAGCAAAAGATGGTTTTCTCGAATAACGACTGAAAACAGATCTAACTCTGGGTTTTAAACAAGTCAGTCAGTGACAGTTACTCACCCAATGGAACCTTGCGAAGTATTTGCTCTGACACACGTAACAATAACGCAATCTTTCTGACGCCCCTGGAACGCATCCACAGTGTCCACTTCTGCTGGCCTATTCACAAGAGAGAAACACATTCACTGGAAAATGTAAGGTAATCGTTAAACGTGTCTACATAGCAGTACTTTCCAGAAGTGCCTTCACGGAGCCATCAGGTGGAGTCCACACGGCACCAGAGCCCCCACCATGCACAACTCAACATTTCTATCACCAAGAGGCCTGTGCCTCTGAGCCAGCTCTCAACTCCCCTTCTCCCTGGGCCCCGGCAACACCAACGTACTTTCTGTCTCCATGGATTTTTCTACACTGGAATCTGACATAAAATATGTGTCTTCCTGTGTCTGGCTTTTTTTGCTTGGTGTAAATTCTGTGCACGGATGAACCACAGCTCACCCTTCTCAGCTGAGGGCACACCGGGGCTGTTCCCACCTCCTGACAAGTCACATCGCTGCGAACATCCCTGCACAAGCTTCAGTGGGAACCTTTTTTCAAGTCAGGCACACACCTGAGCAGACGGGCTGGGTCACGTGGTAATCTCATGTTCAACTTTCTGAGGTGCTGCCAGCTCTCCATAGTGATTTGCCATTTTCCACTCACACGAGGGTAGGGCTTACTCCACATCCTCACCAAACGGTCTACGGGTTCCTCGTACTGGCTGTCTGCGTGGGTGAGTGGCACCTCCCTGTGGTTTGAGGTGTGGTTCCCTGATGGCAAACGCTGTAGAACGCCTTTCCAGGGGCTGTTGGCCACTTACCTTCCTTTGAGGAATCCTATTCAAATCCTTGGTCTATTAAAGAACCACACTGTTTATCTCCCTGGTAGTAAGCTGAATGAGCTGCTTCTATGGGACGCGAGAGTCTTCGCGCATGTAAGACCTGCACACGTTCTCTTACCTTCTGTACCTCGTCTTTCCCGCCCTTTGTTAGTGTCCTTTGACACAAAGAAATTGTTCATTGCCAAGAGTCCCATTATCTACTTTCCCTTTGGTTACCTTTGTTTGGCAGTCGTACCCAAGATGCTGCCGCACCTGTAGTCACACAGATCTACCTTTTGTCCTTACAGGTTTTATAATCTTCCTCAGATTTGGGGAGTGGTGCCATCTTAGCAGCAGTAAGCCTCTAGGCCGAGAACATGGGACGTCTTCCCATTTATTTAGGTTGTTCTTCAACTTCTTTCAATGTTTTATACTTTTTAGTGTATAAGCCCTACACTTCCTTCCATTTTAAGTATGCCCTTCTTTTTGATGCTATTGGAAAGATAATTTTTCCTCAATTTCTTTTCCAGATTGCTCACTGCTAACATACTGAAACACAACTGATTTTTGGGTATTTATCTCATGTCCTGCAACTTTGCTGAGCTCATTTATTAGGATTAAGAGTTTATGTGAAGTTTTTAGTTGCTAAATATAAGGTCATGCCATCTATGAAAAGAGTTTTACTTCTTTTTCAATATCCTTTCCTTTCTCTTGCTTAATTGTCTTGGAGAATAGCTCAGACACTGCTGCAGGTGAGACTCGAGATTAGGCATCCTCCCTGATCTGAGGGGGGACGTTTTCAGTCTTATCAAGTATGATCGTTGCTCTGGGTTTTTCATTGCTGCCTTTTATTAGGTTGAGGAAGTTCCTTTCGATTCCTAGTTTGTTGAATGTTTTTATCATTAAAGTATGATGGATTCAGTCAAATGCTTTTTCCACATCTATTTAGATGATCATGTGGGATTTCCCCTTTTATCCTAATAATATGGAGTATCACCACATTGATTTTTTGTTTGTTGAACCAAGCTTGCATTCCTGAGATAACCCGCTTCCGCTGGAGTGTCTAACCCTTTTACTAAGCCGCTGAGCTCCGCCGCCGCTGCTGTGCTGAGGGCGCCGCAGGTATATTCATGCAGGATGCTGTGCTGTAGTTTTCCTGTGCGGTCTTTCCGTTGCTTTGCTATCAGCAATACTGGTCTCATAAAAGGAGTTACAAAGTCTTCTTTCTGCTTTGATTTTTTGGAAGAGCTTGAGAAGAGTCACTGTTAATTCTTTTTCTAATGTTTGGTAGAATTCATCAGTGAAGTCTAAATCTGGATTTTTCTTTACTTTGTACAAACCACTTCAGTTTTTTAATTTTTTTTTTTTTCTGAGTCAATTTTGCTTGTTTGTGTGTTTCTAGGTTAAAAAAAAACTTTTGAATTAGTGGATTCCTAATATTTATTCTATAATTTTATGGCTGATATAAAAAGAAAACAAAATCATGATCTTCATCCTGCACACAAAGGCACTAAAAGGGGGAAATAATTTATTCTACATGGAAACGAGACTTCTTGAGTCTGCTGGAATGAATCCCAATAAACAAGTCATGAAGCCACAGGTAAAGGCCTGGAGTTTCTCCGTCAATGCCCTGTCAGGTATAATGGTGCCAACATACCAACTGGCAGGCGGTGCTCCTTCTGCGGGGGTACAAGTGGAAGCCAACCTGTGCCCCGGAGTGGCCCGTGGGAGCAACAGTCCAGCCTCCTGGGCTGGATTTGCTACACCATGGACACGGCCTCAGGCAGCCCCAGAGTTAGGCTCCTTTTCTTCTTCCCATCTATCTCCTTTCTGGTTTTTCAATTCAACAGAAATATTGGCAGTACCTGTCCAAATACACATCCTGACTTTGAAGAAGCAGATAAGCATGCTGTAAACTGCCTCTGAGGGCTGTGTGACAAGACTCTATGGAGGGCCTCCGAGGGTTGAGGACTATCCCCAGACAATAGCAAGAAAGGATACAACAGCTTTAGTTCAACAACCAACAAGAAACTGAATTTTCCAATAACCAAAGAGCTTTCAAGAGAACCCAGTGCCTGACAGGAGAACACAATCTAGGCAGACACCCTGAGAAGGCCTGACCAGTAGCTAACATGCGCCCGGACTCAAGACCAAATGGAAATGCAGGAAAAGCTGAAGCTGTGAAAAAACGAAGATGCACTATGAGGTCAAAGACCTGAAAATAAAGAATTAGGGTGCGGGAAAAATCACTTCAGAGAAATTATGAAGAGGAAAATATATACACAAGCAAGTCAAGCCCTATGAAGTTTCTCCTAGGACTGAAGCCATTTCATTAAAAAAGTGAACCCCCGCCCCCGACCCAAAACTGAGGTCCATAGGCCAGAAATGTATTGCATGAAACGGAACAAGAGAGCTACAAGTTAGAGGAAATTTCTTTCCATTAACTAGAGGCCATTTCTTACCAAAGAATTGTGAACCTGGTGCAGGTTTCTTAATAGTGATATAATTCTAAATGAACAATTAGCTCTTAATCACATGTGAGTGAAGTCATTTCACTGGTTAAAACATTTTCAAGACTATGGTTAGAGTTTTTGATCAAACAGCTTAATACGGATTCTCAAGGTACTAATATTAGACAATTACATGGAAATTATAAATTATTCATCAGTCACAGATAGGAATTATTTCCTGAGAATGGAATGAGAACCAACTGATACTCCTATAGTGACTATTATGCAGATCAAAAAGACAGACACCTGAAAAAAAAATAATAGGTTCCTCACCCTTTTCTGTCAAACTCTCTGTCCAAATCCTTCTGAATCATGGTCTTCTGGGCCTTGTAATGGGTGATGATGCCAATGTTCCGGAAAGTGACATCCCTCCTTTTGTCTTTAATAAGTTTAATTATTTCCATTACCAGTTTTATTTCTTGAACATTTACATATGAGCTAAATAAAACGGAGAAAAAGAACAACACATCAAAGCTAATCACACCCAATGGCTACTTCCCATCCACATTTGCATCACAGTAAAGGGCAGGCAGGCAGCTTCATCTTTTATTCAGTCATTCGTGCTTCAAGGTGACTATGATGATGACCATAATATCACACACATAAATAGGCATAAACACTCAGTGAAACATGAAGCTGTAAGAAAAGATTCTGAAGTGAACTGGCATTTAGACACCAAGCTCATCTGGCAAAATAGTCTTCTAAGAACAGAAGTGTAATAATGAAAATGTGACTAACATATAGCTAACTGTAAGGGCTTATTGTCTTCTAGCCACTGAGAAAGCACAGATGTCGCCCTGAGTTACCGCCCCACCACTGAGGGGGGCCCGCGTGCCAGTCCAGCGAGGGAACAGCCTGTAACATGCTGGCCACCCCTGCCGCGACCAGCCACACAGGGCCCAGCAGCAGGCTTGCTCCTGTCCTCAACACCCTCCTCACTGGTCTGCTCCTGCACTCTCAGGTCAGCCCCTAGGCCTAGGCCTCCCCTCATCGCAACACCAGATGCAAGCTGGGGTGCCCTGCACCTTTATCCCTTGGTTACCTCTCCGGTCAACACTCCTTGTGACCGTCCATCCCTTGATTTCAGGGCTCAACTCTCACCCCCGCTCCATTCTAACCGGCTCCGCAACGGCCTCTAGGCTGCAGACCCCTTGCCCGCTGCACACCTCTGTGTTTCTAACTTCTCCCTTCATCTCCGTCTCAACACGTGTCTGACCTTCATGCAGGACACCAGCTGCCTTGCAGCTCTCATGACAGGGGTGGACTTTCCCGCCTCCCACTTCCTGGCAGGGGTGGGCTTGTACTGTGCGAACAAACACCGCTGCGGACATGACTCCTGACTCTCACAGGAAGCTCTGGCAACGTGGACTTTCTTCCCTAATTAGCAAACACTCCTTTTTGGCATCAATCACAGACCACCCAAACACCTTCCCTAATTCATAATCCAGTATTCTTGATGGCGCCCTGATTAACACTCACCCCCCCTGCTCAACCACAATAACCTCACATCAGGGCCGGGTCGGCCCGATGCGCAGCTGTGATCTTAGCACGTATTTACTCAAGGGTTTTACCACGTGTTAGATAACATGTTCCCCATGACACAGTCAAGAAGGAAAGAAGCTGGAAGACAGAGAAATATCAGTAATTCATGTTTAAAAAAAAAAAAGAGGGAAGTTATTGATATAGCTAAATGAAAATGATTGTGCCCCAAAACTAGACAGAGATGTGTATGGAAAATATTTTGAATAAAAACAGAAACAAAATAACAATTCTGGGACCATCCCTGCGAACAGAAGAAACAGGAGCACATACTCATTGTCCCGTCTTTCTGCGCCGTCTCCCACGTCAAACACCAGGTAAGGCTGGAATGGCCAGTCTGACGAGCACCGACTGGTCTCAGTCACTCTACAAAAAAGCAGCCACCGTTCAGAATACAAGTTGTAAGAGCTTTTTGGCTTTTTAAATTTATACCACTTTTTTGCAGAGCAGGTGCTGGGGAAGTTAAGGGGAAAGGAAAGACCTTTAAAAAAAAATGTTTTAGTGAAAGGTACAAAACAACCTTAATCCTATTCCCGGACTAGGGGGAATGATCCATGAATTGAAATATGACACATGTCACAGGAAAGTTCCTGCTGGTAAAGCAACAGAGAGAAGCCAGCCGCAGGACCCCACACTGCCCACAGCCACCCGACCCGGAGCCCGCAAGGCCGCATCTGATCTCGAAGCTAAGCACGACCAGGCCTGGTTAGCACCTAGTGTAGGGGTTGTGAGGACGTATGTCGACTACGGCATGATTTTTTTTTTTTCTCCAAAAACTTCAAAAGAGCAAAAACAAAACGAACGTGAGCACAGCACAGAGACCGGCAGCAGATGTAGCAAAACGTCACCACTGGGGCCTCTCCAGTGGCGCAGTGGTTGAGCGCTGGGTTGCGAAGCTGCCCGCAGCCTCTGCAGCGCCGGTTCGATCCCCGGCTGCTCCCTGGCCACCGGAGGAGGGTCCCACATGGTGCGCAGACCTCACCTGCCGCCCGCTGCTCCCCTCAGCAGTGTACTTCGGTCCTTCTGCCTGCTCTGCTCCCTGCTCTGGCTCTGGTGAATTCTCTCACCCTCCCGCGCTTCTGACTGTACCCAGTGCATGTATAAATAAATAAATAAATAAATAAATCTTTAAAAAAAAACGTCACCACTGACTCTCCCTGTCCATCCTCTGCCGGTCTGCACCTGCTGCAATCAGCGTGACTTTATACAAGTAAAAGACGACAATCAGGCCTTGGACTCGGGACTTCTATGGCTACACATAAGCACACAGTGACGCGGCTCTTCACTCTAAGCTGCAATGGAACACGCTGGGAGCGAGGCTGAGGCCCACCTGTTGGTCTTCAGGTTTCTGTTGTACACGTAGTTGGAAGGGAAGAGGCAGATATCGGGGTGCATTCGGTACTGGGTGGTGAGCTGCACGATGGGCAGCCTGCTCATCACGTCGTGCTCCACGTTCTCGCCCAGCAGCTTGCAGAAGCGCGCCATCATCGACTGGTCATAGCCATACTCCTGCGCTTTCTGCGGGGCCAAACAGAGCCATCTGCGGGGGCATGTTCACACTCTCCCCGCTGCCAGGAAGCCATCACGGACCTCGAGTGCCACATGGGAAGTCAGATGACACAAGATCACCAACGACCAAGATGCTGAGAAAGACGTCTCCAGAGAGAGGAAGACCCTGAAAGCCACGTGGCCTAACAGCTCAGGGGTTCCTCCTCAGAAAGCCCACACATGCTGATGAAGGCCGTGCGAGCGTGGGGACAACAGAAGCTACTCTGACAGAATCCGACCGTCTACTCTTCTGTAGGGCGGCGCCTTCCCTCCTTTCCAGCACAAACCAACACACCACTTGAGGTGGCAGTCGCAACACCGCGCCTGCGCTCCAACTCCAAGGAACCACATGACAATGTTGAGTGATTTCAAAGAACAAAACCAAACCACATGCTCTTCACGCCACACTGCACAGAAGTGTCCCGAAACGGCCTGTTCTCTAGGATTTTTCCACAGGCACGACTCTATACATTTGTACAAAGAATCTGTGCATTAATAAGAGTTGAACTTTTATGCTATTTTCCAAACCATGGTGTAGATCGATCCAGATGACCCAAACATCTACCAACTGCTAATTCTAGGGTACACTTCTAGGAGGCCCCGGTCCCCTGCACAGCCTCAGTCTCCATCTTCACTCTCGCAGGGGTGCGAAGGGCACGCTTTCCGATGCGAGGGATGCAGGAGACTCTAAAATTGGAAATGCTCCCTAAAAATAATCTCGTCAATGTTTTCCTGAACTTTGCACATATTTAAATAAAAAGCAGGGGGCTGGGTTTTTTCTTTTATGTTTATGTTGGTAAAAGAAGTCAGAGAAGGCTTTAGCAGCACCTCACCCTGCCTTTCCCACAGCAAGCGCCTAGTGCACGGGCCCGTGCCTCTCACCATGCTGACGCTGACGCTCTCCTGCACACACGCACACCACCACGAACAAGGGACAACAGAGGTTTCTCTCTTCTCAGCCATTCCCTGCTATTCCAACCAAACAACAGATGATGATCCAAGAGAGACCCCTCTGTTTCCAGGAAAAACAAACAAAAACCCCTTCTACTTTTAAGCACTAAGAACAGAAGAACGTACCATGGAGATGACGGTGGGAGGGAGCTGTTTGGGGTCGCCTACCAGGATGAGCTTGTTGCAACGATGGATGAGCGGAGTGAGAGTCTCGACTTCACAAGACTGCCCAGCCTTGGTAAGAGAAGACAGAGAAATATCCTTAACTCCCGCTGCTATTTATTTATCCACATACATTTTCTCCAATTCATAGACGTTTAACCCTTCAGGAGTATCACTTTCTTCTTCTGTACCAAATAGCAAGAATAAGATTTCCTCTAGAGAGAAAAACAGAAATAACTCAATTCAAAAACCCCCCAAGACCACACATATATTCTGAGGTCAGCGAGCACTCAGGAGTCAGTCCCAGCGGAGTGTCACTCCAGTGTGTCCCTGTCCCTGCCGGGCGTGTGCCTGAGGGACACAGGGCTGCGGGTACCCCACGTTCTTCACGCCACTCAGAAGCCTCTTCGGTCTTAGCACTCAAGCTGCTCTTCAGTCAGCGACACTTTCTCCAGCGAGCCCACGAACCCTGCTCTTTCTTTCCGGCGAACTCCGGGTCTCTGATCTCCGGGACTGAGTCTCTGTCTCTCATTTGTCTTCTGGCTCGACATTCGGGCAAACAGTCGGTACCCAATACATGCTTGTTCAGTGATGAGCTAGGAATAAGGATGCTAGCTGGAAATGCCGTGATGCAGAGCTTTTCAAAGTTATGTTAAAACTGCTCCAGAGGTAACCAGAGCGGCAAGCAGCAGCGACTCTGGGGCAGTGGGGGCTTTGCTGGGAATAATCGGTATCCCGCGGATGACAACCCAAACGTGGGCCTGCAAGGTGCGCCGCGGTGGGTGACCAGCAGCGTGACTCAACGTCACACCCGGGTCCAGGCAGGCAAGACCAGCTGCCAGAGCCCGCCTGCCAACACCTCAGCAGCCACAGCTCCCTGAGACCTGCTCCCGATGGCAGTGCTCGAGGCTGCACGGCCAATAGCTACTGACCTCGTCAACAATGACACAGCTGATGGGGACACCTCCTTGCCTACGAAAAGCAGACTCAAGCAGCAAGCCACCGCTGGTGCTCAGAGTGCAGCAGATGACATGGGACTCCAAGATGATGATGCTCTGTGTTTTCTGGGGGCGTCCTTGAACCTAAGGTAACAAACGAAGGTTGATCAAAACTCAGTTTACATCAAGTCTTGATGACAGGCCTATTTTGACTACAAAACACCCACCCTTTGCTACGTGACACAACAGCAGTTGGTAAGTGGCAGAGGGGAACCCCAAACCTAGAAAACAACAGAAACATTCAAGATCACCAGAAACCACCACGCAAGCACTGCTCTGCTGTGCAGCCTCAGCTCCAAACAAGACGGAAGCACATCAAGAAAAACTCATTTGGTCAAAGTAGATTACGATTATGACAGCCAGACATACGCGGCAGGTGTCGGAATAAGCAGAGATTAAACCATTACACTGCACTGTGATGTACCTGGATAGTACCAGGGTGAGGACTGTGCTTGAACACACATTCTCCTGTTAGTTTCTTGGACTATCATGCCCACTGGAAAGCCTGTGCCAACAAAAAACCTCTGAGAGGGATGAGCACTGTCCTTCCAGGGTGAGTAAACACCCGGTCAGTTTCTATAACGCAACATGGTGTGATGGAGCCAGGCAGGGGGCCGGACCCCTCACTGCACAGGCCATCGTGCTCAAGTACCCGAGCAGCGTTTCCATCAGAAGTGCAGTTCGCCTGTTTGTTCCTGGAAAGCAGCAGTGATCATTCCTGCACATGATCTGCTCACAGGGATCACAAAGCGCACCTGTAGGCTTTAAGGGGTGGGGGGTAACTCTGCTCTCTTGAGGGCCCCATGTGACAGCATTGTGGGTCCCCCTCCCCTCACAGCCATCCAGGCAGGAAATCTGCCAGGCCATGCAATTCCATAGCCCGCAGAATAATGCGGAGAGCAGCAAAGACCCAATACCTGTGCACTTGGGATTCATCTTTAAATTTGGAAGATTAATTTGGTGCTCAGTTAAAAATAGTAACCCATCCAAAAGAAAAATTTCAGCTCAAAAAACACGTTACCAGCTAATATTACCCTCTCCCTACAACCCCCAGACTGGCTTCACAAAGACCGCATTCTGGTGACCAGGACAGAAACAGGGCTCGTCCACGCTTCAATCAATCCAAATCTTAACTGACATCGCTATAGTCAAAGAACAGTGGGGAGGCTATGCGCGTTCCAGAGGGGGTCCCCGCGGACAGACACAAGCGCAGAGACGACACTTTTAGCCAAGAATTGCAGAAAAGTTGCCCGAGCTTCACGTCCACGCCAGCTACCAGCCCCTGGTAACCCAAACACAGGCCTTTCCTTTTTTCTTTCTCTTTAATAAGGAAACCCCCAAGCCTATTTTCATTAACTATCTACAGCATAATATCAACAGATTTGGGGGGAGGAGACTAACAAGAGTCTCCTTAGATACTTACCGAGACCTAGAAAAGGAAAAGATACTTTATCTCTCTTAGAGATTTCAGTTGGTGATAAGAATTCATTAGGCTAAATAAAAAAATGTAAGTGGACATGTAATTACACCATTTCTTTTAATTTTGTTTAAAATTTTTTATAATAACTTTTTAAATGTGATTGTGAGGTCCACAGGTTTCAACACTATTTTATAATTTAGGAAAGTAAAACTAGAAAATGCTGTACCTAATCACTTACCTCTTTAATTTTAGAAGCAAGCTCCTGCCTTTCTTTTGAAACGCTGGCAATTTTTTCATCTAATTCTTGCTTCTGAAAAAAATTAGAATGCCATCATTAAAATTAAACAAGCATTGTATAATGTTTTCCAGTGGATTACCTCACATGTCAAAGCGTGAACCTCCACTACCAGTCTGTTTTCTCCTTCCCAGTCAAGTCCTGGCTCCCTCCTGCATGTGTGCAGAGTCCAGCCGAACCACACGCGTGGAGCAGCAGATGGAGCACACAGCTGCTGCATGCCGGCTGGGTGGTGGCACCTGTGCAGACCGGTCTCTGCCCGGACACCAGCCCCTCAGCACATCGCCCAAGACAGCAGTCCGCAGGGTCACAAGCAAAGGTTAAGCTCCTGTTCTCTCCCCAGCAGCCCTTGTGATCAACAGTGCCCCTGCCTCACAGCTCCTTCCCCCAATCTCTAGATGGTTCAAAGGTGGTTTCTCAGCCACACCCCAGTCCCCCCTCTGGCTACAGTGTGGTAAGCCCCAGCATCTGTCCTTAGAAACAAGCATCAGGGGCCTCCCCTGGTGGCACAGCGGTTGAGCGCTGGGTTGTGAAGCTGCCCGCAGCCTCTGCAAGCGCTGGTTCGATCCCCGGCCACCGGCGAGGGTCCCACATGACATGCAGACCTCTCCTGCCGCCTGCTGTGGTCCTGCTGCCTGCTGCTCCCCTCAGCAGTGTACTTCGTCACTCTGCCTGTTCTGTTCCCCGCTCTGGCTCTGGTGAATCCTCTCACCCTCCCGTGCTTCTGACTGTAGCCAGTGCTTGTATGAATAAATAAATCTTTAAAAAAAAAAAAAGAAAAGAAAAGAAACAAGCATCAGACCTGCCTGCATGTTTAGTGACTAATCAGAGTCCTTCCCTGGAACTGAAGCCAGAGGCTGGGAGAGAAACCTTACCTCCTGCTGGGTTTCTGGCGCCCCAAAATACTAGTATTCCTCACCTCCTGAAGAAGAAATGGCTGACATACAGAAAGGACCTCATCTGAGCCGCTGGATCCAGCCATGCTGAAGTTAATCCATTCTCAGATTTCTAGGTATAGGAGCCACTGAACTCCCTTTTTGTCTAACTTAATTGGGTTTCTTCCACTTGCAGTATAGAAACAAAGTAAGGCAGACATCAGCAATCTACAGCCTGTTAGCCCATTTAGTTCACCGTCTGCTTTTGTAAATAAAGTCTTATTGAAACAGAGCCACATGCATGCATTTGTTATATATTATCCATCTATGGTTGCTTTCATGTTACAGGAGCAGAGTTCAGTGGTTGAAACAGGCCATTTGGCTGCAAAATCTAAACATTTACTTACTTGTCCCTTTCAAAAAAATTTGTTAATCCCTGATGTTAATCCCTGATGCAAGCCACTTTTGTATATATTTTTTTAAAGATTTATTTTATACAAGAACTGGGGTACAGGTCAGATGCGCAGGAGGGTGAGAGGATTCACCAGAGACAGAGCGGGGAGCAGAACAGGCAGACTGATGAAGACACTGCTGAGGGGAGCAGCGGGCGCGACAGGAGAGGTCTGCTCGCCATGTGGGACCCTCGCAGGCCAGCCAGGATCGAACCAGCACTGCAGAGGCTGCGGACAGCTTCACAGCGCTGTGCTCAACCACCTGCACCACCAGGGGAGGCCCACTTTTATATAATTTTTATACATAAATTATGCTATTCCACAATGAAAGAACAGACCAAATACTCATACTCAACTAGCTTGTGTACCTAGGAGCTATACAACATCAATCAAGATGTGGTTGCCTGAAACAACAAATAAACGCTCACCTGCATCTCCCTACCAACCCGGCATAGAGCACGCTGGCGGGAAAGCTCATCCAGCTGAAGATCCAGGTATTCCTTTCTTCTGTGCATCTCCTGAACATGAGAAGGTAAGTCTTTTTCTAAAAAAAAAAGTAAGAAAAAAATCATATGCTAATTCTAACACACATGTGTATATACACAGAAGAAGAAGAACCAGTTCTCAAAGCTAAACTGTTCTACAGTCACTAAATCCCCTACTGCCCAGGCACTTTTCAGCACACAAAGCAGACACAGCACAGAAGCCTGCCTGAGCCAGTACTTACTCATCCTGTGGTTGACTTGGCTGTCCAAACTGAACTTTAGGACCTCATTGTTAATAGACTTTTCTGGACCCAGACGTACTAAATTTATATCTCCGCAGTTTCCTGTTGAGAAAAATATCACATTTAAGAGATTAATGAGGACAGCCACAGTGCACACATATGAACAGACATATTACAAACAGATATAAAGAAACACGTTACTGATCAGAGAAGGGAGCGATCATGAACTACTGAACAAGACAGTTGGCACTAGAGGCTCATACACACTTAAGGTGTTCTCCACAACAACTCTGTAAGGCATGTACCTTCCATTTCTACCGAATAAGAGCTAGCGAGGTCACATAAACAGTAATTTGCAGAGGTACATATATGCTTCTCAAACTATATTCTGTAGAATATTTCATGGTAGGTGGGATATGGCAAGATAAATTAAAATAGATTTCTTAAGTACAGTATAGTCCAAAAATATGTAAAGACATATATATTAATATACAATTGAATTTCCAAAACACAATCTTATTTGAAAATTCTTTTCTGTAACCTATCCAGAGAAAGTTTTTGAAACTGTTCCACATCACCTTGCTACTGCAGAATCTAAGAGTCACAACATGCTGGAAATTCTACTAGAGTATGGTGATTCAAAATACTGTAAATACCATTTAACTGGTTAGTTTATCAACTGCATTCTTATTTTAGGCAATTGCACTTTACATAAGATTTCATCTACAAATCTACCGCATTACTGGCTGTGTGCTAGCCCAACGTGACGCGCTGTGCCATCTCTTGCGCCCATGAGAGAACAGGGCTTTGTTCAGTCCACTGCCTGGAAGAGAGGCTGACACACGAGGCAGCAGGTATGCGCTGGACGATGAATGACGTCTCATCCAGCTGTCTACAGCGTAGCCTTTCCCAGTCCAGCTTGTTCTTCTACATCAAATGCCGTCTTCCCTGGCCAACATTTACTTGAAGGATTCAAGCCCATTTCTCCTCCAGAAAGGTGGACGGGATTCATCCACTGGAAACTCATCCACTATTAGCACCCAGAAATTCTCCATAAGTTAAAAGACTTCCTTTAAACGGCAGGATGAGTTCATGAGAATGCAAGAGAAATTCCCAGAGGCAAAAAACAAACAGAAAGCTGAAACCCAGAGGAGAAAGCGCCCGAGCCGCTGTGGCTTCCGTGGAACCAGGGCTGGCCACAGTCTAGGTACTATGCGTTTGCTTTTAAACTTACATTCAGTAAAATGCAGGTTTCAAAATCTCTAGTTCCAGAGCATCTGACAGTTGTCTACACTGGCAAAACCTCCATTCCAATCAAGAGACTAAAGTCCTATAAACGGGCGCTTGTACTTTAAAGGGACCACAGAGCACAAGGGTCCGAAAGAGGAGGAATGGGGAACAGGTGCCTCTGCCTTGGTTTGCTCAGGAGATGCCATAGCTGCTAATATGAATGACGGCAGAGCCAAAAAACCACAAATCTCTCAAACACAGTGTGAGGGAAAGAGCTGCAGCTGAGTCTGAGAGCAAAAGAAGCCTCTAGCAGGAATGCGGGGGCGCGTGGGTGTCCTGTAATTCTTCTACAGTCTGACACAGCCAGTTCGTTCCCTCACTGCAGTGAACATCTCATACCTGCAGCTGGGAAACAGGCTTAAGTACAGGAATGTTCACTGTAATAAGGTTTGGAAGAACAACCAAAAAAGGAGAAAGCCCTTACATTTCTATCAAGAAACAATAAATTATATACACGAAATAGCTAATAGCTGCTAATATGAATGACAGCAGAGCCAAAAAACCACAAATCTCGCAAACACAGTTGAGGGAAAGAGCTGCAGCTGAGTCTGAGAGCAAAAGAAGCCTCTAGTAGGAGACAGATGGGAGTGGAAGGAAAAATGTGGGTGATCCCTTGAGTCAGGGATGACATGTCCCAGCATCTCCTGCAACAGATTCTGGCTAAGCTAGCAGTACAACTAGCGCTGTCTGCTGCCACTGGCCTGCTTCACCCTTTCCTCAACCCGCAACTCCCAGAGCTGACACAGCCCTCTCTGACCACAACGAGCTCTCAGAAATGGAGCCACACACAGTTAGGAACCAGCGAGGAGCCTGGTCTCAGGCCTCTGAAGCAGAGTCACTGGTACCAGTCTCATCCTGCACTGCCCATTTCTTCGCCAGAGAAGAAATGAGCACCTATCATATTTAAGCTGCTCTATTTGGCGCCGCTATGCTTTGCAGTTGAAGCTCATCCTAACTGCTAAGAGGCACCGTCAGGGAACCTCAAGGGAAATAAAAGTTGGTTAGCCCCGGGAAGGCATCGGGGGCAAAGCATAAGCACGCACTCACTACAGAGGCGGAGCGTTAGAGCCAGTAAATGTGTATTTTACATCTTCCCTCGAATGTCTGGATCATTTGTGATGATAATGCTCTTCACTAATACGTCAAGGGTACTGCAAACAGGTTCCCTCTGAGGTGTAGTTTACAGCTCTACTCTCCAGTTTAACACTCGGGCAAGCTATAGATAGCAGGGAGCTTAGGATAGCCCAGCTCTACTGATCTATCCGAGGTTCTTTTGTCTTGGTCCTTTTCATTCACGGTAAATTATGCTAGCGTCTCCTCCCTCCCCTACTTCCCAAGGCTAATTTTTAACTACTCATGAGGGTTCATTTTAGACATCACCTCCTCTGAAAGTCTTCCCTAATCCTTGCCCTGTGGAGGGCCTCCCTGGTGGCGCAAGGGATTAAGCACTGCACTATGAAGCAATCCGCAGCCTCTGCAGCATGAGTTCAATCACTGGCCGGCCAGGGAGCAACCCACATGGCGCGGCAGATCTCTCCTGTCTTGCCCGCTGCTCCTCTCAGCAGTGTGTGTCTCAATCAGTCTGCTTGTTCTGTTCCCCGCTCTGTGTCTGGTGAATCCTCTCACCCCCGCCCCCCGCATCTCTTGCCTGTACCCCAGCTCTTGTATACATAAATAAATCAATCTTAAAAAAAAATCCTTGCCCTGTGGAGTTAAGGTTCATGCTAAGGAGTCTGAGATCCCCACATTCACCCCTACTCTGGGACTGCCAACTCTGCTACAATGCCCACTAACCTGGCACTAGCCCACCCACTTCCTCTGGGGACCATCTCTTTGACGTTCCTTGGCACAGAGCCTGGCACCAAGTAAATGCTCAGTAGTATCTGCTACGTGAGTTAATGAGCTCATGCAGGTCACACCCCCAAGCTGAAGTTATTACCAGAACCAGCTTGTTGTGGGCCATCCACAGTTGCCCACACTAAATACTAAAAACAAAAACAAAAATAAATGAAAAGGCTAAGAATTACCCTACCTAAAGGATTCTTCTTGTCTTTACATTTTTCTTTGAATTCGAGGATAATTTTTTTCATCAGTTCATCAACAGCCGCGTTGGAAGGCGCACACACGAGGACACGGTTCTGTTTGATTTTGGCGTTGGAGTTCTCATCCGAATGTCCCCTCCTCTGGGTCTGCAAGTCGCCACATACACCAAACACACACAAAACACTGATGAGCGCTACTACGCAGCTTTAGTGTTCTCTCCTCCTACGGAGGGTCAAGTTTCCTTTATAGTTAAAAATAAAAGCAACAGCATCTGACAAATTGCTGTTAAAACTGCTGTCACAAAATTCTATCCTAACTGCTGAGCCTGACTTCCCTCCACGCTTCTTTTACTCAATACTCAGTGTGCCAAAACATGGCCCAGGCACACACTCGAGATGCCACAGACGTAGCCTACAAGGAGGCCAGGAGCCCGCCTCCAGGAGCATCTTCTGCTCTTCCTCTTCTGACCTTCTCTCTCTCTGCAGCCCCTTTCCCTACGTCACAGTTCCTCACGGTACCACTAAGATAGACACCAGGGAGACGGCATGTCCGCCTCATTCACACCCGCACGCGCCGCTCTCCGCGAGCAGCAGGCCCTCGCACACTACCTCTGTCAGCAGGCGGTACAGGAGGCCGACGATGGTTTTCGACTTTCCCGTTCCAGGTGGCCCATGAATCAGACAGATCTTGGCAACCGCCGGGGAGTGCTTCACCATGGCATACGCGGTCTCTATCGCCTTCTTCTGGTCTTCGTTGAAATCTCTTAAGTAGGCAGTCTGCACGGAAGACACCAGAGACAGCTGTGCCTCCCGCAGCAGCACTTGAGAAACACCCGCATGAGCTTCCTCTAACCCAAAGCTTAAAGCTTCGGCTGTGATCAGACCACACCCCAAAGTGACATTTCATCACAGAACCATTTCCATTTCGAGAAAGTCACTTATGATGGCCATAGGCTTTCAGACCACCTACAAATACAACTGTGTTTTACTTGTGATTCTTACAAAAATGACCATAAGTCACGCCCTAACTTTCTTCTATTTATTCTTTGGTTCTTCCCATTTGAATCAGTTCTGTCCTTACATAGCAAAAACATTCCAAGACTTCCTTTCCCAACACGATGTGACCCAGCGAGAGAACACTCTCAACTCCTAACCTCGGAGTCCCTGAGCTTTCCTCGGAGAGAGAGAACTGACTAGAGAACACCCGAGTGCACCCCAGGGCACGGCAGGGCTTCAATATGATGACTTTCCTTCTGTCTTTCTCTGTGTTCATTTCTGGGACGTATGGACAGTTCCTACAGTGAGAAATATGTGTTCACGCAAAATGACAACCTGATCTTCACACTTAGAACAATACCTGTCAATTCTCCACATCAACCTTTCAAGTGTAAAATTAACTCCATTAAAGCTGTGCCTCCTCAAGCATTTTAGTCACCTGCCACTGTCCCGTTTCATGCACATGCAATGCTTTCTTGCGCGGCCCGCTTCCTGCGGTGGGCAAGAGGCCAAGCAACCTAAGGCAGACTCTCGAGTACGAGAAAGAACAAGCACCACTGCACACAGTGACGCTCTGATGTCCTGATGTGAATGGCCTCACTTCCCATCATCCAGCGACTGCTACTCACAATTCTCTCTGACGTTGTAGTCAGCAGATCTTTTGTACTGAAGTCCATGGGGTTTGGATTCAGAACAGCTCTGGCCAGTTGGCTCTGATCACTCAACAAAGACATGGCTCTTAACTTCCTTTGTGTAGTTACCAGAGAACTGATTACAATGCATTTCACCAATTCATTTAAGTTGACTGGCAGAGTATCTTGAGTCTGGATGGAAAGGGAACACTCAGATTTCCCGTTACGCACTGTTATCGAGGAGGAGAAAAACAACTTCAGTTACTAGTGAAGAATGGTATACAGTTAAAAAGGTTATTTAGGATTAGGTAATTTATACCTTATGTTTATTGTATGACATATTAAATAATTCACTCAATAAATATTTACTGAATGCCTCCTCAGAGCCAGTCAGCATTCCTGTCCGCAGAGGCTCACTCTGTAGACGAGGAAGGCAGATAGCAAATAAAGGTGCCAGGTGGAGCCGAGTGTTCAGAGGGAGCAGAGAAAGGGGATGAGGAAAGGAGGGGCGCGGGGGGAGGTCACCGTCAACAGGAGTCAGGGCAAGACACTCGAGCAGAGGCTTGAAAAGCCCTTATCTGAGCAAAGACAGTTACAGGCGGAGAATCAGCAACTGCAAGACCACGTGGCAGGGACACGGCTGGGGTGTTTCAGGAACAGGGACGTGGCTAGTGTGGGGGAAGGGAACGCAGGGAGAAGGGCACCAGGAGTGAAGGGGGCTCCTGATGTTCTGCTGAGTCAGGCCAAAAGCACAGGACAGCTCTGTGCTGGGAAGTGACGTGCTCTGACTTACACACTGAAAGCATCACCTTCATTGAAAGAGTGAAGAATAAACTGCAGTGGGAAAAGCACAGATGCAGAAAGACCACATAGGAGGGTCTACGTAGCTGGGGGGTAGAAGATCACGGTAGTGCAGACGAGGACAGAGACGTGGAGGTGGGGGTTGGGTTCTGGATATGCTGCACAGGAAGAGTCACTAAACTTTGCCAACGGATGAGATGGAGGCTCTGAGAGAAAGGCAGGCTCAAGGATGGGCCCGAAAAACGTAGCACAGAGGCCCCACTCACTAAGATGGGGAAACCTGAAGGAACAGCAGATGTCAGGGAGAAAACTCAAGAACTTTTGGGGCTAGTAGGTTGAAAATGTCTACTCAGTCTCCAGATAGAGGCAGTCAGACAGTTGGGCACTCAGGGAAAAAAGACAATCTTAGAAAAATTAATTTGGCCAGTGTAACAATTTCCTAGAGTCTAAAGCAGAGAGCGCACTGCAGGCCTGCCGCACCCCTGATGCTGCCCACTCCAAGAACCGAGCTCCAGCCATGCTGACAACTCTGCACACTCGTCACAGCGCAGCACGACACTGAATGCCAAGGAGCTTTGTGCTGTTTTTAAAATATGATGCAAAGAAAGCAAAGGGATAATGGTATCCTGTTTTCTTCACGCAGCCAAGACTAGGATAGTCAAACAGGCAGCTTGGTGCAGAATAAAGAATGTGGACTTTGCAGCCAAACAAAAGTAGGCTTCGATTCTGGGTCCACATCAACTACCTGACATCCCTGAGCCCTGACTCCCCAATGAGCAGAGAACAGATAATTCTCACAGCTTTGCAGGGCTCGGGAGAAAAGGACACACACACCCAGGGAAGAGCGGGCACGCTGCCCTCTCCACGACAGGGAGAGGCTCCACAACAGCATGGACTGAACGGTGGGAACAGCGAAAGCCTCCATTATATAACAATGAGTTAGGTCTGGCCTCCTCAGTAACAGTCGCAAAATCAAGGCTGGAATGTGATTTAAGATGTATCAGACTGTGAGAGATAGACAAGCTGCAAGCCAATACAATGACAGAGGAAGGGATGTGCCAGAGGAGAAGACATTACAAAGAAAATTTTTGTTTTTTTTTTTTCATGCAAACAAGAGCTGGGGTGCAGGCCAGAGATGTGAGGGGGTCAGGGGGGTGGAAAGGATTCACCAGAGACAGAGTGGGGAGCAGAACAGGTGGATCTACTGAAGTACACTGCTGAGGGGAGCAGTGGGGAGACAGGAGAGGTCTGCTGCGCCATGTGGGTAGCTCCCTGCTGGGGATCAAACTCAGGCCACATTGGCTGCAGATAGATTCACAGTGCAGAGACTTAACCCCTGAGCCACCAGGGAGGCCCCACAAAAGAAAGTTTTGAAGTCATAAATCTAGAGCAATAAATTCTGTTTCTTCCCAGGTGAATCTAGAAAAACTAAAGGACTGAATGGCAAGTGACCAACCCACCAACACAGGTTTGGCAGCTGCACGGCAGAGACAGGGCTGGTAGAAGAGCAATTAAAGGGGAGGAAGAGAAGACTTTACATCTGACAGACTTCTCGCCAGCGCCTCGTTATGAAACTTACTGACAGAAGTGCGGCGGAATTTGTGGACATAACCACAGTAATACTCATGGGGATCTTGCATGCAATTTCTCTTCGCATCCTTCTTCTCTCCACTTAGTTTTTCAGGAACCAAAAATACCAAATCATTTTCCTTTGGATGAAGCTGCTTGGCCAGTTCACATTCCTCAAGAGAAACTGTGAGAGAACAAGGAGTCAGCATTTATATAACTGAACCAGAATTTTAAAGGAAGTTAAAGGACAGTAAACCCTGGAACTTGGATTCAAGCCATTCCACCGCACCAGTGGGCGCTACGTGCTTCCCCATGGTCTGCGCCCGTCCCGTCGGCGCTTCAGATTTGGATTCTATGGTATAAAAGCATCTGTCTAAGGAGCTACTACAAGACCAAAATAGAGGAAACCGCAATATTTAAAGTAATTAACCAGCTTGTTTCCTTCAAATTTAAGTTTTTAATTAGATTCTTTTGTTCCCCATTTTCACAATTTCAGGAGAAATCCAGAAACAGACTCAAGTGTATGTAAGAATTTGGAACCTACTGGTGACATGTCAAGGGGGAAAGCACAGCTGTAAAAAGAGCAGGACCTGCAAAACAGAACAAGCTCTAGAATAAGGAATTTTAGTGCCCACTGAACCCTCAAAGTCAAAAATGCTGATAAGGAAATGGAACACGTGGGGCGCTCATACACTGGGAGGGGGGCATGTATAGTGAACAACCACCTTGAAACACAGTTTGGTGGCTTCCTATAAAATGAAGCATCATGTACTACTCAACAAGCCTACTGCGAGATGTTTATCCAAGAGAGTAATATAAACTTATGTCCATGCATCCATGCTGATGTGTACATGCATATTCACAACCACTTTACTCAGAAGAGTCCAAAAATACCCCTCGCCCTTACATCATACACGAAAATAAACCCTGGATACAATGCAAAGGTCAATTTACTGGTGAACAGAGAAACAAATTGTGGTGAACAGAAACAATGGAATTCTGAGCAGTGAAAAAAAGCAACAAAAAGGTTGTGCAACAACATGAAGTAATCTCAGAAGCATTACACTGAGCAACAAAGTCAGACACAAGTACGAAGAACATTCTACACCACAGTAACTCCATTTACAGGAAATTCAAGCAAAGGCAAAATGACAGTTATAGAGACCGGATTACTTCAAGGGACAGGAAGTGAGGAGAGGACTGAGCACAACTTAAGTTTGACAACTGAAAGTAAGCTGGATATTCACACAGCTGAAAGGTGGAAGCAGTCCACACGTCCACCAGCTGATGAACAAAATAAATGTGGCACACCCACACACGTACTAGTCCCCCACAAAGAGGCGTGCCGTTCTGACATGTGGGGAAAACCTGTTCCTCTACTTCCCACCAGACACCTCTACCTCCACACCCGGAGGCCAGCCATGTTGCCAATCGGACCCGAGAGTCACAACCCGTGCACCCACCGCCTACTGGGTGATCAGGCGGGACAGGGAGCCCATGCGTGACAGGCAGCTGCAAATGGGCAATGTCTTACTATCTGATAACTCTGAAAGGACATCTATGATACATTAAACATAACGTCAAGCGAAGTGAGGATCTCATTTTCTTCATAGCTCTACACCCGGCGTCTAGAATCACACACTATCAGTTGGCGTGTGGTCAGGGAACACCTGCTGGATGAGTGAAAGCGTCACGAAGTAGCTAAAGGACTCCAATATCCACACTTCCCAGAGCTGAGTGCGGGGTCTGCGGGTAAGATGTAAACTAATGTGCTCACAGGGCTGGTTCTGAATGTCAAGGGCCGGTGATAATTTTATTGCTGGCCAGTATTCTACAATATTCCACAGGGCCCTACAGCACCTTCCCCAAGGCACACATATGTGCCTTCTTCCTTAAGTGAAAGGAGAGAAAATCACAAGACAGTTGATGGGTGACAGGACCAAGTACTCAGAATCTACAAACACTGTTGCCATGATGCCTATTCCCCCACCCGCTAGTGGTTAACACCATGAATTCTGTATTTGTAACTGTCCCAGTAATAACCCTCATTAACATTTTAAACATTCTGTGTAAAAAGTTACACACTCAGTTTAGGAAACATTATCTCCCATATATTCAAACAATGATATTTCCTCTTCAGTGAAAGGCTCCTATGATTATATAAGGCCCAAGTTATACACAAAAGAACTTACCCACCAACTCCCAGCTTTTTTCATACTCAGTAGGAAATTTTCGGACATGCAACTGATAGAATTTCTCTTTATTTGGAGAACTGATCCATTCCTGGGCCACCTATACAAAACAAATTAGGAAAGTTAAGATATCCTGGAAAGCAAATGCCAAACAGTAGAAATGGCCAAAGTGAGCTACAGTGAAATGTAAAACCTAGACTTCCAAGAGACAGAAACATTAAAAACTTCTTTTTAACATCATACTGGAAGTTCTACTTAGTACTACGCGATAAAAAGCTTTCTAATTGGAAAAGAAAAAATAAAACTTTCTTCAAAGATATGATTATCTATGTAGATTGAAAAAGAAAAAACAGTGCCAGAATTAATACACAGAGCAAGACTGCAGGATACAAAGTAAGATGGGTTAATCACAGCTCTATATAACATACAAATGTAATTAGAAATTAAAAATATAACCATTTACATGAACACCTCCTAAAAGGGCATTTTTGGGTATAAATCTAACAAAATAAGTATAAGATCTATGAGTGAAAAACAGGACACTCTGATGAAAGCATTAAAGAGGAACTGAATAGAGACAAGGTCCACGGTCACAGTCAGGAAGACACAACGCTGTCAAGATGTCAAATTTTCCCAACTTAACCTGCAGATTCAATGCAGTCCTAATCAAAACCCCAGCAAGCTGTCAATTAGCTGGTTCTTTTAAGGTAGAGCAAAGTGGAGCAAAGATGGTCTTGTAGTAAAGGTGCTGGAACAACTGGACATTCATATGCCAAAAAATGAAGCTAGATTCAGAACTTACACCCTTCACAAAAATTAACTCAATATGGAACATAGTTTGAATGTAAAATACAAAATGAGTCACGCGCCACATAACAACACTCAGTCAACAGCAGTGGCACCTGACAACACGGGGTGTGCAGTAAGTACACCCATGACATTCACAGAAGGACAAAACCCCCTCATGACACCTCTCAGAACATACCCCTGGTTAATCGAGGCATGACTACATGGAAGGCCTGGGAGCCCCGAGCAGAAAGCCCAGACGACCCTGGGTATGGTATGGAGGTGCCTTTTCATACAGAACACCAAAGGCAAGAACCATGAAAGTAACAACTGACAAGTGAGACTTTACAGAGAAATTAAAATTTCTCTATAACAGACAATCTCAAAAGAATGGAGACAAGTAACAGACTCGGAGAATATATTTGCAAAAGACACAGCTGATAAAAGACTATTAACCAAAGTATACAAAGAATTCCTAAAACTCAATAAAAAGAAATGATTAAATGAGACATGCACTGCATACCCATCAGAACGGCCAAAATCCAAAACGCTGACGTCACCAGATGTTGGTGAGGATGGAGTGATGGGACTCATCAGCCATTGCTGAGGGGAATGCAAAATGCGCCTCTAGTCACTTCGGAAGGCAAATTCCTATAAAACTAAACAGTCTTGGGCCCCCTTGGTGGCACAAGAGGTTAAGACGCAGCACTATGGAGCTATCCGCAGCCTCTGCAGCACAAGTTCAATCCCCAGCCGGCCAGGGAGCTGACCCACATGGCAAGCAGACCTCTCTTGTCTCGCACGCTGCTCCCCTCGGCAGTGTATTTCAGTCCTTCTGCCTGTTCTGCTCCCCACTCTGTTTCTGGTGAATCCTCTCATCCCCCCACCCCACACCTCTGGCCTGTGCCCCAGTTCTTGTATATATAAATTTAAAAAAACAAACAAAAAACCCCCTAAACAGTCTTAATGTCTAATGCAGCAACTGCACCACTCGATTTACCCCAATGGACTGGAAACTTCTATCACACAAAAACCCAACAACTTCATTCATAACTGTCAAGATTTGGCAGCAACCAAGATGTCCTCTAGCAACTGACTGGATATACTGAGGTACACCCAGACAAGGAAAGATTATTCAGCAGTAAGAAGAAATGAATTACAGGCCTCCCTGGTGGTGCAGGGGTTAAGCACAGCACTATGAAGCAATCTGCAGCCTCTGCAGCACGAGTTCCATCCCTGGCTGGCCAAGGAGAAACCCACATGGTGTAACAGACGTCTTGTCTGCCCGCTGCTCCCCTCAGCAGTGTATTTCAGTCAGCCCCCCGTTCTGTTCCCCACTCTGTCTCTGGTGAATCCTCTAACCCCGCCCCCGCCCCCCCCCCACCTCTGGCCTGTACCCAGTTCTTGTGTGCATAAATAAATAAATGAATCGTACAGCCATGAAAAGACACAGGAAAACCTATTGTGTATTACAGGAAGGACGCCAATCTGGAAAGCTGTATGATTCCAATTACGTGACACCCAGGAAAAGGCAAACCTATGGAGGACGTGGAGAGAGTGGAAAGGTCAGTGGCTGCCAGGGAGTAGGGAGGAGGAAGAGATGAATATGCGAAGCACATTCTAATAAGACAACAGCAGACACAGGTCACACGCTGGTCACCCCAGAGTGACACCAAGAGTGGGCTGCAGACTGGCGGCAACGGTGAGAAGATGCGGGCTCTCCTATCTGAACACAGGACACAAGTACCAGTCTGGGGCGCAGAGTCACCAATGGAGGGCCATGAGTGTGTTTGGGGATGGGCCCCTGTACCCCTGCCCAATTTTGCTGTTAACCTACAGCTGCTTTAACAATTCTTTAAAAATTGTGCCAGAATGACACACTGTCCAATTCAGAAGCCGTTAGTCACACACAGCTCTTTAACTTTAATGTCACTCTGACTAGCCACATTTCCATTTAAGTGTCTTATTACATACTCAAGGTTTTTTTTTTTACTTTTTTTTTTAAGAAGTGGGGTACAGGCCAGAGTTGCGGGGGTTGAGAGGATTCACCAGAGAGTGGGGAGCAGAACAGGCAGATGGACTGAAATCCACTGCTGAGGGGAGCAGCAGGTGAGACAGGAGAGGTCTGCTGCGCCCTGTGGGTTGCTCCCCAGCAGGCCGGGGATCAAACTCGCACTGCAAAGGCCACAGACAGCCTCACAGCGCTGCACTCAACCCCCTGCGCCACCATGGAGGCCCTCAAGTTTTTGTTCTTAAGGAATTTGAAAAACATAAGTATCTACTTCCTGTCCCCTTACCTGCTTTGAGAACACCAAGAAACACCCTTCATGGCGCACACGGATATTTATGCCAGCACTACAGCCGTTTACACCAGCACTAAAGCTGTTTCCCGAGGTTCAAATTCAACTCGGACCCCGCACTTTACCTGGCAATCCAGTCAGGGCCCAAGGCTGAGAGAGCAGAATGGACACGCTGAGGTGGGGGAGGCACTCAGAGGGGAAAAGCAGTGCTCTGAGTAAGAAACTGGGAAGATGTCTACGGAGCAGCTTAGGATTTACTGTTTTGTGGCGTTAAATGCACTTTCCCCTTTGCCACTTCCCCAAGAAAACGCCAGGGAAGGTTATCCCTGCTTGTTTCCTTTTTTACTTTTTTTTTTAGATTATTTATTTATACAAGCACTGGGTACAGTCAGATGCACGGGAGGGTGAGAGGATCCACCAGAGCCAGAGCGGGGAACGGAACAGGCAGACTGACGGAAATACACTGCTGAGGGGAGCGGAGCAGCGGGCGGCAGGAGAGGTCTACATGCCATGTGGGACCCTCCCTGGCGGCCCTGGGGATCAAATGGGCAGCTTAGCGCACATTAGCTGCGCCACCAGGGGAGGCCCTTGTTTCCTTTTTTAAATGCAGATGGAGACCATCTCCTCGGAGAAGCCTCCCCTTCTCTTTGAATGAAAAGCACCATTTCCTCCTATGCTGCTGACACAACAAGCTCCAGCAGGGCAGACGTTAAGAGGTGTCCCCTCAGCCACCACCCCTGAGGAGAACCTGGCTAGAGCGGCTGTGCAGCCGGAAGTCTACAGACTACATCCAAATCAAGAGGTCAGTTACTTTAACTGCACTCCGCACTCAGCTCAAGCAGCAACTGCACACGGCACGGTGTACCCAATTAAAACATATACTTACCGTTTCAAAAGTATTCAGTATCATCAAAGGGAAAAACACATTAAAATATTCTCTATAATCTTGAAATCTGACCGGCACCGGTCTGCAGACGGAATGACACAGGCTCGCGGGAGGCCCAAACTGATCCAAAGTCACAAACATGTCGTATTTCCACTTCAAGACCTCCTTCACGAAGGCGTCCGAGATGGACTGCGACGGCAAGAGAATGTTGCCTGAAGAGGCCGGGGAGAAAGATCTGCTTTCAGCAAAGGGAAGCCTGTAGGGCGGCCTGCCGGCGGCGGCCGGAGTCTGAGAAGGAAGGACGCTGCACAGGCTCTTCACCTCCGCCACCGGCTTTGGGGGCCCGAGGAAGGCTGGCTGGGGCACCTTCACGCTGGACTGCACCCCGCTGGACTTGGTTTTTAGAGCTGGTGGGAGCGCGGCGTCGCTTTCCAAAGACCTGGAAAGGTTAGCACTTCGTGAGGTACAGCAGAAAATCTTCGTCCTGGAAGGCCTCAGGGGTTTAGAGGGCGGCAGGGGCAAGGCAGGCTTACGGAACACATCCTCATCCGCGGCTCTGGCCTCAGCGTGCGTTGCGCAGCCGTCGCCATGGGCTCTTGCGGCTTCGTTACAATCTCTGTGCTTAGACGTCCGGCTACTCGGAGTCTCCACCTGAGGCCGGCCGAGAGGATGTGTGCCCACCTGAACGGCATCTTTCCCCTGGGCCGGCTCAATCTCCATCTGCGAGCACAGATCCATGTCTTCAGGATCGTTCTGTGTTAAAAACAAACTATCGTCCTCCATGTCACTGCCAGCCTCGGGTTCTGGTTCTTTCCGAGTGGCCAAGTGTGTGGCGCGGGTGCCTCCACCTGCAGGGCCCGCTGAAGTAGAGGCCGCTGCCTCACTCGCCAGGATTCTTCCATTTAGCACCACAGAATTACACCGGTTTGAAAGAGACGTGTCATGGGTCACCTCAGAAACATGCTTTGCTCTCATGGGTTCTGGCTCAGAAGACACACATTGTATGAACTGCTTTCCATTACTGGTGGCAGCTGCTTTAGCTCCTCGCTTATAATCTGACCCACCGGAGTCCGATGCAAACATGTCATAACTCTGGGCTGCGCGGGGCTCTGCATTACCATTATCAAAAAGTTCTTGTCTACTGTGCTGTGATTTGGGTCTCACCTGCCTTCGCAACTGAAGATCTTGACTTGTCAGCAATTTCTTATTATTTTTAGCAGAGAGAGTCTGAGGAGAGATTAACTTAGTCTTCTTTCTGATATCCACTGCTCCCACATTCTTGCCGTGGTCACGTAACTGCACTATGTACTCCATAGACCGCTGAGACAACTCAAATGCCTTGCGAGGACCCTTTTTAAGGCGAAATTTCTCGGCTGTTGACGCAGGTTCAGGACACTGACGAGCTTTCTTTGGCGGCACAATAGCAGGAGTTGTCCTACAAGTGAGGTAACTGGAATTTCTGTTCGGGCCTTTTTTGGTATCTGAATGTGTTTTCTTAGGTTTAGAGACGCGGACTCTCCTAATGGGTCTGGAGTAACTACGCAGCTTTGGAGAAGACCTCTTTAGCGGAGCTGCGGCGGCTCTCTCCGTACTTGAGCTGGGAGTTACAGTCTTTATGTCGATAATTTTAAAATCATTTTCAGTCAGATCTCCCTCATTGAGACTATCAGCTTGGTACTCATCGTTGGCAGAGGAAGACCTTACAGGATCTTGGTCCACAGATTTGTCAAATCGTTTTCTCTTTGGCTTTTTTACTTCAACTTTGCAAAATTCCCCAACAGAAATACTAGCGCTCTGTGCTTCTGCGCGTTCTTCGGTGCCCTCTTTTTCCATGACCTCTTCAGACGCGTAACCGGTATAAGCCCACTGGTTTGTGACAGCAGGTTTACAGGTCAGACCGGACTTTTCTTCATCCTCTTGAGCTGAATGCTTGTCATCCAGTTCCTGATCTTGCCAAACTGAAAACACTTTATTTTGACTTTCAAACTCAAACATCTGAGAATCAGATTCTTCAAGCTGCAAAAGAGATTTAGTCTCTTCTTCCTTTATCACCCTTTCCACTCGCGTGTCAGAGATCGAAGCACGCTGCCCCAGACACTGCTTCTCTAGGCACATTTTATCTTGTCTAATGCGGTTTTCAAAACCCAGCATTCTCTCGTCGTCATCATCAGAATCTGAAATAATAATAACCTGTCCGCAGCGGCCTTCCGCAACAGCGTTCTGGTTCGTTACAAAACCATCTTTCACTTTTCCTTGTAGAGGGGACAAGCTCTTTTGAGTTGAATCTGAAGGAAATTTAATAACACTGGCTTGAGCTATTAAAGATAATTTGTGGAGGTCTCTGTCTACCTGTGAATCCGTTAAGGTGTCAGACTTAGGACTGGCGCTAGAGGCCTGCTCTCTCAAGTCAGGAGAAACCTGATCAGCACTCTGATCACTTTCCTTATCTCTTTTTTCAAACACAGTCAAAGGATCTTCAAAGGGAGATGTTTTCTTTAAGAAAGTATTGGTCATTTCTGTAAGAGGGGCCAGATCTTTATCACCAACACGGCAGTCCTGAACTTGACCGCTGTTATCATGGGAAGAGAAAATACCTAACTCCAATTGTTTTTTCAGCAACAAACTGTTTTGAGACTTCTGTTCTCCATTTTTATCATCCAGAATACCATTAGGGTGTAAACCCGGATTGTGTATAAAGCCATCCCCTTTCTGACCTGCTGCATCTTTCTTTGAAAAGAAACTCTCAATGTCTGAGTGAGTCAGGTTTTCCTCTAAATTGATAGCACTGCCAACCAGAGTACTTTTCCGGTGCTGTTTCTTTATTACGTGTGATAACTTAGCACAGATATCATCTTTTTGTGCCTTCATTTTTGTTTCTGAGGTTTTGCCACGAGCATCATCCTTTAAGAAGTCTTCATTTGACGTGGCCATCTTTTCCAAAGGTTTTTTGCTAGAATTAGCTAAAGAATGTGTTGATATTATTCCCTTGTCACATCCCCTTTCTGGACTATTTCTCAAAACACTACTCTTTGGCGTGTAAGAGGGATTCTCTTTTACAGACTTCTGCTTCCTTGTACTTATTCTGACTGCACCTGGAGCTCTCTCGGTGTGGTGGTTTTTACTGCTCTGCTTCAAGGATAGCTCAGCTGAGGGACGGTCTTGTAGCTTTGAATCTTTTACATAACTTTGCTTATTATCCTCTACTATAGTGCTAGTTGCTTTGACCAATACAGTCTCTTGCATTTGACATGCATCTGTTTTCACTGGTTCTTTAGAAAATGTGGGGCTGGAGTTTTCCAGACAGTGCACGTGTTTCTTAGATTTCTTCCCTATTTGCTCATTTTTTTCTTTTTTGTAAACTGCAGGAGGGTTTTTACACGCAGGAGTCAGATCCACATAAGCACAGTGTTGAGGGGCCTTGGCTTTTATGCTTTTGATAATTTGCCTTAAGCAGGTCTGTAATTCCAGGGTTTCCCGACTAGTCAACTGCCAGCCCAGAGATAAATTCCCCCGCAGGAATAAGTTGAGCTTATCCCAGAATCGCTTACAAAGTGTCTGCTGCCCAAGCTGATAGCCCTCTTTGAGAAGACTCCGGATCAGCTGCACACAAGCAAGCTGCACAGAGTTGGACGGCACCGCATGCAGCGCCAGAGAGGACACCACCGCCGCCGACCCCTTAGAGCAGTTTCCAGCTGACTTCTCCGAGCTCCGTGCGAACGCAGTGGTGGGGAGCTTGGCGCACTTCACGATGGCTTCCACCCACTGCTGGGAAGTCACCCACAGCAAATGCAAACACTTCTTATTTCTGTGTAGTTCAATCACTGACACCAAAATCAGAAGAAAAAATTCAGTCACTTTGTCACATACGACATCCGTTTGGTTGAGAACATCCTTGACTTCCGAGTGGAGATGATGGATGACCCCTGCTATGTACGCCACACCCAAGTCCTTCAGACCCATGAGGGACTGGACGAAAGGGATGAACCACAGAAACGTGCTGTTATGGACACGCATGTCTTGACCAATGTCTGACTGAAGCACGCTGGCTAATGTTTCCATCTCTTCATACATGTTAGGACAGTAATCTGGGCAAATGGCTGATCTCCACCCCGAATCCTACAATGAAAGAAAAACTGACGTTCAGATAAACAAGGAGCACTCCTGATAGGTGTGACACAAAAGCTGCCAACAAGAAAACACATTCCGCAATGTTCTTGGGTTTCGTAACGGGTTCGTCACATACTGTTTTAAATACAGGCCCCCCCTCCCCGCCCCGCCCAAGAAATCTGAAAAGTTGAATTTTGAGGTTTTCATGAACAGGTAAATTTATAAATTCTCCAGACACTATGGCCCTTTTCCATGGGTACTTGTGACTTTTTGTCATGTCACTTATCTCCCTCCCCCATAAACTCCCAGCTTCCCAAGTCCATGACAAATTAATCTTCCAAAGTGTGCACACTGAGCCTGAGCCCGCCCTCCTGGCACAGCACATCTGCTCACTCAGGGAGTCTTCATGCAGCAGTTGATTCAGAATAAAATCAGCAGGTCAGCTGTGTGAGATACTGCCCATGTGACAGCATCACTGCAAGTCTCAAATGCTTTATACCTTTTTGGTCTTTTCGGGGTTATAGTTGTACACAATCTGGCTGCAAGACACCATGTCATCCAAAAATGACTCCGGTTCATACTTGGCCCTTAAATATTAAGGACAGAAATTATTGAAATGACGTAAAAAACAAAAAGAAAAAACCCTACCGTCAAATCAGTCATGACAGACTTCTTTGTAGACGGCTTTTAAACCCTGACACGCTCACTGAACTAACCGTGCAGAGCTGTTTCGTATATTCTGGATCTCTCTGTTGTAGCTCACATTGTTGATGATGGTTTGAAAGGCCTCGATAGGATCAATAAGTTGACCCCAGACCTTAGATCCAAGGCGATCCAGAATCACCATGAAACAGTGTAATGCCGGCCAGAAAGGGTCCACACTATCATCTGAAACACAACAGAGGCATGGCCGAGTTACAAAACAGTCAGAAAAAGGCACCAGAGAAATACATCAAGAAGCATGCACTCGGGCCTCCCCGGTGGCGCAGCGGTTGAGCGCTGGGTTGCGAAGCTGCCCGCGGCCTCTATGGCGCTGGTTCGATCCCCGGCTGCTCCCCGGCCACAGGAGGAGGGTCCCACATGGCGCGCAGACCTCTCCTGCCACCCGCTGCTCCCCTCAGCAGTGTACTTCGGTCCTTCTGCCTGTTCTGCTCCCTGCTCTGGCTCTGGTGAATTCTCTCACCCTCCCGCACTTCTGACTGTACCCAGTGCATGTATAAACAAACAAACAAACAAATAAATAAATAAACATGCCTCTATTTAAAAAAAAAAAAAAAGAAGCATGCACTCTATGTGGGCGGCAACAAAACCAAAAGCAAAGTAACGAGTAACTTAAAGTGCTGCCAAACCATGGGTTTTTAAAAGCTGACAAATTCTTTAAACGTTTTTGCATTTTTTCAAGCAATACCATATGCCTCTCAGTCATTTTTAAATGGGGAATGAATAGCCTCAGTAAAAACTTTCTCGACCTGTCTGCCACACCCAAAACAATTAGCTCTGCAACTTCTTCCAGAACTTCATACTCCTATCCTTCAATAAATTAGAGGAAAAAAAGAACGAGAAAGGAAAACTAGATATTTACAGATCTAACCAAAGTCCACAATACAACAAATTCTGGTTTAAAATGACCCTGAACTTACATTATTTGGCTGGTGTAACGGACTGATGACGGAAATGTCCTTAACCAACGTGTAAGCAGACACAGATGCTTCATCTATCCATTCCCCAACACTTTGTTACCCGCATCTGATGCTGCTGGCAGGAACTCCCATTACTCATAAGCTCTTAGCTCTAGTGCTTCCCTGCTTCTCTATCACACACAGAGGCAAGACACCGCCCTACTCCAAGACCTTCACTGCTCCTTAATGACTCCCAGGAAAATTCAAAGTACTGGATCCTGGACTTGTAAGAGCTTACTCTGTTGTTTCTTTGCAGTTCCATTTTTCATACTCCCACAATCATACCTTACCTACAGCAAAAGAGATTGCTGGCCTTGCCCCAATTAGGAGCCAGAATGCCGTCACACTCGGCACCACCTGTGAAGATCCTCGCCCCCTTCACGTTCTGTTCAAATGCCTCCTCCCAAACACCACCCTCTAACACCAGGTCTTCTCAGCCCGTCACTGATTATGTGATTTAGTTCCTTTAGAACCTACAGATTTTATTTTCCTTGGATTCTTTAAGACTATTTTTTAAAAATCATAATCAGGATCTTCTCATGTACTTTTTTATCCTTTGCTGCAGCTGACAGTTACGTCTGGTGAGTGCTCATGTAAGGAAGAAAATCCTCCGTTAGGAGATGACAATTATGTAAAGTTTTAAAGGTTAGGGGAGCTGCACTAAAACAGGACAGAATTCTAGTTGCAAGGCACAAGGGAAGCAATGAGCAATTTATGTAGTAAATGCTGGCAAATTAATTAGTAACAATGTTATTCAGGAATAATCTAGGGGGAAAAAATCTGTGGTCAAAAAAGAATATTGTATTTCTTTTAGAATTCCCCCCAATTTATATTTATACAGTTCCCTAAAAAAAGTGAATGAGGAGGAGAAATGATGTCTTCATAGGCTCTGGGCTGCTTATCTTTATTGATTCGGTCCTTCACAAAAAGAGCACACTCAATTTCAGATCTGCCCTGATCAGTTTGACACACCCCTGAGTAAAAGGTGGGGTTCAGGGCCTCCCCGGTGGCGCAGTGGTTGAGCGCTGGGTTGCGAAGCTGCCCGCAGCCTCTGCAGTGACGGTTCGATCCCCGGCTGCTCCTCGGCCACCGGAGGAGGGTCCCACATGGCGCGCAGACCTCTCCTGCCGCCCGCTGCTCCCCTCAGCAGTGTCCTTCGGTCCTTCTGCCTGCTCTGCTCCCCGCTCTGGCTCTGGTGAATTCTCCCACCCTCCCGCGCTTCTGACTGTACCCGGTGCTTGTATAAATAAATAATCTTTGGAAAAAAGAAAAAGTGGGGCTCAGTCAAGTGGTAGCTCTAGAGCTTATTTTCTAGACTGTGAGCAGCCCTGTGCAAGAGCCCTGTCTGTGATGATGGAAATGTCCTATAGTGACACTGTTCGACACAGGGGCCACGGAGCACACGTGGCTACTGAGCCTTGGAAGTACAGCGACTGGGACTGAAAAGCGGAAATCTGTAATGGCCACGTTTGGCTAGAGCCTGGAGAGCCGAAATGAAATGAAGAAGGGGGGAGACAGTGGGAGAGGGAAGGCTTTTCCTCCCATGTCATTACAGATGTATCTCCTATAGGTTCTAGTCTTGATGCTCCCACTCAATGAGTGTTTCGATATGAAAATGAAGGTTTACATCCCTGGGCTTCAGTCTCTTCTTTGAAGCAAGCAAGGTACTGAATTAAATTCTAAAGGTCCCCTTCTAATTTAAAATTCTGAATCTGTGACCAAAACTGTAACGAGTTCATTCTTTTCTCCATACTATGCACCCAAACCCTTGCAGTGACAGGGCTATTTTAAAAGTGCATCATCACCAGATCCCAAAGCATTTAGCAAATAAAGTTTATTACCATCCACTTGTCTCTCCATAGTATGAAGTATTGACTGCATGAAATCATTTTGCTTTTCTGAGCCCAACAACAGTGAATCCATGGCTTGCTCCTCGAGAATGGTCAGCAACATGCAAATACCTGTAAGATTATTTATAAAGTTTTCTTGGATTAAGTAACACTGTTCTAATGCCTTCTTTGGGGTTAGTTAGCAAAAGAATCACATAGCAGTGAGATAAAGCAGAGCAGTGTAGAGTTCCTCAAATGCTTGAGTCAAAGTTACCGTAAGTGCTCCTGAGTAACATGACAGACTCACTGGAGAATAAAACTTGGTTAGAAAATGACTAAAATGGGCCTCCCTGGTGGCGCAGTGGTTGAACGCTGGTTGCGAAGCTGCCCGCAGCCTCTGCAGCGCCGGTTTGATCCCTGGCCACCGGAGGAGGGTCCCACATGGCGCGCAGACCTCTCCTGCCGCCCGCTGCTCCCCTCAGCAGTGTCCTTCGGTCCTTCTGCCTGCTCTGCTCCCCGCTCTGGCTCTGGTGAATTCTCTCACCCTCCCGCGCTTCTGACTGTACCCAGTGCATGTATAAACAAACAAACAAGTAAATAAATAAATAAATAAATAACATGCCTCTATAAAAAAAAAAAAAGAAAATGACTAAAATGACAACGATGCAATTTGTATTCCACCAAATCTGAGAGGCCTTCAATTTGAAGGCCCATTATATTTCATTTATGAATCACTGCCAGTTTTGACAAGTAAGATCTGGGATCAACGAGGGAGGCTCAACTACTTTGAGACAGTGTAGAAACTTGCTTTTTTTCCCCCCAGGAAAATACTTTACATATGGAAAAAGAAGTAACAAACTACTTTTTAAGAAATAGATCAAAGTGCCTAATACCTATCAAATATCAAAGTTACCTGCCATACTAACATTTTGTTATATCTCATATTGCTTTAAAAGATCTGCCATAGTGGGGCCTCCCCTGGTGGCGCAGGCGGTTGAGCGCCGCACTGTGAAGCTGTCTGCAGCCTCTGCAGCACTGGTTCGCTCCCAGCCAGCCAGGGAGGATCCCACATGGTGCAGCAGACCTCTCCTGTCACGCCCGCTGCTCCCCTCAGCAGCGTATTTCATCAGTCTGCCTGTTCTGTTCCCCACTCTGTCTGGTGATTCCTCTCACCCTCCCGCGCATCTGGCCTGTACCCCGGTTCTTGTATAAATAAATAAATCTTAAAAAAAAAATCTGCCATAGTTGAAAACCTACCTTGAAAACAGGTGGTTTCTAGAATAAAATTTTTTTAAAAGAAATATTTATTTTATACCACCTCCAGCTATTTATTTACTTATTTATTTATTAAGGATTTATTTATTTATTTATACAAGCACTGGGTACAGTCAGAAGCGCGGGAGGGTGAGAGAATTCACCAGAGTCAGAGCGGAGAGTAGAGCAGGCAGACTGACGAAGTACACTGCTGAGGGGAGCAGCGGGCGGCAGGAGAGGTCTGCGCGCCATGTGGGACCCTCAACCGGTGGCCAGGGATCGAACTGGCGCTGCAGAGGTTGCGGGCAGCTTCGCAACCCAGCACTCAACCGCTGCGCCACCAGGGAGGCCCCTCTAGGATAAAATTTTAAAACAAGATGTGTAGTGGTGAGTGAATTTAATGACAAAAATTGGAAATTGTGAAAGCCTCTCGTCTGGCAATTTTAATCAGATTACCAAGAAATCATTTGAAGTGCAGGTTACTCAGGAGCAATGTGAAAATACAAACAATGCTTAAGTGGGAAGGACACTCACCGAGCCAGTAGTTTTTATAGTTGGTAGTGTCATACATGTGCGAGGGAAGAAGAATCAGTTTACCCTTCTCGAGGACAGAAGAAGTATAAATGTCCGGACTTTCTAAAAGCCCCAACTCTATGACCTTGAAAAGACAAGTCAAGACTTCCTGCAAGTCATAATAATCATCTCTGTCCACTTTTCCTAAGTTTCTTGCAGTCAGGATAGCCCACCGTCGAACCTAAAAGCATAAGAGATTTGTTACTTCATTCAACATGTCTACATAAAGAACCTAATTAAGAAAACAGGATTTTCTGCAGCCTAAAAGACATAATAATATGCAACGTGTGGACCTTAAACAAACCCTTACAAATTATTTATGCAATAATCATTTCTATTCATTTAAACATCGACTGGAATTATATTAAGGAATTATTACAGGTGTGATTTTTTTAAAAAAAGTGCTTTTTATCCTATGGACAAGATGCTCTGATGTCTAAGAGCTACTCTGATCCAAAGGAAAATAGAACACTCACCATGTATTGTAAATGATAAAACTGAGCAATGGCTATGCGGATTTTCATACTACCCCGCTTCTGTATACTTGTTCTTCCATAACAAAGTTTTAAAAAAGGAAGAAAAAACTGAAGAGACCTCAAAAAATATCAAGACCTCAAAAGATATCACCTCTAAGTGGCAGTAGAGCATAGGTAAGAGATTTTAAATTTCTTGTGGGCTACAAGTTAAATTTAGTGATTGAACAAAAAAATACCAAGAGCGTCTCCGTCATAGTAAGAGTACGGTTTTACGAAATGTTAGGTATGCATGTGTGGGTTCACTGAATGACATTTTTTACTGTAGGTTATGGTCAAAAAAAGGTTGAAAGACATAAAATAATGTACCAAAAAAATAGGCTTTTGATTTACACTATTATATAAATGTCGGATACCTCTTCACGTCTGTGTCAGTCCACCCACCCACTGCCAAAGTGCCAATACTGAATCTTACACTATAAAATAAAAACATAGTATCTTCTGGGTTTTGTCTTTCTGGTTGAGAAGCTAACTGCAGCTCCTTCATAGATAGTGTTTTCTCTGGCTCCTTTGAGATCTTTCTGTCCTTAACATCCTGAGGTATCAGTATTGTCCATACTGCTGATAACCCAACGGGAGAAGGGAAAAGAGCTCTTGGTTGGTACAATCAATACCAACTGCTGGCTGATAAATGTGGAGTGTGCTGGAGCTGAAAAATTATCTGTAATTTTAGAAAATCTGTTTCAGGCAAGAAGGAGAAAAGTCGACGAACAGGTTATCTATCACGATCTTAAAGCAGCTAAGAAACTGAAACTGCACAGTGGAGAACTGGATACCACCTCAACTAAACAAGCAAAGTTATCGTGCTAACGGGCAGGCAACACGGTGCGCTTCTGCCTGCAGCATCCCTGGAGGACACACACACACACAGACTCCAACTGGCAACGCACAACCTGCGCCTGACCAGGAGAAACAGAGGACAAGCCCCAAGTGAGGAGCTTTGTGGCTTTTTTTTAAAGGACGGCGTCAGGAATGGCTATAGTCTTCAGAAACGCAGTTGTCATAAAAGACACAGAAAGGTTAAGGAAATGTTCCAGATTACGGGAGGCTAAAGCAACTTGACTAAACACAAGTGCTGCCGCTGCTCTGGACACTGCAGTGCAGGGGAGAACAGTGTGACCATCAGCCCTGCCATCTTCCTTGTGCGCACGGAAGGTGTTGCCCTGGCTATGGGTTGGATTCTGTGGTTTAGAAGCGGACCGCAGCTCCTTTTCTCTGGCTCCCTCCAGTCCTTTCGCCTTTACCACGCAAGGTGGCACCACCGTGAGCACAGGTATGGGCATGCCTTTTATTTCTGTGCCTCAGCGTCTGCCAGTGCATGCTTGCTGTGCCCGCCGCTGATTGCTTAGCATGACCCACCATTACCACCTCTTCATTGTTCCCCTAGTTCCTTCTAGAACAGAGTGAACCTATATTAAACCTTTTCACGCCATCCTGCATCCCGGGCCGTGTAATGCACTAAGCCATCTGTTCCCCTGTCTTACAAGCGGAATCCCCCTTCGGCCACATCTAGGTAGCCACTACATCCATTTCAATGTGCCTATTCTCTTTAAATCTTTTAAAAATATTCCTGGTCAGGGCCTCCCCGGTGGCGCAGCGGTTGAGCGCTGGGTTGCGAAGATGAGCGCGGCCTCTGCAGCGCCAGTTCGATCCCCGGCTGCTCCCCGGCCACCGGAAGGAGGGTCCCACATGGCGCGCAGACCTCTCCTGCCACTCGCTGCTCCCCTCAGCAGTGTACTTCGGTCCTTCTGCCTGCTCTGCTCCCCGCTCTGGCTCTGGTGAATTCTCTCACCCTCCCGCACTTCTGACTGTACCCAGTGCATGTATAAACAAAACAAACAAATAAATAAAACATGCCTCTATAAAAAAAAAAAAAAAAAAAGATTAAAAAAATATTCCTGGTCATCTGATAGTGGGTTTTTAGGTCTCTCTTTTAATTAAGAACTTTACATTCTGCACCTGATAATTCTAAAGAAGGCATTCTTTGGGTATAATTGTTCGTTTTTAATTCTATCAGTGACTTTTTTTATGGCTTCGGCAACTTCAGCTGGGATCTATGTGTGGGGATCTGAGGAGGACTCAGCTGAGGCATGACCCTTTGGAAACCATCTGCACTGGTCTCTACAAGCAGGCGCCAAGCAGGCAGGCAGACTGGAACTTTCTTCTGAAAACAGGCCTGTGGTTTCACATTTCCAAGCCAGACAAGTATCTGTCTCCTCCCATCACTTGTATTTCCAGGTACACCTGTGACAGAAGGCACAGCACCTCAGAGGCCAGGTTCTGCCTTTCCATCCCATGGCCTGTTCAGCATGCATGTCACAGCCGCCGGCTGGGGTTCACGGACTTTCGCTAACACTCCTGACGACTGGGGCTTTCCTCTCCATCTTCTACTGGTTTCCAGTTCCCTGTGCTGGGACCCGCTGCATCCTTGCTTGTTGGGTAAACATGTCAACTCCAGCCTTGCTTTCTCTGACATTCGTAGGTGTTTTGTTCCCACTTGAGTGAAAGGAAATCAAGTCTTTTGCTGGCTTCTTTTTTTTTTGGGTGAGGGCCAGGGAGCCAGACTTCTGATTTATAATAACTACAACCCTTCATCAGGACACACTTTCAACTCTGGCTGTCCATGGACCACTTTTAAATACTGATTTTTTGGCGCGGGCCAGGCTACTCAGGCTGTCTGACAAGGTCCGGGCATGGGGGAAATTCCTGAAAAGTCAGGAGGCTCCATAACCGGCTCCCGCCGGATCCTTTCCTTTTGTTTGTGGCAATGCTTGTGGTTGGTGATCTTTTACGCTATGCATCTAAACATAGATGACGTGGTCAAAAAAAATAGTTTTACAATTCACTGTTTCAGTGACGTCAGTGCCGCAAAGCAAGGGGGCAGTAACAACATATCCCAAAATAGCCGGAGTTTCTCTCTGCTTGGGGCTAGTAACTCAAATTCTAGTATTTCCTAATCTTCTGGGCATAAGCACTAAATGACACTCCGGAAACTATGAAAAAACGACCTAACTGACTCTGTCTGGCCCCTAACAAATGCCCCTCTGCCACTCTCTTCTATACAGTAAACTCACGAACACAATGAGCTTTTCCACTCCTGCTCTCGGCTTTCGCCCCGACCCTTTTGTGTGCGGAGCTCTTTGATAAAAAGAAGGGTTGGTAAATGGCGACTTATGAACAAGAGGCTTCTTTCTGATCATGTAATTATGTACCATCCTCAGGATGACCAGATTAGCTAGAGGAGACCCCCCTTTCTTCGTTCCCTAATTATTAGATCAAATAAACTCCCCGTGCTGTGTAGGTAACCTACAGAAAATGGCACTGACATTTCTCTAACCTTAGACTCTTTAACATTTAGTTAATCTTTCACTATGATAAAAGTAGAGGTGCAACTTTTAATCAAATGAGCTCATATGCCTGCTTTAACATTAATAGGATAGCTGCTCGGCTGTGAAAGATAAATGATTGTAACAGGAACGCTCTGTGTAGCAACTGTACTTTTCTCAAAGAATAATGAACGTCATCATCTCGGTACAAGGTCAAAGAGCCCCCACCAAACTGCTCTCGACAATAGTGCGATGACCGTGATCTTTCTGCCCAACTGCGCACGCTGATGTACGCCCGCGGCCTGCTTGTCACGGACAAATAAAGACCCGCCGAGACCTCAGCAGGATGATACTTTGCACCTTCATCGAGTGTCCGTGTCTCCTCATCTTCACCTCCGCCGATGCCGTCTCGTCCTTTGGGGACCCTGCCCCGGTTGGAGCTGGACTCCGGCAATTTTTAATAATGCAAAAAGCATCCATAAACTCACCATCCAACGCAGAAACTTAGGCCCCCTCACCACAGATATTGCTACCTCTGCGGGCCTCCCAACCCAGGACCAACATTATCTTCCATTCCAAGCGCTTCATTCCCTTATTGTTTATGTTACAGCATTTACCTGAATTGCTAAGTGTTATTCATTGTATTTTGTTATTGACTTTATAAAAAGGGTTTCCGCCTATGAAATCTTGGAGACTTTCCAATTAATATTTTATAATTAACATTTATCACTTTGCTTCAAGTCGACAGCTAGTTCTGACCGATACCCAGCACCCTACCGGGCAAGCACACTAGTTTTACTGACTCTCCAGTGATGAAGCACTTGGGTTGTTTCCAGTTTTTGTTGATTCTGGGCCAGGGAAATCCCTGTTCAGGTCTTCGTCCATTTTTCTTTTGGGGTCCTGTTAGTACTGTTCATATCTTCTCCCAATTTAATTTTTTTTCTAGTTTTCTTTAAGGTGCCTTGCAACAAATATTAAGTTCTTAATTCTGAGCTAGTCAATCTTATCAACCTTTTAAATCAATGGTTTCTTTTCAAGAAACCTTTCCTTCCCCTCAGATCTAAATAATACCTGCATTTTCTGCCAGAAGTTTGGCCGGTTTTTGACATTTAATCTATTTACATTAATAACTTATAACTATGACCCAAACCTAATTTCTTCCTTTTTTTCATAGATACTTTTAATCCTCTCCATTTCCGGACTCTCTTCCCCATTCATCTTGCACAATCACCTCTATAAATATGAGAGAGCCAAGGAGGAGTGAGTCTGCTTGAGCTCTTTCATTCTGTTGGCCACCTTGTCTGTCCAGATGCCAACAGCACCATCTTAATTATCCAAGCTTCAGAGTGAGCCCTGTTTAGTAGTTAGTCTCCTGTTTTTTACTCTGCAAATATGCCCTAGGAATACTGGCTCCTTCCTCTTCCATTTAAGTTTTTTATTTTTATTTTTTAAAGATTTTATTTATTGGGGCCTCCCTGGTGGCGCACGGGGTTAAGACGCAACCTATGAAGCTGTCCACAGTCACCGCAGCACGAGTTCAATCCCCGGCCAGGGAGCTTCCCACATGGAGCAGCAGACCTCTCCTGTCTCCCTGCTGCTCCCCTCAGCAGTGTATTTTGGTTAATCTGCCTGTTCTGTTCCCCACTCTGTCTCTGGTGAATCCTCTCACCCCCCGCACCTCTGGCCTGTACCCACGTTCTTGTATGCATAAATAAACAAATCTTTAAAAAAATATTTATTTATTTCTGTATACAAGAGCTGGGGTACAGGCCAGAGATGCGGGGGGTGAGAGAATCCACCAGAGACAGAGTGGGGAACAGAACAGGCGGACTGACTGAAATACACTGCTGAGGGGAGCAGCGGGTGAGACAGGAGAGGTCTGCTGCACCATGTGGGTAGCTCCTTGGGCAGCCGGGGATCAGACTCGTGCTGCAGTGGCTGCGGACAGTTTCATAGGTTGCATCTTTAACCCCTTGCGCCACCAGGAGGCCCCCATGTAAGTTTTTTAGACTCATCTTAGCATGTCGTGCTAAGAACACTCTTGGGATATATTTAAAATGCCTGCAGCACCCTTTCCTACGAAGCCTTCTCATTCCTGTACCAGAATCTCTTCCCTTATTCAGGTCCTCTTTCCTGTCAATTAAATTTTACAATTTGCCTGCAGAGGTCTTGCACGTTTTAAAGATATGTGCCTCAGCATTTTCTGAATCTACTATAAACAGAAACTTCTCTTTAATTATTGTTGGCTACCTGTATACAGAAGTATAACTGACTTTTTTATAAATACATTTTATACCCAGCGACCTTGTTAAATTCCTCTTGCTCATAACTTAGATTCTTTTAAGGTTTTCTATGTAAATGAGCCTATCATTGCAAATGTGGCATTTTATTTCTTCCTTTAAAATTCTGATGCCCTGAATTTCATTTTCTGATTTCTTCACTACACTGATCAGAGTCCTAATTTAACATTCTATAGAAACTTTGTCTATTCATGATTTTCAAGGGGATGTGTCACTAAAAATCAGTTCAACTTGGATTTACAATTTGCCTGCAGAGGTCTTGTACAATTTACAATTCAATTTCTTTAGTTTTTTTTTTTTTAACAGATTGTATTTATCAGATTATGGAATTTCCTTCTCATCTGCGAAGACTTTAATCAAATTTCTTAAGTTTTTTGCATCTATTTGTTTTAACCTGTTAATACAATTATACTACATTGTATTTTCTAATACTATTTTTTTTTTTTTTAAGTGTGCTGGAGAAGCAAGTTCTCTCTTTTTATTTATTTATTTATACAAGCACTGGGTACAGTCAGAAGCGCAGGAGGGTGAGAGAATTCACCAGAGCCAGAGCAGGGAACAGAACAGGCAGAGTGGTGAAATACACTGCTGAGGGGAGCAGCGAGCACAGCAGGAGAGGTCTGTCACGCTATGTGGGGACCCTCGCCGGTGGCTGGGAATCGAACCAGCGCTGCAGAAGCTGCAGGCAGCTTCGCAGCCCAGCATTCAACTGCTGCGCCACCAGGGGAGGCCCAGTATTTTCTAAAACTTTGTTTAGGATTTTTATAACTATATTAATGATTAAGCTTTAATCTTTTTATTTTTTAGAGTAATACTGTCTTAAATAAATGTGGCAGTATTTTTTTCCTCTGGAAGGAGAGGCATAAAATGAGGATACTCTATTCCCAGAGTGTGTAATGTAACTCCCTATGTGAAATCACCGAGCCCACCGATTTGTTGGAGGGGAGAAGGGAAGGGTTATCAACTGGTTCAATTTATTAACAGTTATCATATCCAACAGTTTTAAAAAGCTATATTTTTCTAGGAATTATGTTGCCTAGGTTTTCAAAACTGTTTAATATACTTGTCTACGACACTTATTACCCAGGCTCTCGACTTATCTATAACGTGTCCTGCTCCTCATCTGTTTGTTTCTTCGACTTCCCTTCATCCTTCTTGACAGGAATTTGTCCATTTTGTCAAGTTTTTACACAAAGTCAACTTTTAGGCTTTGGGATTTTCCCTATTACATGTTTCTTGTCTGTTTTAATGAGTTCCACTCACTATTTTTTATTATCTCCTTTTCACTTCAATTTTGTTCTCTAGCTTCTGAAGAGAAATGAGCTAATTTTGAGTTCTTCTTTTCCATAATCACATAGATAAATTTCCCTAAAAAGCACCTCTGTTGCTATATCCTACAAATTTTTATAACTTAGTTCTAAGTATTCTTAAATTTGATTTCTTTTTTAGCATATATTCATTTCAAAACGTAGAAACACCTCGATTGTTCACTTCTATACAAACTGCGCTGTGATCACGGCAGGCACGACACCACGGCCTTGACATCTGCCCAGCTCTCATTATGGTGAGATATATGGCCATCTGCGTAGTGTTTAGTGCATATATGAAAAATGGCTAGATGTACAGTTTACATGAGGTCATGGATTTCTGTAGTCTCCTGACTGACTCATCAATATTGAAGGGGAGTACGTGGGGTCTAACGACCAAAGTACCTGCTCGTCTCTGTAGTTTTATCAACAATAATCACTGTTCTGGGCCTGTCTTACCTGGCATATTACTTATTTAGAACTGCGACACAGGTGAATTTAACTTTTTATGATTATGCAGTAAACCTCGCACGACCTTGTTCCAATTATTTCACTCCTTATAATTACAGCCTCACCAGCTTCACGTAGGTCAGTTTTGTCTTTTCTTTTCCGATCCCTTACATCAACCTTTTTTGTACCCAATTTTCACGTGTGTCTCTATGAAACAAAAGTGATCTAGATTTTATTTCTTCCAGAATCCACTCTGATCTCTTTTAACTGACAGTCACTATTGATATCCTTAAAGTTGTGTATATGCGATTAAAAAAATTAAAAATTCTGCTGGTGATGGTCACAAAAAAATTTAAAAATCCATTATTAACCATATTTTTTTCTATTTCTCTCAAAGCAATTGAAAAAATAGCTCTTACCAACCTCTGCCCTTAGTAGGAGGAAAACCCAGCACACATGCTCTCACAGCATTAGTCTCCTACCTGTCAGCCCACCCTACTGATACTGTCTAATCTGAATTGTTACTGATATAGTCACTTTCCTTAAACTAAGTTTTTAAAAAAAATTATAAGCTTTACCACAGTATTTAGTCAGTTTTATATTAACTCTTGCAACATATTCACAATTCTTGCTTTTCATTTATTCTTATATATACATTTCATTTTTATCACGTTCAGTATGAGCAGCACCGGCAACTCAGGACTCCCACCTTTGGTCACTAAGGGACATGCAGGCTCAGTCACCAAGCTGCAGGTGTGCGGCCCAGGTGCCCGCTGCTTTGCTGGCCCTCCCTCCTCTGCTGGTATGCAGCTTTCTTAAAAAGCCAATCCAAGAGGGTACAGGGCAGACTGTCCACCTATTTTCTTTCACGGTCAGGAGAGCTCCACTCTCGTATTAAGCACCTCGACTCTCTGGTTCTCTGCCTTACCAGGTGTACACCTGTAATTCCTATTACCCTACACAAACTGAATCCCCAGCTACCTACAGCCACCCAGACCTACAGGTTTCCAGTCATTTTGTGTTTCTGCTCTACTGCTGGTTCACAGAAACATTCACCTTTGGAGGAATGTGACTATACCTTTCTAAATGTTTCTTTTTAAAATTTTTCTATCATTGCTATGGTTTGGCTGAAACTCACCTTAACTGGAAACTCCACTACTAAGCTTTCTTTACTACTAACAAAACTGTTTAAAAATCCCCCTTTCTAGTCTTATTAGCCGGGCAGCCCTTCATGGCCTCGGGTGTAATGCGGTGACTCGGTTCCACATGGTGACATGAGTAGATGCCAGCACAGATCGCCTGACCCAAGGCCACAGGACGCAAGTCCCAGCAGGGGTCTGGGCGCCAGGGCAGCTCTCTGCTTTTGTTGCTGCCTGCTCTTCTGACTTCTACGTCATTCTTCATCGCCAACCCCATCCATCCCTGCTTCACCCCTACTTTCTAGAATCTCATCAATTGCCAAAATAATTTTTTCAAATCTTTTAACTAGTATTTCCATGTGTTTTTAGAATCTCATCAATTGGCAAAATAATTTTTTCAAATCTTTCAACTAGTATTTCCATGTGCTTGGAATGGAGCAGGCGCGCAAGGAAAGCGAGAGAGAATAGTTCTCCTCCATTAATTCAGGTCAACACAGTGAACAGAGTTCAGCTCCTCCCCTAAGCACCGTTGTAGGAAGTCCTCCCCCACCCCACCCAGACGCTCCTCCCTTGATCCCACTGAACCCCCAAGGCAACTGTAGCAATCATATCAGAAAAAAAAAATTTTGGCAAATATTTTAAACAAAATACACACCAAAACCCTCTATTATTACTGCTAAAGTAGTGTTCTTCATTGCCTTAACATTTTTACTCACCATTTCATTGGGATGGACCAAGAACAAATAAATCCCTGGATGTTTATCAAAAACCTGAAAAGAGCAATTCGCTTGTTCCATCCGACAAAGTGCTTCAACACATAACTCATCTAAACAGAAAAAATAAGGTAGTCAATATAAGACGTAAGTCTTCTCGACTTACCAAGATTCTCTAAATCCGACTCCTTTCACTGTTCTCTAAATGAAAGTTCTTTTTTAAAAAACCGAGGAATACAAATGCTGATGCTATAAATGTAGAAACAATACTGAGCTATCTCACAGACTAACTGGTTAATCACAGGGTGTTCTGTGAACCACTATGACTTACTAGTATATCTATCTCTTTTTTGGCTTGGTATAATGATGTCCATCTTCTGTAAGCATGGTTATAGATCCAATTCCATTAGCATTTCACATTTTGATCGACACAGACACACTCGGTACCAGAGTGATTCTGAATAACCCATTTTCTCCACTGGGTGCTACACCACCAAACACTGGTCTCCTGGAACACACTTACCCTGGACTCTCAATGCCGTTCCACCAGCCGATCCACGCCAGTGCTGTTTTAGTTCCCACTGTTTCATGGACATTTCATTAATCATTCAGCAATGTGCTGAAGAGACTCACACATTAACCCTATCAGATGAATCAACTTTGGCTTGTCAAGCTTTAAAGAATGCCGCAGTGAGAGCGGCTGGCTTAGGGGAGGGGCAGTGATTAGAAAGCAGAGGGGCTCCCCGAGAGCGGCTAGGCTGCATCTTGGCTGGATCTGGCTGTACCGGGGGCTTAATTTGTGAAAGATCATCAAGCTATCTACTTCCCTGGATATATAAATGTTTGAAAAAAGACTTGTTAGGATTTTAAAATCTAGTGACTTTGAATTTATTTAGAAAGGATTTACCTATCAAATCTTTAGACTACTTTTCACCTTACTGAAAATAGAATACAGAGAAATAAGTTAAACAACAAGGAAACAAAGCAGAAAGGGCATTATTTTCCAGGGCAACCACAGTCTCCACAGATCAAAGTTATGTCCCCCCCCCCAAAAAAAAACAAAAGCATGTGTTCATTCATATACATAAACTATCTGCATTAAAAGAGATGTGAGAAGGGCCTCCCTGGTGGCCTAAGAGTTAAGTCTCAGCATTATCACCACTGTGGCCTGAGGTCCATCCCGGGCTAGGGAGCTACCCACAGGATGCAGCAGACCTCTCCTGTCTCTGTGCTGCTCCCCTCGGCAGTGGATTTCAGTAGATCTGCCTGTTCTTCTCCCCACTCTGTCTTGGTGAATCCTCTCACCGCCCCCCCGCCACGCACACCTCTGATCTACACCTCAGTTTTTCTGCTCAAAAATAAATTTAAAAAAGAGAGAGACGTGAGATATAGGAATCTAATGTAATGTATGTCCCTGGCCTGTCTCTAATTTAAACACAGCTGCCTAAAACCATTTGGCCACTGCCGTGAAAATCTGAACATGAATAGATATTAGATGCCTTTAAGGAACTGTGATTTTGTTAGGTTTGACATATCAGGAAAATGGTTTTACTTTTAAGAGATGCATACTAAGAAATGCAAATATAAATAATCAAAATCTAGACAGATATAATATGCCATGACACAGCAATCAGTGAAAATCACCACAAACCAGTGGTTAGCAACCAGGGGTGACTCCCCATCCTGTCCAAGGGACATCTGGCAAAGCCTAGAGATATTTTTGGTTGTCCCAGCTAGGGAAGGTCAGAGGGCCGGGTGAGACTGGCATCTAGTGGACAGAGGCCAGGAATGCTGCTAACCATCCACAAGGGATAGGACGGCCCCCACAAGAAAGAATTTTCCAGTCCAAATTATTACTAGTGCCAAGGTTGAGAAACTCTGCTATAGAAAAACAGAACGAAAAATAACTGAATGAATAGCTGAACAAATGTGACAAAGCAAACATACCAAGAAGCTGGCAATTGCAGAATCCATGTGGTGTGCATATGTAACTCATTCTCTATCCATCTGAAAACTTGCATAATAAAATATTGAGGGGAAATGTAATTAAGTACCCTAAGTACATTGAGCAGACAAATTTTCAATACAATAAGCCTGAATTTCAATAAGCCTGAATTCTTACAATTCTTAACATAACTTAAGGAACACTCAAGATACTTACTAACACGTTCATGTAAAAGTAGATAAGGATATTTCAGTATTTCAAGAAGAGGAACTCGAAGCTTGTTTTCAAAGTCTTGGCCAGTGAAGTCAAACAGCTGTGCCTCCCCATTGTTGTCTACTATATACAATTCATCATCATCTCCAATTTCCCCCTTCATGGATTTCTCAAAGTGATTTATGAGACGTAAGGTTTCTAATTCCCATAAAACCTACAGGAAAAGAAAAATGGGCAGCACGCTTTAAATCTTATCAACAAAATGTGACACTCTTTCTAGGGATGTACTTTTTCTAGTACAAAAATTCAGAAGTTAGAAATACTAGATGTAACATACTACATTTATTTAAAGGAAACACGGCCACTTTTATGTTATATGAAGGATACTTCAAGCACAAGTTGTTTAAACGCTGCTCTTACAGAGTTTGGCTATAAATACCATAGCATACCCTTAAGCTGTACTCTATTAAAAAGGAAGTAAGTTGGAGCTTCTTGTCAAGGACAGAGGTAGGCCATCTATATTCCAACCAAAGGTACTCACTTAAAACACCAGTTGTAATATAGACATTTCTAAAACTACGAGAATTTACAAATGCAAAAGTTTTCACAACAGATTCACAATCCTGCTCCCTTCTGTGTTACACATATCCCTGTGGTCTCTCTTCTGTTTTTCAGCAAATAAGTAAATAAACCAGATGTTCGAAGTCACATATTTAGAACTGCTTGTTTCACCTCCGTTACTAAGACTGGAAAATACCCTTGCCCGTATAGGTTTATACCACTAGCCCATTACAGAAGTGAAAGGCAAGAACACATACACCTGAAATATGCACATTGTTGTAAACCAATGTTACCTCAGTAATTTTTTTTTAAATGAAAAGGGAAAAAAACCTACTAACCAACAACAACAAAAATTTCAATGGACAGGACTTTGAATGTAACCCTGCCAAATATATTGACATAAAAAGATAAAACAAAAAACCCCACACATCATTTCATAAAATCATTTTATATCAAAATGAGTAAAAGCAATGGATCATACAGTTCTGCTCTTGGTTCCAATTCCATCCATCAGTCAGGAAGCACTTCCTCAGCATCTACTACACTCCAGGCCGTGAATCAGGTGCCAGATATGCAGCAGCCGTCAAAGTTTAAATCCCTTCCTCAGTTCTCTGATGCTTCCAACAGAGCTGGAATCTATTCCCTTCCCAGGGGCCAGTTTGGAAAACACTGCCATGTGATGGCAATTACCTCGTGCAAGAACTGCAAGCTCTCTCTTGCTCTGTGGTACTCAGCCACACACTCTAAGCAGTAGCAGAGGTCTTCATCAGCGGTCTGAAACTCACTGGAGCGGGTCTTGGAGGCATAGCACTTCAGGAAATCAACGGTGGAACCACCACCTGGCGTACACCAGCAGCATGTGCTCATTCTGCAGCCAGCAGCAGAGAAGAAGACATCTAACGCTAGAGGAGAAGAAAACAAAGCAGCTGTGGCCTATCCCGTGAAGAATGGGTACAGGTCGATTAATGACCCTCACGTTCAATTTAAAACATGCCTCCACTGCAGCCCGAACCTCCTGTGACTGATCCACCGCTGACTAAACTCAACTCTGAGCATGCGCTTTAAAAAACTAATTTTGACACATGAAAAATATAATGAAAGTACTTTGTTAATTACAATTATAAGGCAATATACAGCTGTGCTATAAAGAATCAAAACTACGTAATACCTACTGATGGAAAATACGAAGAGAGAATTATCAGCGTTTTCACAGCATGGATTTTGAAGTGTTCTGATGGTGACTTGGAGTCAGCATTTCACGTTCTCCAAAGACATGTTCCTGAAATGCCTGGAAACATAGAAATCCCTAAGTGTTAACCATACCAGTAATAAAAACTCATAGAGGATTTTGTCTGGTTTGGCCTAAGTGGGAACTGGACTCGTGACTCTCCTCAAAAGAAAACAGAATGAGATAAACAGGTATACAGTGGAGACACCTGGCAAACACAACCTTAACCAAGTGATCAAAGTTAACACCATCAGGGTAAATCTTGTTCATATTATGTGATGAGGAAGGGACTTCAACTTCGCAGTGCGCTTCTCCAAAACCCTTAAGAGAGCCCAGTCTACTTAGAAGAAACACATCTAACCCAAAGTGGGTTAAACAACCCCCAAAGCGAGGATTATCTAAACAGCTATCAGCCAGTCTGCAACAAGAAAGACAAGCACCAGACCAAAGGGAATTAAACAAGAGTTATTTCATATAAAAATAAGGATTTACTGGGAATTGGGCCAGGAAACTATCTGACAAACCTGATCTTGAGAAGCCTGTCCTAAAATGAATTATCCAGTGAATGTAAAATATCAGCCTACTGGGGAGCTGCAAACTCGACCATAAAGCCAACAGCGCTTATTCCATCAAATGGATGCCCTACGCCACGCAGCTGCTCCGCGGCGACGGCATTCCCCACGGGGAGGAAAACTGGCAGGGGGACACGGAGCCGTCCTGCTCAGATATACCAGCACCACGCAGACACACACGTGTGCACAGAGGTTATATGCAGGTATTAAAATTCATACAGAAATGTTTAAAATGTTTAAGAAGTCTCAAGAAGAAAAGGGACAATGAAAATTGAAAAACAGCCCCAGTCACTGACGGACTGGGTACAGAAGCGCGGTAGTGTGTGAGGCAGAGCGCATCACCTCTGCCCCTGGGAGATCAGGAACAAACTATGTTCCTGCTGCAGCTTCTATAGCATAAGGCCAGCTCCTCAAATAAACTTATAAAACAAAACTTACTTTTCTCTTACATCCACAATCAAACAATTATATATAAATGTGTAAGTAATCAAATACATGCATTTGCTTTATGAAATGATTTTTTTATTTATTACCTATTACTTGTCTACTTTCTTCATGCTCCTAACGTGCGTTTATTACGCTTTTCAACAGGAAAGACTATTTAAAAAGATTTTTAAGTAGAAATCAAAATTTATAAGAAATGTATTTCAGTAAGCCCTTAATTATGGACTTTCTAAAAAGCAAAGTAGAAAAACAAGAGCTACGCAATTCTCAGATAGGAAAAAAAAAAAAAGAATGCTTGCTGGGGTGGGGAGGGAGAGCCACGCCCTTTCTGACAATTCTAACTCAATTACATTTTATTAATTCCTACCTTGTACAACTAAGGGGAAGCTAAGTAACATTATGGATACTATGTTACTACAGGATACAAACTGATTTCATTCAAAGAAATTCTTACACCCAAAAGGCCAATATCTTAATACCAGGAAGCAGAAAGTCTGTCAAAACTGTCCTTGCCAGTGATTTCAGTGTAGGAAATGAATCTAAATGATCTGAGAATAGAAAGTGAAACTTTTTGAACATTTCCAAAACAACTGTTTTGAATCACCTTTTAAAAACTTAAAGAAGGGACTGAGGTACAAATAAGATGTTTACTTTTTAAAAAATTATTAATAGCAGCAAGCAAGAGAAACCTTCTACTAAGAAATTTAAGAGTCTGCTTTTTATTTCACTCAGAGAACATTCTACACCCACCCTGCGGGAAGCAGAATCAAATTTTCTTAAGTAGTTGGGAGTTACAGCCAAATAATAAAGCCATAGGACCCGGAACAGACAAGGAATAGTTCCACAGAGCACTTCAAAAACAGAAACATGTTTCCATTTGCTCTCAAAAGGCCACAGTATGAGGTTATGTTCCCAAATCTAAAATCACCGCTGGTCTGACAGCTAAGACCAAGAAATCTAAACAGAGTACAATGTACCGTGGGTAGAGGACTGCACATTGTGTAAGGTTCTGTACAGCTCAGTTCTTCTAGAGGTCAGTTTTGTTAACTTTGTCAGACTTCAACTGCTTGGAACCGTTACTGGACTGCAGATGGATGCGCTGGGGAATCCTCAAGCTGTAAGACAGCAACAAAGGCCAAGCCCCAGCATCAGACAAAGCTGATTGTCAGCAAGGGTTCTTCACCAGAGATATGCAGCGCGTGCTAGCACATCTCAGTATTAAGGATTCTTGGTATTAAATAACAATCACTTTCTTCTACACTTCCCAGCTAACTTGTTGAAAAACAAATCTACAGGGCCTCCCCTATGGCGCAGCGGTTGAGCGCTGGGTTGTGAAGCTGCCCGCAGCCTCTGCAGCGCCAGTTCGATCCCCGGCTGCTCCCTGGCCACGGGAGGAGGGTCCCACACGGCGCGCAGACCTCTCCTGCCGCCCGCTGCTCCCCTCAGCAGTGTATTTCGCTCCTTCTGCCTGCTCTGCTCCCCGCTCTGGCTCTGGTGAATCCTCTCACCCTCCCGCGCTTCTGACTGTACCCAGTGCTTGTATAAATCAATCAATCAATCTTTAAAAAAAAAAAATCTACAGTTTCAGTTCCTTTGCACCCTGGCTTCAAAAGCCCCTGATTACCTCTATTACCAAATCAAACAGGATCTTTCCTTGACTCCTCTAAAGCATATGAAAATGTTGGCTATGCTACCCAATTTCCTTCACCATCATCTCCTCCTCCATCATCTTGCCCCCAATATCATTTTCTCAAGGCTTGTTCTCAGGACTCTAACCTAATTTAGTCAATGTGCTTTCTGGGTGACCTATTCAAACCACTGCTTCACCAACTACCTATGCTGCAGCATCCCAAAGACTGAGATGTACGCAGACTCCTAGTGCAACGCTCAACTGTTTCAGCTACTCAATACATGAGAGCCTAGCCTAGAATTCCACAAGGATGTATTCGATATCCAACTGCACCACCTCTGCTTTTATGCCTACCTCAAAGAAAACAGAATGGAACAAAGTCCTCCCCTTACATTTGTTCTTCATGTATTCTCTGTATTTATGGCATTATCATCCCTTCAATCTTAAAGCCAGCAACCTGGAAATGACCCTATACTCTCTCCTCCTTGAGCTCCTACCTGAGTCATCTGCTGTGCCTTAGTTTATTTTTTTAAAGATTTATTTATGCATACAATAACTGGGGTGTAGGCCAGAGGTGCAGGGGGTGAGAGGATTCACCAGAGACAGAGTGGGGAGCAGAAGAGGCGCGTCTACTGAAATACACTGCTGAGGGGGCAGCGGGAGATGGTAAAGGTCTGCTGTGCCATGTGGGTAGCTCCCTGGCGGGCATGGAACTCAGGCCTCTGTCGCTGGCAATAGCTTGATAGTGCTGAGACTTTACCCCTGCGCCACCAAACCAGGGAGTCCCTGCTGTGCCTTAGTTTAGCACTTCTTCACTGTCTGTATTACAGAAGAATCCTGAATGAGCCCTGCCTCTTTTTTTTTTTTTTTTTAAGATTTATTCATGCATACAAGACCTGCGGTACAGGCCAGAGGTGTGGGGGGTGAGAAGCTCCACCAGAGACAGAGTGGGGAGCAGGACAGGAGACCGACTGAAGTACACTGCTGGGGGGAGCAGCGGGGAGACAGACGAGGTCTGCTGCGCCATGAGGGAAGCTCCTTGGCCAGGGATGGAACTGGAGCTGCAGAGGCCGCGGACAGCTTCATAGGTTTCGTCTTAACCCCTTGTGCCACCAGGGAGGCCCAGCCAAAAGCCCTGCCTCTTGTTTGATCAGCACTAAGTCCTCCAAAATGCTGCCAAAGGCCGCCAAAGCCGTCCTCTGAGCGCACAAACGAAAACGACTCAACAGCCTGGGGATAAAATTCACTTCTTTGAGCTCATCCCTTGAGACCGCCACGATGTGGCCTCGGCATCGCCCCCTCCGTCGCGCCTCCCTGCGCGCCCTAAGATTCGCCGGGGCCGAGCAGCCGGGCTGCCTGGACGCGCGTCCGTCTGCGCCCGACATCCCGGCGGCGCCCCCGCCTCACCCCGCGCCCGCGCGTATTCCACTCCCGAGGAAAGCCGGAGAAGAGGGACGCGAGTTATTACGGATCAAGTTCAGAGTCTATTTTTTCAAACAGGCGCACCCGGGACGCCGGCGGAAAGTGGTCTGAGGGCGGCGCCCCGGGGCCCGCTGTCCGCGGGGACCCCCCCGCCCCCGCCCCCGCCCCCGCCCCCGCCCCGGCGCTGCAGGCGGCGCAGACCACGGCCGCCCGCCCCCTCGCCCACCTGCCGGCGGCGTCGCGCCGGGAACCGCCCGCCGCGCCGGGGCCGAGACGCGGCGCAGCCCCGCCGGCGGGCGTCCCGCCCTCACCTGCGCGCGCCCCGCCGCCGGCGCGAGCTCCGCCGCGGGCCCGCCTCCCGACGCCGCCGCGGGGCGGCCGCGGACACGGGCCCCGCCGGGGCCGGCGGGCTCGCGGCGACGAGCCGCGCGCGGCCAGTGCGGCCCGGCCGAGGCGCCCGCGGGCGGGGGCGCAGGGGGCAGGCGGGCGCCGGCCCCGGGACCGCCCGCCCGCCCGCCCGCCCGCGCCCCGCGCCGGCCCGCGCCGGCGCGGCCTCCACACGCGCCCCGCCCGCAGCGCCGCGGCCGCTCGCCTCACCCGCCGCCCTCGCGCCCGCAGCCGCCGCCTCCGAGCCCCGCTCCGCGTCGGCCGAGGGCGGAAGTGCGGGCGGGCGCCCCGGCCCGCACCGGCGCCCAACCCGCGGGCGCCGCCGGCGGAGGACCCGCCCCCGCGCGCCGTCGGCCGCCGCGGCCCCGCCCAGGGCGCCGCCGTGTTTTGGGGCCGGGGGCGGGGCGTGGGAAGAGCGCGCTCGGCCCGCCGGGCGGCCCCGGCGCCGGACGTGACGCCACCCCAGGGGCGGGGCCAGGCCCACCGGGAGCGTCGGCTGTGGGGGCGGGGGCCGTAGGGGCGGGGCCTAGGCGCGGAAGCCCCGCCCCCACCCTGCCCCGCGCGGGCCGCCCGCGGGTGGCCCCGCCCTCGCCGGCTCTCCCCCGCCCTCCCCCGCCCTCCCCCGCCCTCCCCCGCCCTCCCCCGCCCTCCTCGGGTCTTGCCGCCCCTTTTCCTGCTTCCCCCGCCCGGGGCTGCCGCCGGGGCGCGTCGCGCCTGAGGGGCGTGTTCTCCTCAGCGCCTCTGCTGCCAGGGCCTGAGGTGCGGGGCGAGCTGGGGGCGCCGCTCGCGCTCCGAGCCCGAGAGGGGCCGGCGGGCGGGGCGGGCGGGGCGCGAGCGGGGCGGGCGCGGGGCACCCCCCGGGCCCTGCGCGGACGGCGGCGACCTCCCCCCGCCGAGGCCCGGGCGCGGCCCAGCGACGCCGCCCGCGCGGACGGCGGGCCCGGCGGCCGGGTTGCCCCGAGGCCGAGCGGCGGGGCGCGTCTTACCTGGGAGAACCCCAACCGGAGACTGGCGGGCGAGCGGGGGGGGGGGGCGGCGCGCGTCGAGAACGTTCCGGCGGGGGCGGGGCCGCGGGGGCCGTTGGGGCGCGTTCGGGGCCGGGGTCGAGCTCGGGGCGAAACCGTTGCCCGCGTCACGGGCGCCGCGAGGCGGGGGGCGCCGCGAGCGGGGGCGTCGCGAGGGCCGGGGGGGCCGCGAGGGCGGGGGGGCCGCCGGAGGGCGGGGGGGCGCGGGGGTGACCGTTACGCGCGTGTCCCCCCGACCCGGGCCCGAGCCGCGCGGCCGCCGCCGCCCATCCTGCCCGCGAGGCCCGCGTGAGAGGGCGGTGGCCGTTGGGACGCGCAGGAAAGACCCCGACGCTGGCGGCGCCCGGCCTCGGCCCCGCAGGTGACGCCGCCGCCTCGACAGAACCGCCCGCGCGTTAGGTAAACCGGGGCGCGGGTGCCCCCGAGGCCCCGCAGGGGGACGCGGACTCCCGGAGCCCGCGCTCTCGGGGACACGCCCGAGCGGCCCGGCTCCCGCACGGAGAGGAGCGGGGAGCCCAGGGCTGGGGGCCGCGCCCCGCAAGGCCAGCGAGGCGCGGGCTCGTCTCCCACCCCCGCGGCCGCCGCTCGGCGGGAGAAGCTGCGCCTCGCACCCTTGCCCGCTGCTCAGGAAACGTTCCTGCGGACGCCCGCCCGTCCCGCGCGTTCATTTTGAAACGGACAAACCCCAGACCCAGGAGAAATCCAGGAGACCGTGAACGCGAGCGACGCCGTGCAAGGCACGAGGCTGGGAGTTGCTCGTCCCCACACCAGGAGCGAGACCGTCTCCACACGGACGACGCGGAGTTGAGTCTTTTCTCCAGTGAGGCCGAGGGACTTGCGTAAAGTTTACTTCAAGTGAACGATCCAGCTGATCGGGGTGGCCTCGGGATGGCCGAAGTGAAGGAAACGTCTGTCCAGCTTTTCCTCGCAGGCGGGCTGCCAGGCCCAGGCGCCTGCAGGTACTCTCTGGTGTGCTACCGAGATGACGTGTCATTCGATACTCTCATTTCCACATAGAGTGTGAGTTCATAGATCAGTATTGTATGACAGAAAAGGACAATATTCGTCACTTTCCTCCAGTTTGATCATGGGACGCATCCTCCAGTTTGGATTCGCAACAATCCAATCCTCATCTCCGCATTTTTCTCTAGTCCATTTTTGTCAGCTGACATACCTTAACACAATGATGTGTAACCCACAGAGTTCAGTCCGTGGCCCGAGGAGTGTTACCAGCCCTCTGCTTTTGTGTGATCTCAGCTTCATCCCAAAATGAGGCCCCCTGCCACTTGGCAGTGAACTCCCTTCTCCACACTCAGCGCATGCAGCCACTGAGCTAATTTCAGCATCGCCCTAGATTTAGGTTACTCTAGGGATCAGTGGAATTACGTATTAGGGACCCCTTCGTGTCTGTATTTTGTTCCACACAAAGTGAGGTTCACAGTGGTGCTGCGTGTATCAGCAGTTCATTTTTATTGTGGAGTAGGGTCTCCACCAGCTCCCGTGAGAATGTGCCGCTTCGCTCTGTTCGTTCGCTCATCTGCTGACCGATACACTGGTCCAGTTTTCCACCACCACGAGGAAAGCTGTTCTGAACATCACTGTGTAGTCTTTTAGTGTTTTCATTTAACTTGGATAAGTAGCCAAGAGTGGAATGCTGAGTTACAGGGGAGGTGTGTTCTTAATCTTAGGAGAAGTTGTAATCCATTTTCCAAAGATTCTCCTATACACCAAGAATAAGCCTTCCATTTGCTCCACAAGCTCATCAACACTTCTTTTTTTTAAAAAAAAAAAAAAGGTTTATATATACAAGAACCAGGGTACAGGTCAGAGGTATGAGGGAGTGAGAGGATTCACCAGAGACAGAGTGGGGAGCAGAACAGGCAGACTGACGAAATACACTGCTGAGGGGAGCAGCGGGCGAGACAGGAGAGGTCTGCTTCGCCATGTGGGATTCTTGCTGGCCGGCCAGGATCGAACCCACACTGCTGAGACCACAGACAGCTTCACAGTGCCAGTGTGGTGCTCAACCGCCTGCGCCACAAGGGAGGCCCCTCATCAACACTTCCGTTGTCTCTTACAGTCCAGCCATTCTGGTGGGTTAAACGTACACGCCACTGTCTTCTCTGAGAACTAGTGATGTGGAACATGTCTGTTCAGGTCTTCCGTGGGAATTAACATACCTTCTTTGTGGACCGTCTACCTGAGTCGTCTGACCAATTTTTTTCTACAGATTAAATTTTTTTGAGAGAAGTTTTGGGCTCACAACAAAATTGAGAGGAAGATACAGAGATTCCCCAGTTCCCCCATTTACCCCATTATCAACCCCACACCAGAGGAGTAATTTGTTTTAACTGATGAACCTACGCTGACGTGTCATTATCTAGAGTCCACGGCGTGCCTGAGACTGCGCTCACGGCACTGTGCTTTCTGTGGGTTTGGACAGCAGTATAATAATATGTAGCCACCATCATAACAACATCCAGAGTTCCTCCGGTGCCCGAAGCCCTCCATGCTCGTCTGTTCATTCCATCCAGTCCTACCTTGACCACCCTGATCTTCTTAACCATTTCCATAGTTTTGTCTTTCCCAAAATGTCATGTGTTTGAAATCACAGCTATGTTGCCTTTCTCCTGTGGTATCTCCGAGGAGTCGTATACAGTCACATTGCTTAAAAACAGGGAATGACATTCCCAGAAATGCCCAGGAACCGGTCACAATGCAGTCGACTGTTTAAGACAAGCTGCTTCTCAGCCACACTCCCGGGGACACAGGCATTCCCTTCCTCTCTTCCTCGTCGCACACCGGCTCAGCTCTTCCTCTCCCACTTTCTCCCAAGTGCAGACATCACGTAGTTTTCTCCCCTGCCCTCTCTCTAAATCGGGGTTGTCCATTTTGTGGCCTCAACTTTCCCATTCATGGAGCTAAACAAATCTATCTCTAGGATGCCTTTTGCTTCTGTCCATCCCCCTCAGTTGCACTCACAGCCCTGCAAAACTGCACTCCCCAACCTACCCCAGTCCCCTTGCAACCTGCTTCTCTCCTGGACCTGTTTTGATAAACAGCCTGCCCTGCCCTTTGTTTTTTCCTTCAAAATTCTATGCTAAAGGGGCAGATGGTAAAATTGTCTGGCGGACTTTCCCCCCAGCGGCATGAGCCATATAGAAGTTACAAAAACAGAACTTTGACAAAGTACATTAAGTTACGCCCCGCCTGTGTGTGCATGGCTTCCTTACAGCTCAGTCACCTCTTCCCCTCCCACCCTACCGGGTGGGAACTAAACCCCAGCTTGAGAGGAGTCCAGAGCAGGAGCCCGGTCCTACTTTCCTGGCCACAGTGGCAGCGCTGAGCTGTTGAGTTGGGCACGTGCCCTAACGTGGCATCAGGAGACCAAAAGTCAGGACTTAAGAGCCGTGGGAAGAGTCCCTTTTTGCCCTCTGAATGGGGGAGACGACAGCTGAAATGCGTGGCCCTAGGAGGGTGTCCCTTGAGGCCAACAGACCCCCTTGTAATGGACTCTGGAGAGGGGAGAGCAGAGATGCAGCCGAATCACAGCCGTGCCGACCGCGCGAGCACCGCGGAGCTCAGGTCCCGGCGTCTGATTTCCTGGGCCGCAGAAACCTGGCGTTCTCGCCGGCCAGCAAGCCCGGCAAGAGAAGCACCGCCTCCATGTGGGGTGTATTTCCTCCCATACATTTTAATGCATGTCTAGACACAATCAATTTCCTTTATTTTTTTTACTTATACAAATCAAGAAAATATATCTCTTCTGAAACAACTGTTTCATTGATAATACTGTTTCCCAAATCCATCGCTGCAATTTCTAGTCAATGCATTCATAGCCCACCCAAGAAATATACAATTTAACAAGTTCACCATTAAGAAATTTATAAATTTCCTATTTACATTTTTTCCTATTTTTCATATTATAAAAATGGGGCCCCCGCCTGGTCATTCTTACACACTAGCTCAATCACTTCTGTAGGTTTCCAATAAAATTACTGGATCACAGAATATGTACAGTATGAAGCTTTGATGTGCTTTACCAGATTGTCTTCCTAGAGGAACATACAATTTACATGCCCGTTAGCAGGGAGGCCGGCACACCTGACGTCTAGGAGGAGGTAACCACAGGTTCAGGGAAACACCCATCGAGTGTCTGCGTGTGTATCTGCACAGTGCCGCTGGCTGCAGGGGCTGGGGGCACCCCCGTGCCTAAGCGTGCTTCTCAGAGTTCTCTCCAGTGGGGGCAGGTACGGGGAGATGCCCGGCTTGGCACTAAGCACATCACATGCATGACACCACAGGAACGTCTCAGAGCACAGCCTCTGCGTGCTCCCCTCCACAGCTGCGGCTGGAAGCCCGGATACTTTATTTCCCTCACCAACAGCAGGGTCTGGCAAGGGCCCCCCCTGGGGAGGGACTGGTGAGAACTACAAGGCAGGAGGGGCAGAAGCTGCTGTGTCCCAAGGAGAAATAGGTTCCTGCTGAGGGTGTGTGGCAGAGAAGGGTCGGGAGCACAGGCCTGTCCAAGGGTTTGCAGGCCGTGAGGGGCTGGGGGTGCAGCGGCTGCCCCTTGCCTCCCCATCACTGGGCAATCCACCCTTCCTCTTCCATCCTGTTGATCAGTTTTGCGGCCCACAGCCCCTATACTGAATCCCTGTGTGAAATCTCAGGGTGGTTTTATCTGACCGATGAACTGGCCCAATGTGAAAATTATTCTGGAAATTCCACTAGGTGTGAGCTGTGCCCAGAGCCCACACGGCACCTTTCCCAAGACAAAAACAGCCAAACAAGAGGAGAGACTGCTGGCTTGGGTTGGATTTCCCAGCGAAACAGCAGGTGAAGCCAGTGACTGGCTCTGACAGGGCGTCCTGGGTGAAGCCACGTAGCCCTCAACGTGACCAGACACACACGGTGGTAGGCAAGACACACCGGTGGTCCCTTGTAGCAAGAGAGGACCCAGGCCCACAGTTCCCACCCAGCACCGTTAAGACGTACACACCCTGAGCACACACACGCACACATGCACACACAGGGAAAAAGCAAAAGTGCGTGCATTCCTGAAGCCATCACGCTCCCGGTCTTCAGTCCACTCACAGCTGAGCCACGTGCTGACACGTCCCCGGGGTGTCCCCACCCCCTGCTACAGTCATCGGGGACTGGGATACTCGTTTTACAAAACCACTACCAGCTGACGATTTTCAGTCTAATGGCACTGAAATTTAAATCAGCACAAGGGCTCCTCTTTCAGTCACACTTGCTATGAATATATTAATTTTTAATGTCCCGCACCACAGGCTATCGTTCTCATGCCCTCCTGCTGGCCACCGTGAACGGCCATGGGCACCGACAGCTCTCGGGCACACAGCCAGGCGCCGGAGAGCCCAGGACGGCGGAGGCGGCCGGCGCCCTAACCGTCCTGGCTGGCGTCCTCCCCCTCGCTGCTGTCGTCGCGGTGGAAGATGTCTCTGAACAGGAAGACCTGCCTGGGCACTGCGGGGGCCCGGACTTCAGTGCCCTTTCTCTCCATCGTCTTCTCTAACTTCTCCTTCAGCAAAGGGAGACTGGTCTCATAAAGGTAGTCTATGATCTCTGAAGGAAAGAAATAGAGATTTAACCGCACAGGCCTCTCCCCCAGGGTCAAAGGATGGAGGGCCCAGATCGAAACAAGGGACTGTCATTGTGATGACCGTTCTGACTAGCTTAGAGTCATTCATTCGACTCTCTCAAAACTCCTACGAGGTAGGCACATTTTGCCAATGAGGAAACCGCGGCATGAAGATACTGAGGGATACCCAAGGATCCGGAGTTAGTAGGGGTGAAGCCAGATTCAACCCCAGGACCTGGTGTCTGCTGACTGCAAAACCAATTTCATCACACACCGCAGGCCGGCGTCAGCCCATCAGCAGTTCCCAAATGCTGTGCCGGCAACTGCTCCGGGACCCCACCTGGAGAGCAGGTCTGTGCGGAGGCCCAGGTAGCTGTGCGGATGAGACTGGGCATTACATAGCTACGCTGTCCACACAAGGCTGTAGGGAAGGGATCGGCAGCTCACGCTCTTCCTGGAGCTGCATGAGTGCGCACGTGTCCCGTGAGCCTGTGCGTGAGCACGTGGGGTGGGCGGCGGCGGCGGAGGCACAAGCTGCACCCAGGCACCACGCCTTCTAGGCACCACCTCACAGAGCACCCCGAGAGTCCTGCCACAGAGGGGCTCAAACTTGCCAGTGCTCACCACGTTAGGACTGAGGCTCCCAAAAGTGAAGCCGCTTGCCCAAAGTCACACGGCCAGCACGTGACGTGCTACGCGGCACTAACTGCTCGACTGCAACTGTCTGACTGCGCGCCTGCTGAGGACACTGACCTGGGAAAGTCTTCTTCTGCCAGAAGGGAACACACGTAGCTTTCAGCTTATAAAACTTACTTTGGACGTAAGATGGAGGAACGTCCCTTTGGAGAGAAAAGAGAGAGTCCGTGTGAAGGCTGACCGTTTCGGCACCAGGCACTCTGCGCGAGACCTCAGGGCGAGGAGTCCACAGAGAGAGCAGACCTCTTGCTCCTGACCATGAAGTCATCATGTCCAGAAATGCAAAATGAAAGTAAGGCGCGTGTGAGAAGCTACCATTTGTTTGGGTAAACACACAGAAGAAAGCGAGCAGGCCGAGACAGCTTCAAGCTGGGAGAGGATGTAAATGACCGGCCGGGAAGGCAGGCTACCCCCAGCTCACGTGTGGGCACGCGGCTCGGTGCTGGCCCTGCCCGAGCGCGTCCCACACCGCCAGGAGCATCCTCTTTGGAGAGGAGGAAACTGAGGCACGTGTGCTGCCCAAGCACTCACAGCTACGGGGTAGGGCTGGGACTTCACCTCGGGGTGGGGGCTGACTCCAGAGCCTACACCCTGAACCACCGGAGGATAAAGTCGTGCTCGTACAATTCCAAGTTCCCTGATTATTTTATTTTGCAAAAAAAAGCAGGTGCTTGTGATGTTTTAGTGAATCGAGCACATCTTCAATCTACAGAATTCCAAGACAGAAAAACCACCACACCTGCAATGGTTTTTTAAAGTGAAAATTGTTAACTTGACTTTCTGGAAAGTTTTTCTTAAATAAAAGCGAGATGCAGTTTCCAGAGTTAGCCTAGCAGTGACCATGACGGGCGTGAGTGCTTCTGCCGGGAGGTGTGTGGAGGGGAAGGCCCGACTGGACTCTTTCATGCTCTTCACCACAGGGGCCACCGCCTGACCACGGACCCTGTGCACGTGTCCAGCGCCCTCTCTCCCGGCCCCGTTACATCCCCACACAAATGAGGGAAAAGGGCTGAGCCACCTCAGAGCACAAGCTGTTTGCTGACGGATGAACTGCACTGCATGGGGTCCCAGCATCTAACACCATGTCCTGAGGCGTCCACCCTTTCCCTCCCCTCTTCCCACAATGCAATGGGCCCAGGAGAGGCTCTGCAGACCCAGGCTCATGTGGACATTTAACACGAAGTGGGCATCACACTCACTAGGAGCGCTCTATCAATTCTGCCGAAACCCAAAACGGAGATTTTGAAGAAACAGAACTTTTAATCTAATGACTTTTCACTGTTTTGTTTATTTATTGACTGAGCTATTTATTTTTAAATAGCTAAACAATTTTTACAATAATTACATGTTTGATGGAGTTTTACACGTGGTTGCACTAAATTAAAAACCATGAAAATTCTATCTGTTCTACTTTCCTTTTCTTGAGGTGACGTGGGTTCGCAACCCTGCATGTGTTTCAGGGGAAGAGATCACACCTCCTCAGGTGCATGTCACCCCATTACACCCCTTTTCACTCTCTTTAGTCTGTTACTAAACCTGGATAATGTACTATTTTGAGCAGTATTTCACTAGCTGACATAACCTCTACAGTTTTGAGATTTATAAATCTTAATCAGAACAATTCACTTTTAAATATATTGTTTTGCTTAAAATCATTAAAAACCCACAAACTGGACCTCCCTGGTGGAGCAAGGGGTTAAGACGCAACCTATGAAGCTGTCTGTAGCCACTGCAGCACGAGATTGATCCCTGGCCAGGGAGCTACTACCCACAGGGCGCAGCAGACCTCTCCTGTCTCCCCACTGCTCCCCTCAGCAATGTATTTCAGTCAGTCAATCTGCCTGTTCTGTTGCCTGCTCTGACTCTGGTGAATCCTCTCACACCCCCCACACCCCTGGCCTACACCCCAGTTCTTAAATAAACAAATCTTAAAAAAAAAAAAAAAAAAACCCACAAACTATATAGACATTTATTGGTCGAATTGGATTTTTGGGTGAGGGCTTGCAAGGCACCATGGGGGGGAGGGCTCCGTTGACAAGAGTACACCTCAAGATGGGAGATGACAGGGTGCAAAGCAGGGCCTCCCTCCTTGTAGGGTAAGGTAAAAAGCATCAGGCTTTTCTGCCCCTCCCACCATTAGGATAGATGAGGGAACTCTGTGGTCCCGAATGCATGCCTGATGGTGGGCACCTGGAGTAGGGTGTGGGCATAGGTAGATGGGATTCACCTGGGCTGAGACTGCGCTTTTAAGGGTGTCATCATGGGGACGCCAGCAGAGAGCAGAGAACAGAACTACCAGAATCAAGAGGGAAGAAGAATGAACCAGAGCAGAACCACGAGAGAAGCAGAGAAACAGAGAGAAGCCCGGCGAGTCCAGAAAGAGTGGAGACTTGCTGGGGGCTGGGAGGCCTGCCAGCACCCCTGCCTGCTGCTGTACCTGGTAAATCCCAATAAAAGCCACTGAGGGCCCCAGGACTCCTCCCCCTTTACCCCGTCTGCTTGGGTCATAGAAAACCTGCTCCGTGTCTCCCTGCCCCTTACACTCCTCCACACCCTGGATCCCTGACATTGACCAGTGGGTGTCCCCTACCCCCGTCAGGTGAGCTGGAAAAGAATGAGTTTAGAATCATGGCAGGTGTCTGTAATTCCAGGCAGGGCTTGGCACTAAAAGGTTCCAACTTTCCAAATTAAAGAAACAAAAAGACTGATTGTTCTTTGTTCTTTGGCCACAACCCCCAGCTATATATAACCAACCCCAGAACCAGTTTTAAACCCTTCCTAATGGATCAATCACAGCTCCACACCAGACCCAGCTTCTGACTGTCAGTCGGCTACAGCAGTCCCCCCATGGTCCTCCCCCTAAAACTAAGGGCCAAACAATCCCCCGCTCCCCCATTTCCAGAAGCCCACCAATCCCTGAACTCCACAGTTCTCAACAGCTAGTGATCTGTTTGGAGGGACTATGTCTTGCAGAGCAGTGCCCCTGGCTGAGCTCAGACCCGGCCTGTCCCCTGCATGAGGACCCGTGCAGTGAGGGACGCAGAGAGGGGACGACAGCTCGGGGGTGGAAAGCTGTCTCACATCTCAGAGGGAAATGCAACAGCCTGCTGGAGGTTCAAGGCCTGTAGGGTAAGGTTAAAAAAAGTATCGGCTTTTCTGTCCTCCCACCATTAGGATTGATGATGGAATCCTGCAGTCCTGAATGCATGCCTGATGGCCGGCGCACCTGCAGTGGGGTGTGGGCACACGTAGGTGGGTTCACCTGGGCTGAGACTGGGCCTATATGGGCGGCGTCACGGGTACTCCAGAAGACTGGAAGGAGAACGAAAGAGCAAAAGAGAACAGCAGAAGCAGGAGAGAACAAGGCCACAAGAGAACACCGGAGGGCCCACGAAGAGTGAAGATTCACTGAGGGCTGGGAGGCCTGCCAGCCTCCCGACTCCCCAGCACCCCTGCCTGCTGTGTACCTGGGGAAATCCCAATAAAAGCCTGCAAAAAGCCACCGAGAGCTCCAGGACTCTCTTTTCCTTTACCCTGTCTGCTCCGGTAATAGAACTTGCCCTGTGCCCTTCCTGCCGCTACAATGCCATATCCTCAGAGCCTAGAAAATGCCCTGGAGCTCATATTCGGGAGAAGTGTCATCCTGGGCCTTTGGTTTTCCAGAACGCCTGTTAAAGTCTAAGTCCCCGGAAAACGTACTCCCTCAGACTAAAGCCAAGAGGCTGCAATCTCACCGCCTCAACACAATGCTCCCTACACTGGGACGCTGAAGCAGGTGGGTGGGCCACAGCGGCACGTGCTTCCTAACAGCGGGAATCACAAAACACTTCCGGGGAGATGACCTACATGGCACTAAAAACAGTCAAGAGACTGAAGAGGAGAGACACGTGCCATGAATGCCCGTGACATCCGGCAGGCAGGCAGGCAGGCATTCACGGTATCATTTCTCCTCTTTTAACTGGCTTAATCATAAACAGACGGCCTTACCCGATGGTACTGGCAAGATCTTCCCAGTCCACTTCATTAGCGTCTTCCACATTTATTTCATATAACCTGTGAGGAAACAAGTAATTTTCAAGCACAAGTTGGTGTGCTGGAACCTTCGTGCACTCCACCCCTGTTCAGTTACACAGCGGGCCTGTCAGCCCAAGGTCACTGAGTTAGTAAGCTCCAGGCTGAACAGCCACCTCTCCTCCCGAGCCTGCAGATCTCCCACAGAACCAGGCTGCTTGCTTAGAGGAAAGCGCATGCTCCCCATTCACGGCGGACGTGGCAATAGCACACGTTAAGACACTGCTAAGAACTTGGCAACCACTAATCATTTACCCTCGACACCCCTGAGGTGGGGGGTGGCCGCCAATCTGCAGACAGGGAGATGAGGGTCCCAGTCATGGACTCGGCTTCACGACTACAGGGTGCACCACCACTAGGGCCTGCCTGCCTGACTCAGGACCTGCGACTCAGGCTGCGAGCCCGCAGCGTCTCTCTGGAAGAAGCATAAAGGTGGACCAGGCCGGCCAGGCCAGGCTGGTGACTCAGGAAGCACCCGTATGCGCTGACAGCAGGGTTCACGACAGGGGGTGGGAGGCTAGAGCTGGGCAGGGGCCTGGTCCAAAGGGTGCTTCTGTTCTCTGCGCTACATATCTGACATGCGCAAGGGAGCCTAGGTCCCGTCCCTCAGTGGGAGGACTCTGCAGTGACCGGAATGCAAACACGAAACTGAAACACAGCAACCATGACAGCAGAGTGTGCCCGTAAGAGCAGGAGGCGTGGCCTGACTTATTCACCTCCATTCTCCAATGGACAGAAAAAACTTCTCTCCGCACAGAAGCCTTCAACAACACAGCACATTTCACAAGCATTAATTCCTCTCTCAACACCACTCAGAGGTACGGCTTACTCATTTCAGATGAATAAGTCAAAACCTAGAACGCCAGAGCATGCCCCGGGCACGCATGCAGCAAGTGGTGGGATAGGGCCAGAGCCGCGGCGACGGTGGCAGAAGCTGCCGCGTGGCCAGAGGGAAAGAGCAGCCCGAATAGCCCGGCGGCTTCCGTACCTTTCGATCAGGTTAATCTTGGCCTGCAGGGCATTAACGCCACGGTACACGTCGTGGCCTTTCGTCATCCTCTTCGTTAGAATTTCAGTCCTAGGTCAAAAGAAAGAAAAGAAAGAAAAACGGGTTTACCTTCAAGGGTTTCCATAAAGATTTTCTGTATTTTTCTCATCTGAATTTCCCTCATTCAGAATCACTTTCTCTGTGTGTGTGTGTATAAAACTGGGGTACAGGCCAGAGGTGTGGGGGGTGAGAGCGTTCACCAGAGACAGAGCGGGGAGCAGAACAGGCAGACTGACCGAAACACACTGCTGAGGGGAGCAGCGGGGAGACAGGAGGTCTGCTGCGCCATGTGGGCCGGCAGGGATGGAACTCAGGCCGAAGCAGTAATAATACTGAGACTTAACTCCTAGGCCGCCAGGGAGGCCCCTCACTTTCTAACTTTTGCAACTCATGACAGCTAACTCTAACACCACGGACTTACCTAGGAAGAAGTGGGAAAGGATGAATAAAATGGTAGAAAGTTGATGGGGACTGAAGCTGGATGGCGGGTACAAGGAGCTCAACACTGGTGTGTTAGCAGATTTCCATAACAAATTTTTAAAAGGAGGGCAGAAAAAGAATCAGCCTATTAGCAGATGCTGAAGAAAGGATACCATGGAAGCTCCACTTGTTTCTGATCAGTTTAAAAAAGCAGACAACGTTGCTCTTATTCCCACAAACAGTGGCTGGAAGTCGATTTAACAGACAAGTAAACGTTGAATGATTCCGCTAGTGCCCAATTAATGGCTGAAGGAAAGGGGTCCCTGAAGGGCCGAAGGAAAGTACCCGCCCAACGAAAGATAGCTCAAAAGTACTCATCTTGAATAGTAAAATCTGTCATACCCTGATGGCTCCCTGGTCGGCTGTTACGTTTCCAATATTGATGAAGACAGCTGGCTCCACGGGTGGTCGATTAGACTTATTTTTTTTTTTTTTGAAGAAAATCACTTTATTCTGAATGACTCACAAACAATAACCCCACACAGAACAGGTTTCAGGAAGCCACAAACATTGCTGCCCCTCCCAAACTCAGTAGCACCTCAGTGGACATTCATAGGGTAAGGATGCAATTAGTGATAGATTTAACTTTGTATGTCACTATCAATCGTCATTTTTATGCTCAATTAACTTGGTGCTGAGACGTTCACATTGAACTTCTTGACGAGGCTGATCTGTCAGCACAGCTGCGGTTTCAGCACTGAGCTGCAACACTCCAAAGCCTGAGGCACCCCGGTTCCAGGAACGGGGACACTCCCAACACTGCTTCATCCGGTGGGCCAGACTGCTGGCACTGCTCGGTGGCAGCTGGGGACCCCGAGGCTCCTGGGAAGGGGCGTCAAGCCGCGAGGACTCCGCACCACTTCCTGCAGGCAGCCCTGTGAGGGCATGACCTGTCGTGTGCCCAAGAGCAGAGCCCACGGCCTGCCACCTGCAGCAAACAGATGGCTGCCTTGTGTGACCGAAGACTTAGAAAGGGATAGAATGGAGAGACCAGGGGTCAACACTCAGTATTAGACAAGTTCAAGTTGCTCGTGAGGAAGTCACAACAAATCAGGGCTAGTTCTATGCTAAGTGAAATCGGCCAGGGGTGACTCATGGGGCGGGAGCCTCGGACTAGAGGTGACCTTCCTGGGGGGACGCTCTCCACTTGACAGAGTGGAGCCTCACCAACCGACCCACCCTGCACACTGCCTCGAGAGAGACACTGTCAGGGTCAAAATGGCGTAAGAAGCCTTAGGACTTACCACTTACTTTTACACTGCATCCAGTTCCTCGTTTCTACTTTGGCTTCTACTTCTACCCAGGAGATGCCCTTGTAGAGTTTCTCCCGAACAATGGACAGGCAACCTTCGGTATTTTCCTGAAGTTTAGAATCCACCTCTTTTAACTCCTGGGGAGACATTTTCTTCAGAATCACTTCTTCAACGGCCTTGATTAGTTTCTGGGTTTCCGCCTTACTCCAAGGACCATGATTTCTTTCTACGGACATAAAGCAAGTTCTTTCAAACAGAACATTAAAAACAAACTGGTACGGAGAACACATGCGCCATGTGGCGTTCGTCCAAACCCACAGGCCATACAGGCCCAAGCGTGAGCACTGAGGCTAAAGCTCTGGACTTTGGGGGATTCTCACATGTCAGTGTAGGTTCCTGGATGGTGACAGAGGTGGGGGTGTGGCGGGGGTTACGTCTGTGTGGGGGCAGACGGGGAATCTCTGTACCTTCTCAATTTTGCAGAGAACCTAAAACTGCTCTGGAAAAATAGTCTGAACACTTTCCAGATGAATATGGGCAACAACTTAACTATGTAAACACAACTATCAGTCACATGCAAACGGAAGCGGCCCCACAAAGGAAATGTGTGTATCTGGGTTTGTTTTTCAGCTTCACAAGCACAAAAGCCGTCCCTCCTGTTTCTGAGACTAACGCATTCTGGCAAAAGATGTGGGGCGACCAAATATGTAACATACACAAACGACACTGATGTCACATATGCGACCCCCCACCTGGCTTTCCGAGCATGAAGCTAACAGCCGCCACGACACCAACAGGGTACCTGGTGGGAGACCCTGAGAATTTCTGCAGCCCCTCCTCTGCGGGGGTGCAGTTCACCCCTCTTCTCTATAGAGCTCACAGTCCTGGAACCAGCAGCCTGTACCTATCTTTGGCTTGGCTCACCGAGTGCTGAGCCCCCCTCAACCCAACCTACCGTCTTTTTGGAAATTGGATATCTGGAAATACCCAAATTTTGAAAATGTGGGTATTTCAAAATTAAGAAATTTCCAAGAAAAAAAATCTAGACTGCACAAAATTTTTAGAAGTTCTGATTTTTGCCTTAAGTCCTGGGAAAACTGGCCACGCCAAGTACCAGGGGCTGGGGCTGTGGCTATGGCCGAGACCCACGTGCTCCTGGGTGTGGGCACCAGAGACCACCACTTACCACTGCTGATCTGGGAGAACTTCAGGGCCACCGAGAGGCTACTTCGAGCCACCATCTCACCAATCTTCTTCCAGTCATTTCCGTGGAGGGAGTGGTAGATCTTCAACTTCTCGGTTTCTCCTTTACTATACCTGTGCGGGAGGGAAAGCATGTCAATGCGCTGGATTCGTCACAGGCTGAACCCGGCCGTGCTCTCCTTGCATGAGCCACAGTTGTGGGGAAGAGCGGAGGGGGCAGGGCAGAACGGCAGGTCGTCACCCATGACCCATGGGTTGTCACCCATGACCAGCGCGTCCATGTCAACGACGGTCACCCCGCAGCCCCATTGCCGCTGCCCAGGCACTGGTTAAACCTGGGTCAGAGCCACAAGGCAGATGGCGTTACCTCCCCATCCAAACCCTAAAGGCGTCACACTTCACACAGCAACACACACAATCCATAATGTGCCTCCAGGCCGGGTCCCCTCTCCTCAGCCCCGTTCTGGCTTCAGCGCTCACTGCAGAGCGGCTGGTACCTGGAGCTCCTCAGGCCCTTCAGACTCAGCTTCAATGGTGCCTGTTTCCCTGACAAGCTGAGCTCACAGGCGCCCGAAAAGCACCCTGCTCCCCGCACTCACTCGCACCCCTCACCACTGTGTACGTGCGGGCCCGTGATCTGTCTCGTCCTCCAGACCAGCACAGCCCAGCAGAAACATGAGCCCCTGCACCTGACACTTACTGGTGGTCACGTGAAAACAAATTTTAATGAACGGATCAAATAATACAGTTTCTTGAACTAAAAAAAGCTGAAAAATGCCATCACCTCTCCAGGAGCTGATACCCAGAGGCATGAGGAGGGTTTCCACACCCCGATGCTCACACCAATCCTTTAAGCATACATGTGCCTCAGCCCTTCGCAACCTGGATGACGCTGCCCTCGGCGGACAGGAGGCTGGGGCCACCCTCGTGGGCAGCATGGCTGGGGGCCTGGCAGGGACAGGAGCGGGGTGTGCAACACCACGGCACCCACAATGCTTGCCCGACAGCAGGCATCCTATAAATATGTGACAAGTGGCTTGACACAACTACGCAGTAACTACCTAAGGAGTTGAAGGGGCACACATTTTCCATAAAAACAAGTATCACAGAGAAGAACTGAAAAGCACACTGGAACATTGTGCATGGATTTGAGATTAGATACCTCAATGTTCAAATGAGGAAAGAGCCCTCTATGCCATGCTACCACCTGCCGAGTGAGGAAGCAGGGGCTGATGTCCCCACAAAGGCAACACCCATGGAGTCCCAGAAAGGCTGACAAGTGTGGTCCAGGACGGCTTTGGGACAGCAAGGCGTTAGTGCTTCCAGAAACGGGGCCAGAGCAGAGGCTACTGCTAGGCCGCCCGTGCCTCATCCGGAGCTGGGCCCAGGTCTGATTCCCTACGGGGCATGCCCGGTTCCCAGATGCCTACGGGAAGTTGTTCTTTTTCCAGGCCAAACAATACCACTTCTCAGAGTCTTCTCAGACCCCTGTTGGGGGTCCTCCGTTGCAGAAGCCCCTCTGGGACAGCCTGTTCTGTGCTGGCTCTAACTACCTCGGGCTGAAAGGACCGCAGCGCCCGAGCCTGGCCCCTGTGGGGGGCACTGCTGGTTCTGGCTTGGCTTGCCTTGGCGTTTTCAGCTTCCTTGTTGCCATTTCAGGGGACTTTTTTGGAAGTTGGAATATGGAAGGGATTAAAGGGGAAAAAAGCAAAAAAAAAAAAATCAAGCTTTCTTGTAGTTTCTTTCTGGAGGTAAACAGGGTCTCTCTGAGGTTAAGAAAGTAACACCAAGGTTCCCTTAGAGCAACAAAACCCCCTCTGCTTTCACACAACAACGTTCATTGTCTGAACTTGCAATCTGATGCGGAGGTTTCCATTTAGAGCATCAGCAAAGGCCAGAGAGGTGCACTGGCCCCCGGCGCTCAGGATGGTTTCTTACCTGCCTTTGTAATTATTGACATCGAACATCTTCTTTGCTCGATAGTAAACGAGTTTCCAGGGCCGGGCAATGCCCTTACCTAAAGTCAGAAGGAAGAGTCAGAGGGGCGCGGAGACCACGGCACCCAGTGGTGTCAGGGTCACAAAGGAAGCCGGCACGCTGCCCCCTCAAGAACACCAACTGCCCTAGACCTGCAGGTGGCTGGGGCGCCATGTGCCCTGAAGAGAGCCGTCCTGTACAAAATCCCCAGTTTCTCTGCAGAGATCTGTGCTTAGTACAGACCAGCTTCTGGTCTACTAAATTTGCATATTGGCAAAGTAATTTTCAAATGAAAGGGAAGGCATGTCAGGGTGGAGATAGATGACAGTCATCCTCGGAAGAGACAGAAACGCTCCAAACACACACACACCTTCTGTGCTTTCCCGCCCACAGGGGAAGCGCCCTCTTGAGGGGCTCACTGCCACTCCCCCTGTGCATCCCACAGGACACCCGTGAAATCCTTTTCTTGGAATCCAGTCCAGTCCATGAACCTCCTAGCATTCCAGGCATCGTCTCCAGGAGGGCTCAGGCTGCACAGCACAGATTCCCCAAAGCATGGAGACTGCAGGGGCCCTGGGGCCTGCTCCGGCAGCACAGGTACAAAACCCAGGATGAGGAGCAGGAGGACAGGCCCAGGTCATGATTATGACCAAGCAAGAAATGAAAGAAGGGCCTCCCCGGTGGCGCAGCGATTGAGCGCTGGGTTGCAAAGCTGCCCGCAGCTTCTGCGGCGCCGGTTCGATCCCCGGCTGCTCCCCGGACACCGGAGGAGGGTCCCACATGGCACACAGACCTCTCCTGCTGCCTGCTGCTCCCCTCAGCAATGTACTTCGGTCCTTCTGCCTGCTCTGCTCCCCACTCTGGCTCTGGTGAATTCTCTCACCCTCCTGCACTTCTGATTGTACCCAGTGCTCATATAAATAAATAAATAAATAAATAAATAAATAAATAAGAAGCAAGCTTAAAAAAAAAAAATGAATGAGGCAACCAAGATGTTGCTTATTTCATTTTGCATAAAGACCTTACAGCACCATGTGCAGAGACAGGCACATGTTTCAAATCCCCCAGCGCGCCGGCGGGGGTACAGGCGCTCTCAGCGCCACACCAGCACAGCCACAGTTCCAGAGTAGTGCGGGGCCAGGCGCTGCGTGGGGCTCGCCCCAGGGCGTCTCCCTGAAGGCTGGGAAGCGGTGCAAGGTGGACAGTCAGGGTTCTAAACTTACCAATGTGCACCCGGAAGGCGTATTTCCTCTTTAAATCGGTGATGATGGACTTCTCCTCCGGGTATCTGTCTGTGTACAGCAGCTTGTCCGCATTCTCAATTCCTGTTAGGGACAGGAACTCTTGCACGTTTTGTTCTAACTGCTTATTTTCCTTTGCAGAAAACTTGCCAAATTTAATAGCAACACCTAGGATATTTCAGGGGGGAGAAAGAATATTATGAAAAAGCAAATCCACCACTTGGCCTGCAGCCGTCAGCACAGAGCAGTCGTGGAGCGAGAGCGTCCCTGCCCTGGCGTAGCCCTGCAATCCCTGCTGTGGGGCCGGTGTCTCCTGATCTCAGCTCCAGCCACGCCGCTTATCCCAAAGCCTTCCCTGGTCATCCTGTCCCAAGGTGGCCTTCCTGTGCCACCAGCCTCTTTTGAAAACAGTGTTTTTTAATATTAAAAAGTAACGTACACTTGGGCCTCCCCGGTGGCGCAGTGGTTGAACGCTGGTTGCGAAGCTGCCCGCAGCCTCTGCAGCGCCGGTTTGATCCCCGGCCACTGGGTGAGGGTCCCACATGGCGTGCAGACCTCTCCTGCCGCCCGCTGCTCCCCGCTCTGACTCTGGTGAATTCTCTCACCCTCCCGCGCTTCTGACTGTACCCAGTGCTTGTATAAATAAATAAATCTTTAAAAAAAAAAAAAAAAAAGGTATACTTGTTCAAAATTCAAACGTCCTAATCGGCAAGAGCTGCGGGTGCGGACGGGCCGGCAGGCACACGGAGGCCCCGCACCTGCTCCGTGCACGGATAGAACTTTACATTCTTTGCTCTGTCTATCCCCAAGCGCCTCCACTGCGTGACAGATTCACAAGAGATATTTTAAAATATCTCTTATGAACTACATGCTCATGAAACTTTCAACACAGACTATACAAACAGCTCGTTCTAGAAATACTGCCCTAGACCTGTATTTTTCTCACTTGCTCACCCTGTGCTTTAAATTCTTTAAAGCGTCCCAAGTCATCCCGATACATGCGCTTAATGGTAGTGGCGGCCCGCTCCTTGATGTCGGGGATGAACTCTTGGAGCTGCTTCGTGGCGGAGTCCAAATCCACGTCTATGCCATCGGAGGCTCTTGACTCTTCAGAGGAGTATTTTGTTTCAGAACCTTTAGCTGATTCCAAAGTGTTTTCTTCTTCCTCCACAGGTTCTAAGCTGGGGGGGTGGGGGGGAGAGAGTTAATGATCATCTCACCTGCCCTAAGAGCCCCCGAAATTCTTACCCTCACTCAGACTGCGCCGCATTAAAGCTCACAGGCAGCTGCAGGTGACTCAGTCTGAGGGCTTCGGTCTCCTGAACTGGACTAACATGGATTTGCCTCAGGTCACTGCTGCACCTCCCCCTGCAGTGACCTTTAGGGCTAACCGTCCCTAGGTCCGGCTGGGCAACCAGCGTGCAGGGGGAGAACAGCAAAACCCCCTGAAGACATACCTGCTGCACCTCCCCCTGCAGTGACCTTTAGGAATGGCTTTCGCCACGGTCCCTAGGTCCGGCGACCAGCGGGCAGGGGGAGAACAGCAAAACACCCTGAAGCAGAGGAAGTACAGCGAAGTTCCCTGAAAAGACAGAAGCTTATCAAAAGATAACGACCACCAAGAACCACTACAAGAATGCTAAAAAAACCTTATCCCGTCTTTCTAGAACTACAAACTTTAATCCCTTATTTGTCTTTCTAAACTTCCTTCTTTCTTCTATAAAGGTCATTGCTTGTTAATTAAAAAATCATATGAAATCCTTAAAACAAGGCTGACTCAAATGAAACATTACTAAACCCTGTAATAATTAAAATATAGTTTAGGTTAAAAAGTAGTTAATAAAAAATGCGATTATATAGTTTAAAAACAAAACTAATGGTCTATCTACTTAGGAATGAGGCTGAGTCCAGATGTAGATCACCGCCCTGTTGGGGATAGGCTGAGCCCATGAGCAAGCTGATTTCATGGATATTCATTGTTCCTGTGCTTTTGGAAAACATACATATACTGGTCACAAACTCAAAGAAAATTACACTCAGATTTTCACTCTTTTTTTTTTTTTTTTTTTTTTTTTATAGAGGCATGCTTTATTTATTTGTTTGCTGGTTTGTTTGTTTGTTTTGTTTATACATGCACTGGGTACAGTCAGAAGTGCGGGAGGGCGAGAGAATTCACCAGAGCCAGAGCGGGGAGCAGAGCAGGCAGAAGGACCCAAGTACACTGCTGAGGGGAGCAGCGGGCTGCAGGAGAGGTCTGCGCGCCATGTGGGACCCTCCTCTGGTGGCCGGGGAGCAGCCGGGGATCGAACCGGCGCCGCAGAGGCCGCGCGCAGCTTCGCAACCCAGCGCTCAACCGCTGCGCCACCGGGGAGGCCCCAGATTTTCACTCTTGAAGTGTGTCTGTTTGTCATTTCTTTCACCGACGCCCTGACCACCCTGCACGCTTCTCTCAACCCTGAGGTGGCCTCATCGTCTACTGCTGTGCTGGTCCGCGGCAGGTCACGAGAAGGCAAGTGGGGACCTCAGCCCTATTTCCGCCGGGAGTTCCTCCTGACAGTAGTCTCTTGCCTTCTTGTTGATACCGGCTTCTAAATAAGCCAGTGGCTGGCCTATTGAGACCCCAGACACCTCTCTCGTCTTCGGAAATGCTCCAATGAGTGAAACTTTGTAACACAATGGTTATCATTACATAAACGTTCAGGGGTTATCCGGTTGCAGTTCTTTTGGCTGCAGTTAATAATGGCTACTTTGTCCCCCTTTGCTTAGTTTCTGTGTCTTTACCACTAATTCATCCCCAAACTCTGACCCTTCCCTCAGTATGCTCAAGCACATCTGCGACCGCTTAGATGGGACACGGGGGCAAAACCACCCGTGCGCACGCACCTGTGTGACAAAGGGCCGACAGCTCTGAGAGGGCCAAGGCCCAACACAAACCCACAGCTGAGATGACTGTCCCCTCATGCTCTGTGCTCTGAAAATGCCCCTGGTGAGACCGCACAGGGGATGACGTGAGGGGGGCCTGTCTGTTAGCAACATTCCATAAATGGGGACCTCTCTCATTGAACTGCATGCAACTATTTTAACCAGGACAGCTTAACGTCTAAGAAAGGCACCGCGTGAAATGGGAAGAACCTCTGTCCCAAGTGCCGAACGGAGATAAAATGGTTTAAAAAATACGCCCTGTATGATGACACCAGTTAAGTCAGCTAAAGTCACTGGCAAGCCCCCTAATTTATATTCTGTCCCTGTCCTGTCACACTCCAGGTAATCTAATCCTTTTTTCGATCTCTATGCAGAGAAAAACAAAGGTGCTTTTAGGGTCCAAGGATGCTTTTTTTAAAAATTAAATTTATTTATGCATACAAGAACCGGGGTGTAGGCCAGAGGTGCAAGGGGATGAGAGGATTCACCAGAGACAGAGTGGGGAACAGAACAGGCTGATCTACTGAAACACACTGCTGAGGGGAGCAGCGGGCGAGTCAGGAGAGGTCTGCTGAGGGGAGCAGCAGGCGAGACAGGAGAGGTCTGCTGCGCCATGTGGGTAGCTCCCTGGCTGGCTGGGGATCGAACTCATGCTGCAGAGGCTGTGGATTGCTTCATAGGGCGGTGCTTAACCAGGGAGGCCCCTAAGATGATTTTTAAAACTTATTCAGAGACTTTTAGACCAAAATGGCTCTTAGTGGGAATCTACGTGAGCCTCTTACTTACACACTTGGGGGGAGGCTGATGCTGGGGGCTCAGCACAGCCTGCACTGCCCCACAGGCTCCCCTCAAGGCGCGGGCGAGCAGTCTCCCACAACACTCCCACTCACCTCTGCGCCTCTTGCCAGCTGGCTGGGCTCTGCTCCTGTGGCCTGGGCTTCGCGCTCCCTCCAGGCTGGGCACCAGCACTGTGCCGTGGGTCCCAGGACGCGCCATCCCGGCTCTCTTCACCACCTGCTGCCAGGGTGCCCGCAATAGACCTCTGCTTCCTCTTCTTACGCTTTTTCTTTCGGCTTCTAGGTTCTCTCTTGCCTCCATCGGCCCCAGCCTCAGAGGCTGCTGGCGATCCTTCTGTGCACAATCGCTCTAGGCTCTCAGGCCCGACCCCCATGTCACACTCCTGATTCTTTGGAATTTTTCTCTTTTTTTTCTTAGACTTGCTTTTCTTAGCAGACCCTGGCAATGATGCCATTTCACTTCCTGGACGCCCAGACAGCAGGGGTCCCTGCTGGGGTGATTCGCACCGGGGCAGGCCAAGGCTCCCATGTGCGCCAGCTTCGTAGGAGTCGACATTCCTCCGATGCTTTTTACTCTTTCTTGCTCTCACTTTATCACGCTGTTCTTCTGCCTCGTTCTTCTGGGACTCAGTAAGTGAAAGTTTGACCACCTTCGGCTCCTCTGCTGCCTTGAACTCCTTGCTCGCATCAATGTAAATCACATCCACATCCCTTCTCAAGCGCTGCCACACGTTCTCTGTGTTTTCTTTATCCACCAGGACACAGGTCACGCCTGCTGCCTCGTCTACACCCACAACACTAGTTCTTCTCTTTTTCTTTTTTGAGGGCAGAGACGCGGCCTGCTCAGCCTCATCGAGATCCTGGAAATCCTTCCTTTTTTTGTGACTCTTGGGTACGTGAGACTGCTCCTCTGCCAGGAGGGGGTCTCTGAAACTTTTGTGGGGGTGTCTGTGATGCCCTTCCTTGTGTACCGAATGCTTTTTCTTTTTCTTGGCAAAATCGGGAGTGTGGCCTTCCAGGAGGCTTGGTTCTCCTTCCATTTTATTCCTATTTGGGAAAAATGTCAATGACTTGCTATTGCAACGCATTTTAAACATTAGCCCTCAGAGGAAAAAAGCACCAGAAAGTAAGACGACAAGACAAGTGACAAGCCTGGGGCCATGGTCGTGAATTCTGTACTATTCCAGACGCCCGGAGGTCGCCAGGATTCCCTCTGGCGCGGCCACGGCAGGCCCAGCCAGCAGCAGGCACTAACAGCTCCGGGCGCCAGCCCGGCCTCCCCTCGCCCTCCCAGCTCTGTGGACCACACCGCCTTTTCTGCGGCTCCCGGCACAGGTCGGGTCCTCTCCGGACGCCAGGTCTCCGCCCCCGGGCTCCCCGGCCCCCGGGGCCCCCCGACGATCCCAGAGCGCAGCGGCAGGAGCTCTCCGGGCCCCCCGACCCCGGCCCCCCGGCCCCCGCCCCCCCAGCCGATCCCCAGAGCGCGGCGGCAGGGGCTCTCCGGACCCCCCCCCCCCCCGCCCATCCCCAGAGCGCGGCGGCAGGGGCTCTCCGGACCCCCCGCCCCCCGGGCCCCCCGCCCATCCCCAGAGCGCGGCGGCAGGCGCTCTCCGGGCCCCGGCCCGCGGCTCCCCGAGGGCCGCACGCTCGCCGCCACCCGCACGTCCAGGCCCCGGGGCAGCAGGCCGCGGCCGCAGAGCAGAGGCCGGTCCCGACCGGGGCGCCAGCTCCGCCCCCCACCCCGACCCCCAGCTGCGGGGGGGGAGGGGCCCTGCCTTGCGGGGGGCGCCCGGCGGCCCGGAGGCCGGGAACCCACTCCCGCCGCCGCAGCCCCCGCCCCGGCCTCGGGCCCGGCGCCAGGGCGGGGCGGCCCCCCGAGCCCCCCGAGGCCGCGGGCGCCCCCCGCGCGACTGACCTGGGCGCGCCCGAAGACCCGCGCGGCCAGGCGCCCTCCAGCCGCGCTGCGAGGCGCCGGCGCTCGCGGTCCGAGCCGGAAGTGTGCGGCGGAAGCGGAAGCGGCCTGACGTCACGTCCGGCCTCCCGCTGCCATAGCAACAGGGCCGCCCCGGCCCGGGCCCTCGCTCGGCGGCGGGCGGGTTTTATTCCTGGGGTCTCGGGGGACGGGGCGCGGCCGAGCGTGATCCTAAAACTGAAACGTGGGGCCGATTCTCCCCCTGGCTCGAGGCTTCGCGCGCGCGTCCCATTTACTTAGCACGGGCTCTGCAGAAATGAACGGGGGGGGGGTCCCCGACCCCGGACAGCAAACAAATCAAGCGAGCTAAGGTCAGAGTATCCTCCAAGGGGAATGCAGCAGGGCGGTGTGATAGTGGCTGCAGGCCGTGGCCGCTGCTTTAGATGGAAGGGAAAGCTCCTGGAGGAGTGACTTTTTTTTTTTTTTAAAGATTTATTTATCCAAGCACTGGGCACAGTCAGAAGCGCGGGAGGGTGAGAGAATTCACCAGCGCCAGAGCGGGGAGCAGAGCAGGCAGAAGGACCGAAGGACACTGCTGAGGGGAGCAGCGGGCGGCAGGAGAGGTCTGCGTGCCATGTGGGACCCTCACCCCACGGCCGGGGATCGAGCCAGCGCTGCAGAGGCTGCGGGCAGCTTCGCAACCCAGCGCTCAACCACTGTGCCACCGGGGAGGCCCATATTTAAGCTGAATTTAGGTGAGAAGGGTGAGCAAAAATCCAGATGGAAGCGGTTGTGGCCGGACGCAAATACAAAGGCCCTGAACTTGGTTGTTGGAGGAAATGAACCAGGCCTGGGCATTTGGAGCCCAATGAATGAAGGGGGGAGTGGTAGGAGATGAAACCGAACGCAGGCGGGCAGCTGCTGGTGCAGGAGCTGCTGTAATCTTAGGTGAAGTTTGGAGCTACAATTCCAATCGTCCCATTTCAACAGAATCTTGATTTTTAATGATTAAAAAAGTTGAACCCAGCCTAATGGAGGTCAGTATCTGCACCATCCATGCTTTTAGCTTTATTGTATAGTGAACATAACCCACATCAGCAACTAGTTTTCTCAATTCTCTGCTAACAGCCCTCTGTTGAAGGCATCTTTATTGGGTTTTACCAGCCTCACCTTGTGATTAAGAAAACTAGGGCATAGAGTATTTTGTTCAAGGTGGCTGACTGTTGCCCTACCGGCCCCTCACTGCACCACCCCTACTAACTGTGTGAGCTGCCATGTGGTTTGGGTAAAAAGTGCACAGCTTACATTCTCTGGAAAGTTTGGGAATGAAGTAGCCTGGAGAAATAAACACACACACACATGCACACGCATTCATGTCACCCCCGAAGGCTGCTCCAGGTCTTAGCTGAGCATTTGTTAGGCTGCCTCGTTTGCTCTGGAAATGTGATGTTGGTGTTTTCCACTGCTGGCATCTAAGGCATTGAAGTTTGGGTTTGTCCTTGGTGCAACTCGGTCTAGGTAAACCCCTTGAGTCTGGTGGATATTACACGTTTCATGAAGATGACGATGAATGGATGAACCTGTTGTACAGCAACCCAGATACAAAACGGGGTGCCTGACTGTGGGTCCTCACCCGCACGCTTAAAAGGACTTATCAATGCTCTACTGCAGGCACACGTGAAAGGTTAATAAAAGGTTTATTTACAAGGGAAGGGGAAATGAGGAAATGTACAGCTCTGGGAGAAAAGTGGGAGACAAAGTTTTAAATGAGTCCTACCCAATCCGCCGATCAGGAATCCCAAAATGGCGCTCTCAGAGTTGGCCGCCAGCCAGGAGCGGTGAGGCCAGGAGGCGAGCGATTGCGAGCCAGAGAGAGCCCAAGGCCCACGTGTTTGGTTTTTATATCCAACCTGGCTGCCCAACTCCACCCTCAGGTCCCAGCCACCCTCCCTTGGTGGTGATGGGATTTGTCTTTCCCAATGTCTTGATGGCTTTAGTCTGGAGTGGGGGTGGGGTCCACAAAGCCTGTATGGGATTAACTCAGGACATCATTTCCCCCTAACAATTCCCCCCTTTCACTTTTTGCCACCATTTCCATGGTGATGAAGATCAAACATATGGATGCTGGGATACAGTTTCAGATGAAAACTTTCCAGGGTTCCAGTCTGAAAGAAAACGAATCCCTCCAGGTAGTGTCCATTGTGGAAAGCAAAAGTCCTCCATTCCTGGAAAAACAGTTAATCAGTCCCAGCCGAAAGAAAACATCTGGAGGCATTAGCCAGAACAAGACAGCAGATATGTCAAAAATCACAGGAAAAAAAAATCTTAAAATGGTTCAACTTATGTAAAAACAAATTCTCTCAACCTTGATCCCAAATTTTTTAACAGCATAGCAAAAGTTTGCAAACTAAATCTACTTTTTTTTATATATATAGAGGCATGTTTTCTTTCTTTCTTTATTTGTTTGTTTTTGTTTATACATGCACTGGGTACAGTCAGAAGCACAGGAGGGTGAGAGAATTCACCAGAGCCAGAGCAGGGAGCAGAGCAGGCAGAAGGACCGAAGTACACTGCTGAGGGGAGCAGCGGGCGGCAGGAGAGGTCTGCGCGCCATGGGGGACCCTCCTCCGGTGGCCGGGGAGCAGCCGGGGATCGAACCGGCGCCGCAGAGGCTGCGGGCAGCTTCACAACCCAGCGCTCAACCGCTGCGCCACCGGGGAGGCCCAAACTAAATCTACTTTTAAACCATATTGCCTATTTTTGCATAAAATCACAGGGCAGAATAACTAAGCAGCAATTTTTAGCTGGCTTCGTTGGAATACTCCATATAGGATTCAGAGCGAACTGTTGACATCCGGTCCGTGTAGGCTTCTGGAACAAGTTGGTCTCATCAGACTCCACCTGGGCTTTCCTCTTCTCGAGGGTACCAGGGACTTTTCGTTGGCCGGGTTGTCCAGTCCTGCCAATGGAGGCAAGCTTCCTCACCTTCTTTGGAGGTCTCTGGAACCCTACGAACAAAGCAAACAGGTTCTCCTCTTCTTGGTTCAGCTCTATTTCAACTTTCTGGAGGAGCTCCACACAAAGCCACACAATGAAACTTATGTCCAATTTTTTTCAGTTTAAACAAAATCCCTATGGAAGTTATGCAAAAACAGACTCTGAGATAAGTAGTAAAAGATTACTACCACTATTTTTATGCTGTGTTGGTATCAAGGGGAGAGAAAATGCAAATACAAGTTAGCTTTGTTGGAAGAAAAAAAAATTACAACCTTGCTGCAGATACTGGTCACCAAAACAAGAAAACTTTGTGGATTTAGAACAAAATGCAAAAAAATCATCAGTATTATGTCAAGGAAAACTTAGTAAATATGAGGTGTATTTCCAAGTCTATTCAGTCCTTAGTAGGAAAGTTTTACTCTCAACAGTTCCATCAATAGGAATCTGTTGAGACCTTTTCTCCCTATATTTTCAGAAACAAGTTCTGTAGATATTAAACAATTGAAGTATACAATATTACAAGGTGACAATCATCATTGACAATTTACATCCATATCAGGTCATGGTGTTCCCAAGTGATAATGCTTCCCTTCTAGTTTTACTCTACTAGGTGAGCCAAATAGAACAAATTCATCTAATGCCTTTCCCAGGAGGAAAGGCAGAAACTTTGTGGAGTGTCTCAGGAGCTCTACTGAGGTTCCACAAAATTTCCTTGCATCAGCCAAATGACAGGCTACCAAATTTGTACTTGAATTTAGATTTCTGGGAAGCTTTGCCATAAATATCAGAAAAATAACAGAAACAACAATATTCAATCTCTATGAAGGCACCGGCTTAGTTCAGTAGCACAATGTTGACAATCAAACCATAACCTTTAGTTTTTCTCATAACTGGAGACTCTTTTTTTTTTTTTCCAATGTCTTTGGGCACCATGTGTACCAATTTGTCAACCACTGGAGGTCAAGACAAGGACACAAGGAAAGGACATACAGACATACAACATATAGACACAAAGAGCTCTTTAGGTACCATTTATCACGCGTGGGATATCTCATACAACTGCAGTTTCACTGATAGGCCAAAGTAACAACAAAAACAAGCAGAGAAAAAAAATCTCAAAGTTAAAAACAAAAGTTAAAAAGAAATACCAAAATCAAGATTGAATGCCTTTCTGTGTAAAAAAAAAAAAAAAAATACTGCCAGCACATGCATGATCCTAGATGTTATTTCACGTCTCCTAAACTTTGAAAGGAAGAAGACTGCTTAGAGCATGTTAGTTTTTTTTTTTTCCTCAGGGTTTCTTCAGAAAAAAATGAGTCCTTGGGTATCCTGCAACAGTAACTGGAAAAGAAGTCAGTAACATTCAAGGTTTTTTCTGTTTCTTAAACAAATATCTCAAGTCCTCAATGGGTTCACAAGGCCAGTGACTTTGTCTCTGGGTCAGTTCCTTCTGGCACTTTCTTAACTCTGGAATGATGTACCCAGGGTTTTATGCCTGCAAGTTTCAAAGTATGTGTGCTCAGCAAAAGTTCATATGGACCAGTCCATTATGGTTTTCCTGAAACCCTGTCCTGTGGTCTCTTTGTAGGAAAAAAGTCGCAGGTTTCGGTCTCCTGTTCTTTCTATTATTATAAACCTTAAATGCTAACTCCACTACCTGGTACGGACTCAGCTCTGTGATGCCGTCTACCTTTGCTAACTTTCTCCTTACGTCTGGAGCACTATATGTGATGAACGTCATAGTGATCAAACGAGCATTTTCTGGGGCATCTGGATTTATATCCGTGTGGTTTGTATACGTCTGAATAATCCTCTCAAGGAACTCGGATGGATCCTCACTAGCCCCTTGTTCAAGTTCTAATATTTTGTTAAAATTTTGTTTGGGGATCCCCTGCTCCAGTCCTACCAATAAACATTTTTTATACAGGTCCAACATCGCCATTCCTCCATTGTTGGGGTCCCATCCAGGATCTTCCTCTGGGACAACAATCTCTGGCTCTGGGGACTGCCTATCCTGTTGGTGGAGATGGTCAGCCTCCTCCCTGGCTTTCCTGAATACCATCCTCTGCTCATCCAGCGTTAATAAAGTATGCAGCATGGACTGTATATCTGCCCAGTTAGGGCGGTGGGAGACAAAGATAGAGGCAAACAAGTTCGCCATCCTCTTGGGAGCCTGCCGGTACGAGGGAACAGAGCTCCTCCAATTTAGGAGGTCCGCAGTACTGAACGGATGGTGCGACCAAAAGTACCCAGCAGGTCTCCCATGTTCATTTAAGCCGCCCATTGGCATCTGGCGAAGGGGAAACTGTCCTGCCTCAGGGTGATCCTTCCTGCCAAAATGGGTGCCCAGTCTAGTGTGGGGAGGAGACACCATTTTAGTGTCCTCCCCAGAGGGCAGTGGAGGCTGTGCAGCCTCAGGGGTCTGCACGGGAGGGGCCTTGTCACGTGGAAGAGGATTTTGTCCTGATGTATTTAAAGTATTTAAAATATGATGCTCCTCCTCTTCTAACTCTGCTCGCTGGCAGTCCTCATGGAAAGGGGAAGGTCTATCCTTTCTCTGTGCCATAAGCCGAGCCTCCGCCATATCCAATTTATGGAGGGTGGCCTCTATCCTGTCCTGCATACTTTTAAAGGCTTGATCTTGTATGCTTTTATAAACTGACTCAAAGATGTTACGGTTCTCATCCCTCATGCACTTAATAGTTAAATCAAAGGCCTGATTTTGTTGTATGGCCACGTTAAAAACCTGATTTTGTTGTTGTATGGCCACGTTAAAAGCCTGAATTTGTTGTTGCATGGCTACGTTAAGAGCCTGAATGTGTTGTTGCACATTCTCAGTATGTGAAGTAGAACTTCTACCTCTCATAGAAACAAGAATGTAGCAAATTGCGCTTACACATATTACCAAAAAACCACCCAGAAACACAGTCTGTAAAGGGATGGCTTGTAAACCACCCATGTATGTATACAATAGTAAAATCACGTGCCATACACCAGGCTTCATCAAATTATTTATATTCATGAAACTGGTGGTGATATTTAATGGAAGAAGACTACTCAGATTCAAGGCCGGAAGGAAACTGAAAGAACTCAGGCTAGGGATGAAACTGTATAGGCTCATGGTTGAGGCCATATTTGAGTCAAAACGCACCCACAAGGGCTGTACGCATAGGGAAAAAACAGACTTTTCAGGACTAGAGACAAATATTATACTGCTAGTCCTGCAGAACTAGTGCGCTTATGGTGACCAACACAAGGAATGTTACTTTGGGCTGGTCAACCGCGGGTGTAACTTGGAAACCACGCTGGGCGCCAAACTGTTGTAGAGCAACCCCGATACAAAACGGGGTGCCTGACTGTGGGTCCTCACCCACGCTCTTAAAAGGACTTATCCATGCTCTACTGCAGGCACACGTGAAAGGTTAATAAAAGGTTTATTTACAAGGGAAGGGGAAATGAGGAAATGTACAGCTCTGGGAGAAAAGTGGGAGACAAAGTTTTAAATGAGGGCCTCCCCGGTGGTGCAGCGGTTGAGCGCTGGGTTGTGATGCTGCCCGCAGCCTCTACAGCGCCGGTTCGATCCCCGGCTGCTCCCCGGCCACGGGAGGAGGGTCCCACATGGCACGCAGACCTCTCCTGCCGCCCGCTGCTCCCCTCAGCAGTGTACTTCGGTCTTTCTGCCTGCTCTGCTCCCCGCTCTGGCTCTGGTGAATTCTCTCACCCTCCCGCGCTTCTGACTGTACCCAGTGCTTGTATGTATGTATGTATGTATCAATCAATCAATAAATAAATCTTTAAAAAAAAAAAAACGAAGTTTTAAATGAGTCCTACCCAATCCGCCGATCAGGAATCCCAAAATGGCGCTCTCAGAGTCGGCCGCCAGCCAGGAGCGGTGAGGCCAGGAGGCGAGCGATCACGAGCCAGAGAGAGCCCAAGGCCCACGTGTTTGGTTTTTATATCCAACCTGGCTGCCCAACTCCACCCTCAGGTCCCAGCCACCCTCCCTTGGTGGTGACGGGATTTGTCTTTCCCAATGTCTTGATGGCTTTAGTCTGGAGTGGGGGTGGCGTCCACAAAGCCTGTATGGGATTAACTCAGGACATCATTTCCCCCTAACAAACCCACAAACTTGCCTGGGACTGGAAGGCAGACTCAAGTTCAGCCAGACCAGTGGTTCCAAAAACACTGCACCAACCGCTTGGGTAACTTAAAAAGTGCAGGTTCCCAACTTTGTGTATGCACATGGGGCACTCCTACCAGGCCGTGAAGACCTGTGGACTCGATAATGACAACACTGTTGAGTATGAGGACTGCCGTGTTCTTGGCAGATGCTTGCTGCAGCGTTGAGGATCAAATATGATGCTGGTCTGCATGTCTTTCAAAAAGTGGTTTGGGGGCCTCCCCGGTGGCGTGGTGGTTGAGCTCTGGGCTGCGAGGCTGCCCCTGGCCTCTGCAGCGCCCGTTCGATCCCCGGCTGCCGGCGAGGGTCCCACATGGCGCGCAGACCTCTCCTGCCGCCCGCTGCTCCCCTCAGCAGTGTGCTTGGGTCCTTCTGCCTGTTCTGCTCCCCGCTCTGGCTCTGGTGGGTTCTCTCACCGTCCCGCGGTGCTGACTGTACCCAGTGCTTGTGTAGATAAATAAATAAATAAATCTTAAAAAAAAAAATTAAAAAAGGGGTTTGGCTCTTACACACACACACAGTGAAGCAACGGTGCCAAATGTCCGGGACTGGTGCATCCAGACAGCACGAACTTTGAAAGAAATCCAAGGGGGCGGGAGGTTTTATAAAAGCGTGTCCTCAGGCCCCGTTTGCACATATTCTGATTCAGGAATCTGTGTGTTTCAACGCCCTCCATTCCATTTCTCAAAGTTGGTCACCGCGGATCTTAACCTCCACACCCACTTCACAGAAGAGAAAGCGGGGGTCCGGGAGGCTGCGAGCCCGAGGTCACGGGGGATCAGCAGTAACTTCAGGGCTCGGGTTTCTGTCTGGAGGCGAGAACTTGGGGGTCAGGTCCCGGCCCGCGCGGAGGGCACACTTGCCTCGTCAGCCGCGGGGGGCCCGGTCCCCTTTAACACTCCCCAGTCGTGGGTCTTGGTTCTTTGCTGCGAAGCCTCTGAGCAGGCCCACCTCGGTGACCAAGAGGAGTCTCTGGAAAACGTTCTACGAACTCCCCGGCCGTTGGCGTCCCGTCGCCACGGAGACGGACCGCCCCATTCTCCCTCGAGGGGGGTCCTGCCGGTCCCCCGGTTCCCGGTCCGCAGCGCGGCGCCCAGGAGACGCTCGGGGCGGCCCAGGGGCGCAGAGGGGCTGCCGGGCTCTGGGCAGCAGGCGGCCGAGCCGCGCCCACCCGGGGGCGCCCACCCGGCCCGAGGGGTGCGCCCGGCCCGCGCCCCGCGTCTGTCTCCGCGCCCAGGTGCCAGCCGCGGCGGACGCCCCGCGCCCCGGGATGCCCGAGGCCAAGAGCCCCCGCCAGGACGGAAGGCCCTGGAAGAAGAAGCAGCCGGCGCGCCGCACGGTCAGCCAGATCTGCCCGCCCCCGCGGCGCCCGCTGACCGTGGCCGACATCCGGCCGGGCATGGAGAACGAGCGGCTGGGGGTCGTGAGGGATTCCATGTTTCAGAACCCGCTCATCGTCAAGGTGAGCCGCCCCCGCTCGCCCCCCGCTCGCCCCCGGCACCCGCGCGCCCGGCGCCTGGCACCGCCCGCACCCCGCGCGTACGGGCAGGTGGCCCCGGCCTCCGCGTCCCGGCCGCAGGGTGGGCAGCACAGGCCTCCCCGAAGGCAGTGCCGGGAAGGCTGGGTAGCGCGCGCCGCGGGCCGGGCAGCGCCTGGCACGTGCCAGCCCCGGGGCGCAGCCGTGGGGACTGTGGCCGCCGCCAGGGGGCTCACCCTGCGGTTCCCCCTCCGGACTCAGGTGGACCCAGGTGCGGGGTGACAGCCCCGGGGCGCGAGGCGCGAACCCCCGCCCCTGCCCTGCACCCGGGACGGGGCCGCGGTGGCCCACGACCGCCTCCCCTCGAAGCGCGCCGCTCGCTTCCGTCCCCTTCCCGCCGGGCCGCTCCCCGGACACCGCCCTGCTGGGGCGGCGGGAGAAGTCGGGGTGCGCCCCGGGCCGCTGCACCCCGCGCCGCTGGAGGGCGGTGTGCGGTTAGAAATGCGCGCAGCTCCGGGCCGCGGGAGGGGGCGCGGGCGGTAACCATGGAGCCCCGTAAACACAGATGAGGCAGCGCCAGGCCCGCGCGCGTCAAAGCCCAGAGGGCTTCGCTGTTGGTCTAGGGTTTTGGCACCGAGAGCCCGGGCCTCCTGGCCACCAAGCCGGCGCTCGCGGAGTTCACCGGGTCCTGCGAAATTTCAACTGTCCTTTTGCCCTCCCCAAAATGCGTCCCGCGCCAGCCCTGGGGGAGGCTGGCTTGTCACAGCCAGGCCCTTCCACCCCATATGCCCACGTTCTTCGGCCCCCACAGTGGGACAAGGGCCTCGCCTACTTCTAGGTGAGAAGCGCCACTCTCAGCTAACAGATGGGACGGACAGATGGACGTCACCTTTCCGGGATTAAGGGGGGACTCTCTCCTCACGCTGCCTCTGATCAGAGGCTTCCGTCTTGGGTCATTGTTTTTACTCCGGCAGGTTCTGCAGGCGACCGCTGCCAACTTCAATATAAAATGAGTGGTTTTGTGGGGTTATGATCCCCACGGCGAATTAGTAGCGTGATTACCCCCCTGAGCCGTATATGCTCACACACACATACAGATGGGCGTGTGCATATGCACGCACAAACATACACACAGTATTTCACGCACGTGTGCATATTTATACTATGCTGCAATCTTGGAAGAATAGATTATAATATTATCATAACTGTACACGTATACACACACACACACACACACACACACGGCCAGGAGTACGCAGGTCACGCATACACAATATCTGTTCTGCCCCTCACGCCCCCTTTTACTCTCCTTCCGTGTCAGGGACCGCATTTGGCCTCTGGGTGGCACTAGCTGAACAATTTCCAGGGTGAAATCAGTCTAATTCCTGAACCCAAACTTCACGGTGGAATATGCACGGGAGATGCCTGACCCACCACGAGGGGCTCTGTCTTTGGGGAGAGGGACCGGGGCAGACTGCCCTGGCCAGCCTGCTGGGGCGCAGTGCAGGGCTGCATCCCGGTGCTGTGCCCGACTTTCCGGTGGTGGTCGGGGCAGCTGGGGGCCGAGGGCACTTCCTCCTTCCTCCTCTCCCCTCCCCTCCCCTCAGGCTCTTGATGGGCTATGAGGTACTTCCTGTAGTGCTTAAGATCATGTCCCCGCTTGGTAAGATTTCCTACCAAAGCTCACCTAAATAAAAGTTGCAAAGACAGTAAGAACCAAAGGGAACCCGACTGTTACCTTGTCCAGACCCCTCTTTACAGATGTGTCCACCGGGGCGTCTGGTGGGCCTCTTTGCTCCAGGTCCTGGCGGGGCTGGGCTGGAAGCCCTTCCTGTCCACTGCCCACCTGTCCAGCGTCATCCTAGGAGTGGATGACCCTGGACAGCTGCCTATAGTTTAAAGACAATTTAAATAGGGGAAAAACTTTGGGGACCTTTGGACCGGTAAACAGGAGAAGATGCAGAATATTCCAGACTGTGGCGCCTTTAAAAACTGCTTTTTTAAACGATGTCTCTGCAGTGTCCGTGCGGGCGTGGCTCGTGGGTTTCTTCCCGGTGACAGGTCTGTGTCACAAGCCCGGGATTTCTGACCGGGGTTTAGTTGCTCCTTCTCAGGCGTGCACAGGGTGGGGAGGCGTGCGCGCTGCCCTGGGTGCCCTTAAAGGAAGGCGGCAGCTGGAGGGTGTTTTGGTTTGTCTACGTGGGAAGCGGAATGTTGCCTCTACACCCGCAGAATACAGCACCTGAGGAATCATCATTTATTCCGCCATATTGGAGGGGGTTGTTGTTCAGATTGTTTTCTCCGGTGGAAAGGATCAGGGGTTTTGCTTTTTCTCATTTAAAATGCAGACCTACCGCCTGAGCAGGCCCGGCCCTGCTATTTCACACCCATGGAATTCACCGGGACGGAGAGACGCATCAGTTATTCAAGAACGTGTCTGCAAGCTGCCACAGTAACCAAGCAAAAAGTGAAAACCCAGACACCGAGCCGCTATTTCATCTCCCCGCGCAACAACTCTTTGCCTCATTTAAAACCAAGCCAACGGGTTATTGCGTGGGGCTGATTGAATCAACTCCGTGTTTTATGTGGCCACAAAAAGATGTAAATATTTTCCATTAGAAAGGGTTTCTACGCGATTGTAGAAAGTGATGGGCGGTTAGCCAGTTTTCCTTCAAATGTGACTCTCGGGGAAGAATAAAATTAAATAGCGAGAGAACCCAGCTTCGCCCCGCTCGCGTCTCGCTTCCCCAGAATTCTGTGACTCCGCACAGGATCCCGCTACCACAGCCTTCAAGGCTCCCTCACAGCCCTGTCAGGAGCTTCCTGCCACCGGGACGCGGCTGATATCCTGTCAATACAATTATAGGGAGAGGCTGCTCGGGGCGCCGCTGACAGCCTGGCGTCCCTGTCGCCCTGGAGAGGCGCCCTGCGAGGCGGCAGGATTTATGGAAACCAGCAGCTTTAGAAAGTGCAAATGATCACGGAGCCCGATTTTTTCATAATTTATGACGGACTTTGTTTTTCTGTGGGGGTTTATGTCACAAATAAGAAGTGCCTGCATGTGTACAATAGAGTCACAGAATCACAGCGCTGGGGGCTGGGGGAGGGTTCCACACAGCTAGTCCCACTCCTGCTTAGAGACATCAAGGCCGGGGGTGGCGGGGGTGGACGTGGCCGAAGGTCCAGCCTAAGCTGGTGGCGGAAGCGGGATGGGAACGGCTCTGCCGGCGGCCAGCCCCCCACCCTATCGGCCGCAACACACAATAATGAGTTGAGCCAACCCAGGTGGGGTCCTCTGCCCAACAAAAAATGTTGACTGGTGAATCTGATTCAAATCGCATTTCAACTTCCTTCCAAAGTGAGCTGCACTGATTTTTCGGGATGCATTGACTGCCGGGTTATAAGTTTACTTGGTGTCCAGCACCACCCTCAGCTCTCTTGCAGCCCTGAAAGCAATCGAGAACTTAGTTTAGAATTCAGTCCTTGGCCACTAGTTAACTATTTAGCTTGGAGGAACAGGTATATGTGTGTGTGTGTATATATATATATATATATATATATATATATACACGTAAGCAGGTGTCTATATAAATACTCCTATATATGCACGTGATCTATGCATAGATACATACAATGTCATATATAGTGTATGTGATATACATGTTCTATGCCATGGGACACATATGTCTATGTTTATATAGCTCAGCACTGTACCTGCCTTAAAGAAAGCGCTCAGGAATTAGCTCTTAATTTTGCACACACACATCAATTGTAAGACAAGCCAGTCACAGTGGCGCCTGTACATTTCCAGGGAACTGCACCGCCCAGAAGGGTTTGGATGTGGGAGGAGGCCGCCGCCGCAGGACTCCTGGAGACCAGGACTCCTGGAGGAGCGGAGGTGGGCTGGACCCCGGGGGCGAGGAGAGGCAGCTTCCCACAGGGCAGACACGAAGGAACCTCAGCTCCCTGGGGCCAGATGACTGTGTCTTCCTTAGATCCCAAAGGTTCTTAGATTTCACCCCAATTTGAGTTCAACTTTACGAGGCTTGACGCTCTGCTGGGATCATTATCCTTATCATCCCGAGGAAGCCTTTATTTAGATCCCGGGTGTTCAGACTGGGTGCCCTCCGCAATGAGGCGGCCACGCCAGGCCCACTAACAGGCGACTTCCATGATAAATATTGATGCTGGTTGGTGGAAACACATGCACAGAGGCGCGGCCCGGACACACACACAAACACGGCGGCCCACATGTGGGTCAGGGTTATTATCACGTGTGAATGCTCCATTCGGCTTCACCTGTTGCCGATAACACACCTCTGGTCGCTGCAGCCTTTTCACGTTCAATTCCAGTGTGACAGGAGAAAAGAAAACGTAAGGAAGAGGGATGGAAAATGAGGCACCGCCCTGGTGCCTGGCTCTGCTGGCCGGTGGGTAGTGCCGTTTTTCTAGGAAAAGCGTTGTGGTTATTTATCCCTGCAACCGTCTCCTAGGTTCCTTTGCTTCTTTGTAAATCAAAGCCTCCCTCTTCCTGGCCCCCACTCACATCCTTGAGAGCTGTTCGCCCTGCCCAGCCCTGTGGCCATTTCGGAAAGCAGAGCTGTTCCAGGCAGGCCTCTGGCCACAGCCCTGGGGGCAGCCGCTGGGACGGAGGCGCCTGCCCACCTCTCTGTTCTTCTGGAAAGTGGTGCTTTGCTTTGAACCCTTAATGAAGACCTCAGACTTTGGGTTCCTCTGGTTGAAATTCAGCCCCCTTCTGTTTCCGTGGCTCTCAGAACTCTGTGGCGGGAAGGTCGAGTGGGGGGAACTAGTCAGCAGTCGCTTCCAGCACCTTCCAGAATCTCGGCGGCTTGAGTGTTGCTCATGGTGTGGTTCAGGCTGCTTTTCCTTTATTTGAAAGACCAAGTTTCCTTGATTTACTCCTGGCCCTGCGGACAGAACTTCAAAACCTGCTTTTCCAGTGTATTGCTTTTCAAGCTGTTCCG